CTGAAGCTGAAGTCCACAACACCAACCAAGCTGCTCACAGACCGCACCAAGCCTTCTAAATCATCGCACACAAGCGAGCTGCAGACCTGCAGCACCGCGAACTCGGTATATCCGTGTTCCTCCACATTCCTCACGTCCAGAATGCTTCCGCTGCCGAGGGGGCTGACTATCTCCGATAACTCGGCCATACTAGCAATCGTCGAAGTGTCGCTCGTTGGCGACTCCACCACGCTGGGCTTCCGACCTGAGGGGCGCACTTCCGAACCTGTGCGGGTATGCACCGTGACTAGTCTATGCTCGAGCTCACTGCCTCTTCTTTGCATGGCCCGCGGCTCCGGTTCGGGGCCCTTGAGGTGGAGGAGCTTGCGGGTGAGTTCATTCGGTCTCGGAAGTTGCATGAAGGGCGGCAGTGACTGGCCCGATAGCAGCGAGTTGGACAAGAGCGTAAGTGTGGAGAGAATGGTGTGTTGAGTCGGTTCGATCCCAGCAAGAACCTGATTGAGAGCGCGCAGCCAGGCCCGGTCGCTGTCGGACGAGGGGGTCGCTGGTTTGTCACGCGGCTTCCATGTAATGGTGTAGGCAATTAGTGTCAGATACCGCATGGTGCTGGTCGACCGTCTGATGATGTCTTCGTAGGTGGCTCTGGGAAACTTGCCGCCGATATCGGGTTCCCATTTTTGCCATTGCGCATGCTGATCCAAGCTAGGGAGCAGTAGTAGCAGCTTGCCCAGGATGCGACGCCTTTCCTTCTCCATCTTGTGTGCAGGCGTACCGGGCTTCTTGATGTCACCGTGAGTCTCTTCCATCGTTGCCTTGATTGTTTCAGTCACGACGCTGAAATAGTTGGCGAGGAGATAGAGCGAGGCGCTGAGATCCCGTCGGAGCCAGCGCCGGTCGGTGATGGGAGCCGGGAAAATCGTCCAGATGAACGCGATGAAGCAACCAGCCGCAACACAGGCAAGGCGATAGGGTGCCAGGAGGTATGTAGGATAGTACGGTTGTCCCGTGGCGGCGGCGGCTTTTTCCCCAATCTTTTGAACCTGCAGCTCATATCCAATGATGAGGACCTGAGTGATGATGGTAATGAGCCATACAGGCATGAATCGTGGATACTTCAAGACGAAGTACTGCTCGATGAAGATGAACAGCCAGAGGAAGACGATGACTCCGGCGGTGCGCTCAACAACGATGTACCAGATAATGTAGGAGAAGATGACAGCCACACAAGTTCCACCGACTCGACATACGAAGCCAAAGATGGATTGGCCGGCCGTGATGGTCATGCCGATGGCGATCATGATCATGGCCCAAACCAAGCGTTGCTCCGTGAAGAACGTCTGGGTGCTCTGCAAGAAAGCCATGATGCCAACTGTCATGGTAGCAATAGCGACACGGAAGCCGAAGAGCGATTCACCGGATCCGACAAAGGCGGAGAATGCCCTCACCCAGTTACCAAAGTGTTGCCAGAGGCCGTGAGCGTGAAGATGTTCGGGGTCCTTCTTCTTGTTGTATCCGTCACCGGCATATACGATATTCGCACCCATCTCCGCAATATCCGGCGTCTGTTCGGGGGAAGCATCCTCGGTGCTGCAGATACCCTTGAACCATTTCTTGAGGCGTTTCTGGGAAGGGATGATAAGGCGCTTCTTTGCCATTGTGCCGTCTGCCACCTTTGAGTCTGCAAACATGACCAGATCCTGCACCGCTTCACCGAGGGCGAGCATGAGCTTCTCCATGTACAGCATCACATAAAGCTGCGTCTGGTCGCGCTCCCGCATCCTGGTCTCGAGCTTCTTTAGGTGGAGATCCTGGCGTTCCTGCTCCGTCGCAAGCTGTCTCTCCTTTAACCAATTCCTGAGCAGCTCGCCCTTCTTGTCGTTGAAGTTCTGCACTCTCTCGGCGAGGACTTCGGCGAACCCGGCTTCGCCTGGCTTCGAAGTCGCCTTGGCACCTGCCTCCATCTCCACATCGGCACCTTTGGTCTTCTTTGGCTTCGGTGTAAGTTCGAGCACGATTCCGACGTGGTCGAGTCCCTGGTCCATCGCTTCCGTCAGGATTTCGAACGGCTCCAGCAATTGGAGCATGATATCGTTCCAAACTTTCTTTTCCCGGTCCTTCTCTGCGTCCGAGTCGCCGTTGCCATCATTGGCCCCCCATCCGTGTTTTTCGGAGGCACGGCGGAAAATGTCGACAATTGTGCTGATTCCGTTCAATGGAATCATGATGCTTCGCAGGCGGTTGAAGATCTCGCCAATATCCTTGGAGTTAAGCTTGCCGTAAGCGATATCCCTCTTGGCGAAGAGGATGTCTCCGTGCATCTTTCCAAACAGGGCCGAAATCGCCAAGGCCGTGGCCTTGAGCTCGCCGGCGGCCTTTGCCTCCTTTGTCATCTCGGGCTTCTTCTGCTTCTTGTTCTTCTTGAACACATTGCTACTCTTCGTCTGGTGACGCTCAAGCATGTCCGGGCTTGATAGCGTCTTCAAGTAGTTGAGCTGCAGGGCAATGGACTTGCGAACAAGCCCAATGGCACCCTTGAATTCACCGCTCACAACCTTTCTGCTGGAGACGGGGAAAACAAAAAGCGAGACACCGGTAGCAATACCCATGGCGCAAAGCATTGCCACAGTAAGCCGCTTCACGAGCGACTCGGCGGCTGCGGTCGTCACCATCAGCGGGCCAAAGGTGCAGGCTACGTTCATGAAGATGGAGTATATCATGACAGGCAGGTTCATCGCAGGGTACTTGGCTCTCAAAGTATTGGAAATCCAAATGTTGAAGAACAGCCAGACGCCGCAGACGGCGGACTGGCTTGAGTTGTAGACGGGTAATCCAGAGGCCAATTCCTCGGCGGAAGCGGTGTTCCTACGCGCCTGAACACCGGACCACAGCGCCAGCATCGACAGGGCACCGCCAATGCAGATTCCAGTGACATTGAGGACAAGATTCTGAAGGTATTTCCCTCTAGGTAGAATGGCGAGCGCGAGCACCGAGATAATTGGCACGAGATAACCCAATGTTGTGAAGTACTGTGCCACAGGCGTGGATTGGTAGATGGCGATGCCGATGAGAGGCGGTAATGAGCCCTTGAACATCATGATGAGCGTCGGCGCGTCGAGGCCCAATCTTGTCGCCAGGCCCGGCTTCGGCGCCGGTTTCTTTGTCGCTTTACTTGCGGTCGTCGGTGACCGCGCAGGGACGCCATCCGGGTGAGTCTCGGTCTCTGGGGACTGAGACTCGGTGTACCGGTCAGCGTCCGGCTTCTGTTCGTCGGATGCCATGGTTCCTATCGTTTTGCGTTTACGTTTGCGGAATCATCGGCCCCTCGAGCGAACGAGCGGGCAGCTGTTGATTATTCGATTATATTGTCGCGCCCGTAGATCAGTTGAACATAACGGTCCCTCGGCTTCTTGTCTCTGAGGGTTGCGACGACATTGGGTTGAGTTTTCACCCGGGCCGAGGGGTGGGCGATTTGTTTTGTCTCATTGGAGAATGATGTAATTGCGGAGTTCGCCGCATCTGTCCTCACGCGGTACAGAACCCCAACTCCGTACGGATACAGCACTGCAGGGCAACAGAATGCCGACAGAGTTTGCGCTAATGCTATGTTTTGTGGACTTTTGTACTCGTTTTCGGTCAAGAGGGGGGAGGAAAGATTACGGCGTAATAAGACCTAAAATAGCTGGTGGCCTTTTAGAAGCCTCTACCTATTCAACGTGAGACGAGTCAAGATTCATGCACGAGCACGGGCCTTCATCTCAAAGGTAGGACGGGGTGAGCCTGTGAAATGATGTGAGATTAGATGAGATGAGCAGATCATTCAGTCTAGGCTCCTGTCTCTCGAGCTGTGGAGATACAAAATCTGCAGTTTGCAATTGAGCCATGGTTGTTGCATTGTCCTACGATATCGTGGCCTATCCTAAGCACGGAGTAAGGATAGGTGAATTGTACACATCACTCACGGATGAAAAAGGGGATGAGTAAGCCATACAGATACCTCATCTAGCCGGTGAAAGATGATCGGTGCGGGTGTGACAGCAGCAACCAACCCCTCTGCCTCAGTGCAGCTAATGCTCAATGAGTTCTGATAGGTATCATCAATGACCAACGAGCTTGACATACCTTCAAGAAAACCATGGATCGAGAGTACTACTTCCTTAACGTCTACAAGTACAGCAACGCTGAAGGTCCGTCAATCCCTAGCGGACTAAAGGGGATGAAAAGACTGCAACTGCATGTATAATCCCTGCTCCTCAGCCCTAACGAGCTCAAGAACCCCGCCACATCAACTTGCCAACCCCAAGCCGGCGTGTCCGGCAGAGCATAGTCGCGGAATTATAGCCAGTTCCGAGATCGTCCGCGGGATCTCGAGACTTCTCCCCGGAGAGCCACTGCATATTTTCGTCGAAACGTTCGTCGGCCGTCGGAAAATTGAAAGCTCGCCGTCTTGAAAGAATGCCAGGAAAAGAGCGCACTCAAGAACCGAGGATCTCAAGAGGAGGGTGTGTCGGCCATATTTCAGGTAGCTTTGGTGGGCAACACCACCATTTTCCCCGCACCCCGGATTCACTCCCGCAAGACGCCGCGCTCAAGATCAGCACCGGGCCCGTTGAGGAGTCTCGGGGTGGGGAAAGTTGAGAGCCGCCTCTCAATGGTGCTGCATGTACCTGAGGTAATGTGATGTGCTCTTCACGCGTCTAATGAGCTGGCGCGTTGTAAGAGACTGGCCACGTTTATCTTCCATCCCGTCGATAAAAATTCAATGATGACATTTAATGGCACTGAACACGTTGCTGTTTTCTTGATGAAAGTCTGACTCTTCGCCGGAGCTGATGAGAAACCCCTGTCGGTGCAGGCAGCAGCCATCTATGGGCTGCTGACCGAAGACATATCACTCAGTTTCAACTTTCTGAGGAAATTTGACTTCCTGTCTCATAAATGTCAACAACAACATGCTCTCATATCAATCCCCGAGTTGAACAAACCGTCCCTGTGATATCACGATGTCTCCTGTTTACCGGCGCTTGAAACATGGCTACATTCGGCTTCTCACCCTTCTTCCGGGCGACGTATTTGATCCTTTATCATGCACTTTGCAAGAGGTCTTGCTAGAATCGTCTCCTTATTTCGAGGCTGTTTCGTGCGCAAGAGAAGCATTCGATGTTTCTGAGAATCTGACTATTCAAGCCTGCGAGTCGAATGAAAGCCCCAAATTCATCCCGATTTCATCACAGATTCTGTCCCTTCTATTCTCCCTTCGCAGCACAGTCGACGCGAGGACACTATGGATCTATGAAATCCGCGTTGAGCAGGCAGATCCATCAGAAAAGAGCACCCAAGCGAAGCTTTTGCGGCAGATCTTCGAAAGCGCTGTACGCGTGATTCTGTGGCTGGGTCCCACCGCTGAGGACGGAAGCAACGATCGGGCTCTCACGTTTCTCAAGAGAATGGCCATGCATAGGAAATACAACGATAGAGGTGAATACCTTGGTGGCAGGAGACTTGGTTCCGACACCAGCTCCGAGTGTGGAGATGGGAGGCGGGCGGGTATTTCGGACGAGGAGGCGGACGACGACGATGATGAGAAGGACGACGAGGGCTACGAAAGTGGGCCCCTTTCTGATAATGACCTTGATATCGTTGATGATAGGACTTCTTCCATAGTCTCGTCTGATACCAGGGCTTTTTTGGAGAGAGTCAACGCATCAGAGCCGCTCATGTCTCATTCCGAACTTCTTCGCACTGAGATACACCAGTTCTTTTCCGGCATCGGATGGTTTCTGCGTAGTAAGTACCGGCACTACTTCGTCTACGGCTACTGGAACCCATACCGAGCATGGAGAATCAGCAGAGCCTGGGAAAGGGCTGTTCTAGCATGGGAGCTTAACCGGTCAAGAGTTGGCTACATAGCTTTTGGGCGGCCCGTTCTTTACGAGAACCACATGGATTACTTCTTCCAGGAGCGCTACCAAGCCGACTGGGAGGCGGTCGACAGACTCCTTGAACATCCATGGTGGAGCCAGACGTGGACTGTTCTGGAGGTCTGGTGTGCTAAAGACCGAGCAGTGATCCAGTGCGGGCAGCGGACGATCAAGTGGAAGACCTTGCAAAAGGCACTACCATTTGCCGAAGCTTGGGACGATATGGGAAAGACAATGATTGAAACAAAAGACGTACGCATGAGCGAGTGGCCGCAGCTGTTCGAACGATACGCAAGAGCTTTCCACCTCTTGAAGAAGCGACTCATGGATGGAAAGCTATCAGACCTCTTGTGGAACACCTGGGACAGAGATGTGGCTGACCCTCGTGAAAAAGTGTTTGCGATGCTCAGTCTCGCTAGTAGCTTCCGTTGCTGGTCTCAACCTGACTACAACAGGTCCGTCAAGCAGGTATTCTGCGCAGCAGCAAGAGATATCATTCGTGACGAAAACAGCCTTGATATCTTGTTGGCCGGTGGAAGGATAGAAAGACAGGACGAGGCAATCTCATTGCCGAGCTGGGTTCCAGACTGGCGCAGGGAACATAGCCCACTTCAGGGGCGGCCGATGCCCCTGGTTGATCAATCGCGTATTCAATCTCTCTTCGTCGCTGGGTCGATTGAGTCTCTTGTTGTAAACGGACACGGATTCACGGCTTGCGCAGACACAAAACCAGTTGCTTGGTTTAGCCACGATCTCGACCGGTTGCATGTTCGAGCCGTATTCGTTGATGAAGTGGAGTCGACTGCTCCTCCGCATGGCTCGAGATCAGAGAGTGGCGTCAAGAACACCGTGAATGATGCTTGTCTCGTAGCCCGGGCTGCGTTCTTCGACGGGAAACCTAATTGGTGGAATAAGGACGAGAAGGATGGGTTGCCTGGCCTGGTCAAGAGCGTTCTAATGGCTGGTTCCCGTGGCACTATGGATGAAGAGGAAGCCATAGGAGAGACCATGATCTTCCGACGCTTCTTCATCACAAAGGATGAGCGGTACCTCTGTATTGGAACCCAAGGAACCCTACCCGGAGACAAGATCTTCATTGTTGCTGGATGCAATCTGCCCCTGGTTCTCAGGGAGCACAAGCGGGCAACAAACAATGGAACGGCGCTCTATGAGCTGGTTGGGGAAGCATACGGTAGGCCTCGATCAGTCAATGTTTATAGATCTTCACTAACTTCAGACTAAGTCCATGGTGTCATGAAAGGTGAATTCTTCGCAAGTAGGAAAGCCAAGGTTGGGTGGGAGAAGTATGCTTGGTGGCGGCCACCGAGGAAAAGTGAGGTCAATTGGGAGGAGTTGGTTATTCAGTGAGAATCAAACAAACCTACACGGCTATCGAATAGTGCGACTGTATTTCAGAAGTAGGGCATTGTAGAGACTAAACATACAAAAAGTATTCTGTCACTCACAACAAGATAGCAAGACTCGAACCCATGAAAAGCGGACACGTAGAGCGCAAGCAGAATTTGATTGCTCTGGATGTCAAAGAGATCAAAACTTCCGGTAATCTAGTTCTACAGTGAGATGCCGAGGTAGATACTGTAGTGCTGAATCGATTAATCAAAATGAAGTTAAGGTAAATGGGGGCAGTCCGGTACGTTCAGCGTATTTTGACCTAATGATCGCAGAGGGCTTCCACTTTCCTCATTTATATGACAGAGAAGGGGTTCTTTTTCTTTCTTCCTAATACTCAGACTTGTGTAGGGAGTCACGGTGCCTCTACATCAAGGAAACAGATTCTGTGTCTATGGCTTCCTGGTCTATGTTCGATTATTATTCGCAAACGGCTACCTCGAACAGAGAAATGCGAGGCTAGAAGAGATACAGAAAATGTTTTAGATTAATGCAATATAGATTGACGATAGAAACCCCGAACCAAAAGGTGAGTTTGTGTCAAAGATTTACTTGTTGCGGGGGATTGGATTACCAGAGCGTCCAGTTCTAGCTTATCCATAGGCAAAGAATTTTATGTTTGGCGTCATGAATCATTAAAGCCAAATGTAGGTCGGCCACTCGGCCTGTTATGAATGCGTCTGTCTCAAAAAACGAAGACGTTAATTTCGGGCTGCAATTAACGCCATAAATCCTACTACAGTTTCCCCCTCGCATCGTCAGACTGCGAGTGTCCACCGAGTAGTCCTCCACCTTGGACTGGGCGGTATTGAGGAGACTGGATATGGATCTTAGAGATGATCCACGACTGATCCCAGCCGTTGGTGCGAAGAGCGCCTGCCACGCAAGGAGTCAAGCCCGTAGTGTCGCGGGAATGTTCGAAGTCATCGACCTGATGATGGTAAACTACCTTGGGGTCTTCACTCGAGGACCATAAAACTCGCCAAGTTCCAAACCAACCGCCAGCGCGGTGATCCATCAAGTCGAACCTCAGGTCATCTAGGTGCGTTACTATTGATCAAAGTCCCGTGTTCTTAGTCCACCAATGTAATTCCTAGTGACTCGACGCTGGAGAGGAGATCGACGTCCGTCGAGACCCCAGAAAGCAGGAGGCCGAACTCTGGGATGTGTTCCAAGCGGATGGGATCGAGGTATTGACATTCGTAGATGGAGAAGACTCCAGCAAATGTGACGAGCATCGAAGGGTATGGGTCGGGTCTTAATGATGATGGTAGCGACTGATCGGAAAGTAAAACCTGTCGACAAGATACCATCAGCAATACAACCCCAAGAAGCGGGTGGAAAGGCACCGAAACACAAGGTTATGACAGAAAACACGAGATAGGCCAAGTCTGCCGACTTGTTCAAATAGAGGTCAAAGAACTTAACTTCAGAGTAGACGCCACGTAGACATGCGTCCGTAGAAGCGCCAGCTTCGATCTTGGTTCGTCCGGCCTCTGACTTGCTCGTCCAGCCTCAAAAGACAAACGACGTCAGTCATGGACCATTTTCAGGCTCTGACCGACAATGATCGAAGAGACCGCAAGGGCCCTTTGACTCTCTAGTGTCACCAAGTCTCCCGAGAACCGAGACTTCGATGTGTAGTCCCAAAATAACAAGCCCGTCTCTTACGCTTCCACACCCTCCCCTTTACACATCTCTTGTTATCACGTTCTTCTCTCATCTCTGTATTTTGTCCCTCCTCCGTTGTGTCTCTCGTCCGAGACGTGAGTTTTCTTCCCGCGCGCGGCATCGAAGAGTGGCCCAGGCTCGCGATTCGGTTTCGTCGGGTTTGTTCATACTCGATGGATCGGTCTTGGCATCTTCGTCGATAGCCGTTCGGCCGGCTTGTCGCACGATTCGAATAAAGGACTACGAGTCATTAGAGTAATTCTGTCGAGGTGTTACTGACTCCACAAGCTGTAATGGGATGACAGATGCCTGGGTCGAGTTGGATGTTTGTCGTCGTTTCCAACGACCCATCAGATAGAGACAGACAGATGAATTCCACCGCCACATCCATGATGCAAATTACCACGACGACAGCTGATAATGAATCAAAAACAGATAGTCACAATGAAGAGGAAACAATTAAGTATATGTATCCGCTTCTGTTCTCTGCCATCATCTACTCAGCTATACTACCAAGATCTTTCGCCATCCAAACCAAAGTTCAGCTCCTTCTCTCGCCTATCCAAACTATCAACACAGCCGGCGCGCCGCTCCCGGGTCTACACCGCTCCGGCGTTAGCAGAACCAAAAACCCAGTCCCTAAGCTTCCCAGGACCCATGGTAACCAAAGAACCCTAACCAGTAAGCTACACTTCCAAAGACTACGAATTTCTCATCAAAATAATGCCACAAAACAGATACGTAACCAAGGCTCGCAACTCTGCGGAACACCCAGAGCCTCAGCCTCTACGGATTTGTTGGTGTGGACCTACCATAATGAACCAAACCTTCCAGAGACCAGACCAGACGACACCGGGGCCCTCTCTGTCTACCCTTCCTCCTCCTCCTTCATCCCCCCCCCCCCCCCCCCCCCCCCCTCATTTCCCCCATCACCCAGAGAACTCGTCACTCGATCAGAGGCAGAATAACTGCCTCAGCCTTGGACCTCCTGATCACCAACCATCTCAGTCCCATTTCCTTTTTGCCGCCTCTTCCCTCCGAGATCTGTGCTCCGGGTGTTTCATTGACTGACTTCCGCTTCGTCATTTTACCGCCACGTTCCGCGATCTCCTGCAAGCAGCAAGAGAGATGTCTTGGTCGCACCGCCAAGGTCACAATTAGAGAGGATACGTGAATTTCCTATGCCGAACACGCCCTGGGAGTGTATAGCCCAAGTGATGGTGGAAATCCGTCACTAGTGGCCCCTAGCCAGCATGGTCCTTCCTGGGAAGCACTGAGGATCTAGACAGCATTCGAAACTGCCCGCATATCTAGTTAGGTGGCGGATCAACGCGGCCGAGTGGAAGTACGATGGGTTCAAAGCTCAGTCTCAAAACACATCTCGTCCCAACTTATTCCATCGGTACATCTTGGCAAGGCGACATAAAATACCACACAGACTTTGCGCCAAATCTGGCCGCGGATGTTCCGCTGCAGTTGCTAAGGCACGTCACCTTGATTCGTCACATTCCCCGATCGTGAAAGCCGTTAGTAGATAACTGATCGGAGTTGGGCCGTGGCCCCCTTCTCCCCACGGTGGTGGCCAATGGACAACGGTCCGATCGGTGGCTGGCTTGTCTCAACGGCTGTTAGACATTCGATATCAGTCGTTGGCCGATGATCAGTTGAGGCTGGGGGACGTTTAGTCGCTGTTGTCTCAAGTATGCATTGGAGCGGGCAGTTAGACTTTGTACAACTAGAACATCAAACCTGTCGTGGTTTCTTTTCTGCACAATGTCATGGCAGCATAACCGTTACCGCATGACATTTTCAGAAATTTCCAATGACACGAGAAAACCATATTGAACCAGCATCTTGCCTTGGTAGACCTGCAAACCTAGAGTCCAATCTCCACCGGACCCGAAGATGCAGTATTGGTCATGGCTCGATTGTGCTCCATTTATTGCTGGTGGTATCTGTACGGAGCACTTCTAGCTTCTGGGCTCTGAGTCTGGGGCTCGTGAGATTGTTAGCGCCCTAGTGCTCTGTTAGGCAACCCGATTCTAAGCGCGATGTAACGGCGGCTTGATGAACCGCCGTGAAAGTGCAACTGTGACCCTGATTGTGGAATCGACGGATTCTCTCGCCTACCAAGCCGTGCGATAATGCATGTACGCTGTCTGGTCCCATAAGCGGTGATTTGGACACACTTCGGTTTTGTGCAAATTGATCTAAGATATGTTTTCAACCGAGTTCAAACGAAACGAAACAATTAAATCTCCGGATCCATCGCCGGTATTTGTCCAAGAAGAGGGGCAAACAGCAAGGTGTGTTGGAGACTTTGCGTGCGCCTCGGTTCGGTTGATGATGAGGAAATTGGGCCACCTGGGGGAGATGCACGCATCGGGACTCCAGTTAATTGACGGTGCACACGATGTGCAATGCGGAGATACGGTGAGAACAAACTTCAAGTTAGGACGCCAGAAAAGTCGATCTACCTGATTGCCTACCGTAGCTTAGGTCCAGAAGGATGTGGGTGACGAGGGAGTGGCCTGGGCTGGATACGATGCTCAGCCCGGCTTTCTGGCCTCGAAGCTAAGAGTCCAGATGGAGGGGAACCAAGAAAAGCAAGGTAGAATCTGGGAATATTGGTTGTGCTTCAACGGTCTCCGAGGGGTTGCCTTGATAGCGGACATCGTCAAAGATTGGCATAGCAGGGCACTTGTCGACCGGGCCACCTGCTAGCGAGCCGTGTCCCGCCCGACGACCCGGACTCTATCTAGGTTTAGATGCAAAGCGAAGTTTTGGCTGACAACAGTGGATCGGTGTCAAGTTGCGCTTCCACTGTGGGAAGCTCGGAAGAAGTGCCAGAAAAGCACATGCAATTTGGGCGCGGGATGCCAGATCCGACCAGGAGATTGAGGTGGCGGCTGGCTGGCATGCTTCTGCTGCAGTGTAATATCGAACATGCAAGCTTGACACCAATTGATTCAGGGGGACCGCGGGTGCGCGGGTTCTCCGTTGGCCGCATCAATGGCCGCAGAAGACACGAAAGACCGCTGCTGGAAATGTATTATATGCGAGTATGCCATCCCAGTCCTGCGCTGGTGCTGCTAGTCCTGCTGTCGACTGCGAGAGATGTAGCTGACAACATCTAGGCTCTGTTGGTGCGTGGCATGGCATCCCCAATACGGCCACTTTCCTACCGTGTACACAGTAGAAGGTTTGGTGAATGGCTCACAGCGGTTCCTACACAGGGAGATCATCCCGACGTTGCCTAAGTTGTGCATGAGATGGCCCCTTTGGTCGTCTGCACTCCACATTGCACCTATGGTAGAACCAGCCAATTCACGGCTGTGGCACGCTGTCGGCACTGACCCTCGCAAATGACGCCAGACGCCCCGAAGAAGTGCAACGCATGGCGAGCCCAGCTCGATCCCATCGTATCCGTAGGTAAGTAAGCCTTGATATGCGTTACTTATCTCTGCCCCCAGTGTCGCCTACTTTCCGACTTCAATAATGATTCGGCGCAGGCGCACATAGCTTTTGCGACAACGTGTGCAGTTGCGCTGTAGACGGAGAGGCTCGAAACATTCATCAAGCGAGCCGAAAATAGCCAAAACGCGGCGGCAAATCCCAATTGTGCATGAAACATGGGGCTCACGTAAGAAGAAAGACGACATGGGTTCTCTGGGGTCCTCGGAGCTCGAACGACGTTGTTGCTTGAGTTCGGAGATTCGTCTGTTTGGCGACGATGACCGGCCGATAGCGATGCAGCAAACGGGGCTGCATGTGGTCATCGGTTGACTGTCAACCTCGTTGATTGCAACCTGGCTCGACTTCCATTGCTGGATCTTGGCCGTCTTCTGTGCAGACATGTTCCATCATATAATTTCGCAGAGACCCAGTCTTCATTTCCCCATGTTGCCTGTAACGTCGTAGGTGACACACACTTCGCTTTTGAGGGTTGTATCCGTCCATCAACAGCCACCTCTGCCAGTGTCTCGCGACCGATCCTCTTTCCCCCCTAGCCAACCGCCTTCGGGCTTCTCTCGCGCTCGGAAGATTTGTCGGGAGTCTCGAACCGACGTGGGCTCTTTGAGTGAGGAGCCGACGAGGGTGGTTGGCTAGACTGACGTGACATTGGGGGTGCGCCACTGACAGACCGGATGACAGGCTCAGGGTTTCTAGTGGGCCGCGTCAAACGTTCCTGACAACCTGGGCGGGCTATTGGCCCTTCTTCAACGGAACTTTGCGATTCGTGAAATGGGTCTCCAAAGAGCGTCCAAACGAGATTGAGTTTGCAAGGGCGACCTTGTTCTGCGCAACGAACCACAGCCCGCAAGGCGTTGAGTCGACAGACAGCTGCAAAATCACTGCCAGCCGAGCAGCCGCGCCATTCTGTCAATTTGTCGCTGGCGACGATCATGGGTAACGCAAAGTCGTCCGAATAAGGTTGAGACCTTTAGGAATCTCAAAAGTCCGATCAAAGCTAGACTAGACTTGACTGATGTTATGTATAGTGTTGTTCGTGTCTGAGCCGAGGTATGTCCTTGTTGTTGGACTGATTTGGTATACCAACAAGCGCCGCAAGCAGCCGCGGATCATGCACAGGTTCTTGATATGTATCGTTCAGAGGGCGCATTAGGTGTGCACACGTGAGCAGCGGCAGACTCGGATATGTTATCCTGTCATAGAGAGAGGCCTTAGTTGAACAACCTGTTTCGCATGTCAGCTGCCGAGACCCTGGGCCATGACAAAGCCTCTGGTCGAGCAGAATTATTGCCGTGACACTCGGTCAGATGTAAGAGATTGCCAATCTCTTCATATCCAAACCGGCAATTCCCCCGTAAGCAAACTGTAGACTGGTGATGCTCGCAGGTGAAATATCAAGTTGTCCAACGTCAGGCATAAGCGGGGATGCTATCGAGGCCTAAGAGATCTCTGGCTAGGTATCTGGCATAGAATGCCAGTGTAGTGTTGAGCCCGGAGTCTTGCACAGCAGAACGTTTCGTGGTTGACATTTCGAGTTGTATTTCAACGTGAGAAAGGGATGCCCCTCGTCTGTCGGCCGAGTGCAAGTCCTTCGGGTTGTGGGTGGAGGGTGTAGAATGAAATGAAGCAGTGGGTCACAAAGCCGATCAGCACCATGCTGCTGGAGACACCCGCAAGACTCCATACGGCATGACTGTCATCGAATTCAATTGCAGTCTGTGATCAAATACCGAATGATGCGAACGAAGTACGGATAGAAGAGCGGAATGGTGCATCACTGGTTGATCTATCCTACTAGGGTACGCAGTCGCCAATAGTGCATAAAGCATATCCCGCTTTGCAGGATGCGAAAAAATACACGTGGCTTGCGCATACAACATCGAATTTGTAACATGGCCCATCGTGATCCGACAATACTTCTGTATCCCACAAGCGCAGACCGTAGGCGCCAATCCGTATCAAGCTGCCATACACTTCACCCTGCCGTCGAACAGCACCATGACATCCGGGCATCAAATCGGAGATCGGCTGGAATTGCAGTGAAGCACGACATATACGGTGGGTTTGTGAGTCGGACAATGTGAACCTTGGTGGCAAGGAACGTCTCTAAAGCTTGTTGATGCGATCCATTCCCGTCCCGCGAGACGCATTGATTGCATGCAGCCTTCACACCATCGAAGCGTGCTGGAGAGGACGCCGCTTGGGCCAAGCGGAGATGCGAGCCAAAAGCGGCCGTATATGTCTCACTATACGGCTAGACTGGTGGTGAACCGATGAAGGCTCAAGTTGTATAAAGATTGTGCCATGGCCGCTCAACACTCCTGTCTATGGCCCCGTCTCTCGTCGAGGACGTTGAACTTCCTCTGACTTGTAAAATATAGTCTCTGCGAGCATTCCAGCGTGAAGACATTTCTGAGGAAACTGGCCAGCGGAGCGGAACCCGGCTGATAGTTCTTCATACATATGCCCCTGATCCCCTGCCGGACATGGAACCTATTTCGAGGGGACTTTTCTTGGAAGCTGTAAATCGCTGCAGGGGGGTTTCACAATATTCCAGAAAGATTGCCGACGAAGGTGTCGAAGAGTGTTGCATAAGCAGGCGCGGATGGAAATCTGGGGGATGATGCCATCCCGCCTACGGCGGAGGAGATTGTGCAGGGGGCTCGGCATGGAATAGAGTTGTGAGTCCTTCTTCTAGAAGACTCAGGGATGGTTGGAAGGCCGAGGCGAAACATTAGTCCAGATGCAAGAGACTTGGAGATTCCGCAGCCTTGTCGTGTGGCCAGTGGCATGCCAGTCGAGACAGTGCAGCGCCTCCTCCTCGGACTTTGGTGCGGCGCGACCTGGTCATCGTTCTGCAGAGGGGGGGAAAGGTGTCGGCGATTGGCAGGGGAGCGAGTGGGCAGAATTCCAGGAGGAATCTGCTATTGCATAGCCTTGCGGCGCTCGTTTGAAGGGGTGCTTGCTGGGTTGGGTGCAAGTAATTGCTCACAGGTTGGAAATTCTCCTTCTCCTCCCATGGTGCCCCGCCGAAGGGTTTGCTCGCCGGCCAAGACGCGACATTAAGAGCGAGGAGGTTGGATTTAATGGCATTCGTGTCGTCCATTGTTAATGATAGCTGTCGTGTACGCATATGGGTGATTCTCCTTATTTTGGCCGACAGCGATGTCTATCCCGAGATGGCTTATTGAAGCAAATGCGCGTACTCTAGGCCAATGCGAGGCCGTAGTCATGCAGGGCAAGCCGCAAACGCCTCCATTTAGAAACCCTAGGGAGGATGATATGGCGTCGGTGATGACAACGGAGGCCTCTCCCAAACAGAGCACATCCGGACATTGCCGTGATATGCGAAATAAAAGCAAGTGACGGAGCCATACAGACTGTTTGCGTCTGCCCAGTGAGTGCTCTGGTGGATGATGTCGGGCGGGCGCTGACTGACAGGGCGTTGAAGTGGACGAGGGTCGGAGGTGGACCAGGGCGGAGGACGACGGTTTATTTGTTTCATCGATGTCGAATTGGGTAGGCAGGTCGCAGAACAGGAGTTGAATGCTGACAATATCAAAAGATTTGGATCAGGAGAGGCTGATCGGAAAAGAGTCGAATTGGGTCAGAAGCAAAACATTTGTGCATCTTGAACACGTCCCGCCATGAAGAATGGGATTGTGCTCGGCGAATTTCTTCATGCGGATGTGGGATGGAGGAGGGTGGGGGATGTGGGATGGAGAGGGATTCTGGGAGAAGGGGACGCCGGGAATGGAAGGAATGACAAGGACGGAACGGGGAGAAAGAGCTAACGGCGACCTTGGGACACCTATCGCGTCAAGTAGGTACCTGAGGTAGTAAGGTAGCTACGTTCTTCGTTCGAGGCAGGTGTGTACCTTCCATGCCATATATCAAAGAAAAGTAAAGGCATTTCACTAGTCTCGGCGATTTGTACCTGCCTCTTTTGAAGATTGCGCACGATCAATCCAAGGTGACATACTTTACCTTACTACGTAGGCAAGAGGGCGATATTACATACTACAAATACAAGAGTGAAGGAACGAACGACTTCGCAAAGTCGCGAACACACGGCGGAGCCATCGTGCCATCCACTTCCTCAGCGGGATGGACACAGAGGAACAGAAAGAGTGGAGACATGTCACATTGAATGGGTCTGAAATGCCTGAGTACCTGGGTACGTACCCTCGGTGGGCCGCACATCGACACCTCAATTGTGAAGGTGCCCTGCACCGAGTCGTTGTGCGAGGAAGGAAGTAACAGGGGAGTGCCGTCTTTCCTCCGTTTTTGCGCACCGTGGTCACCAATCCACTTGAAGTGTTTGAACACCGTGCCACCATCCGTTTCCTTTCGCACGGTATCACCAATCAAGGCAGGAACAAATTCAAGACCTGGAGTCACGTCGTGAGCGGGCATTGTCTCCGTCTGTGCCTTGAATTTGTCTATTCCGCCTTGGTCAAGGAAAGAAGATGCGGTAATAACAAGGCGAGATTGAATCCGTCAGGTCACAGGTAAGGTTGTTTGATCCGTTCCTCGTCAGTTAGGCCGCGCGACGATGGATACGTACCGCTGTTAGGTAGGGCAAGGTCCAAGCCCGAGCAAGGCTGGGATCATTGACAGCTGTCAGATGAGCCACTCTCGGGAGCTTCAGAACTTCAGGACCCTCAACGTGTCGCTTGGATGCTGGTCCTGCCAACACCAGCATTGATATCTCTACTCCTGGTAGATACCGCAGTAAACTAAGGTAAGGTATGAATGCCTACCCGAGTCTCCAAGGTGTCATCAAAGTGTCAAGGATAAATGGTGTGTATAGATAGCTACCTTATGTGACCATTGTGCACGTAAGTGATGGAAGATGGCGCTATCTATCTCAGATATCCGAATTCTTTATGGAGCATCAGTCTGTGCTGTTTTCATACCAGCTGAGGTTCTCTCGTCCTGACAAAGAACTTACTGTGTAGAAGAACTCACGGTCCTCTACCCCGTTTCCCCCCGTGTGGCCCATTCCGCCCCGTGTGGAGCAGCCCGGAGTTGGCCGAGGCAGGGCGCAATTGAAGATTCGGATTAAGCATGTGCTTCATCAATACGGACAGATAACGCGAAGATGAAAAAAATATGAGAGAGAAAGAAAAACGTCAATCTTGTCTAGTCTTGGAAAGACGTTTTACCCATCAAGCCAACGTCTGTCCAAGCAGTGTCTCAGAAGCTTCCATTCATGCCTTGATGCCTGCCACGACTTCTTCTTTTCGCCGCGCACAGACGGCAGGGTGGAGCCGTCGACTTCCGGTCCGGGCACGGCACCCAGGGGCACGATCAAGAGGGGCAGGGGTCAGGGATGTATACGTCAAGGATCTTGTCAAGCTGTCTTCGCTGCCCGTCAGGGGACAAGGGGTGAAGTGGAAAGCACGGAGGCAGTGGGAGGTGGGAGGTCAGAGAGGAGACACGAAAAAGTGAACTGTGAGGAAAGAAGTTTAGGCAGAGGAGAGGATGAAGATGATGGGCGGTGGGGGGTGACCAGGGGTGAACAAGGGGAGGAGGAAAGAACCCGGACGTGGATGAGGTTCTTCTCTCCGCAGAAACGGCCAAAGCACAGTGACTTGCAGCATCGATGGTCAAGAAATGGCAATGATGTGCCTACGCGTTGCTCGAGTATTCATTTATGCCGCGGGAAAATCGAGGTTGAAAGAGAACAAAAAACAAACAGACAAGAGATTGTCTCGACTGAATCTCAATCGGCCCATCTCTTGCGTTCACGTAATAGTTGGATATAAGCCCTTAGGGGACCTTATGCCAGGGCTAATTCATCTGAGATGCATTCATAGTGGCACAGGCTGTTTTTCTTGTCGGATCCCGCCGTCTTTTATTCACTGCACTTTGCACTTTGCACAGGGCAGAAAATAACCGGATAGAGCAGGGATTCTCCCGTTGGGTGCAAGGCGAAGCCGCGAAGCAACGCAAATGCCAGAGACTAGTACTCCGTAAAGCAGAGACGATTTCCGTATGCAGGCCCTACCACCCGAATGATCTTCCCTTGCCTTTTTGTTGACTTTTTTCCCGACATCCACTCAGCTTACTCCCAGTCAGTCTCCCACTCACCCAAGGTAAAGTTGAAAAGTCCCAAGTCACTCACTCAGCCCACCTCATGGTGACTTACCTAACATAAGGTACCTAGGTGAGCTACCTAGTAAGGTACAAATGCAGCACCTCGCAGCTCGCCCTGTCCAGTATCGCTCTTACCAACGCAGCTTGCGTTACTTCATCCACCTTCACCTGCCTTAGCTCAGCTTAGCTCCAGATCAGGCTACCTTACCTGCGTTACCTGAGGCAGAGACAAGACATTTGACACATGGTGGTGTACCTCGACACGGTCCAACACGTGTGTCGGTACTTTCTCGGACACATGGAGCACATGAAGCAGACACACCTTAAGGCAAGGCCGACATAGGCCTGGAGGTGTGGGAGAAGACAGAAGAAGGAGGGCATGTCCAGGTCCATCTTTCCCAATGTGGTCTGTTGCTCTGTTTCCCGTTCCTTAGCTTACCTGAGAAAACTACTCCGTCCCTTCCTTCTTTTCCCAGCCCAGCCCTGCCTTACGAAGTTACGACTAACGACTAGTATGGCGCGGTACCTGTCTACTTGTGGCGTCCGACGACACAGACACACCCCGCGCCCGTCTCGAGGACGGACCAAGTATCGCCTACTTCCGCCATCCGTGCTTCCTCGTAAAGACTGAAGTCACTTTAGCCTGACAAGGTACCTCTAAGTCAGGTAGTCCACGCATCTCCCGTCTCAATCAGCACTTGCCTTCAAGGGACATCCTTCCTGCGCAGCAAGTAACCGGCCTTCGCGCCGCGATCCATCTGAACGCCCTTTCCCTCCTAACCTTACGGTCCTTGCTTCTATACGGATACGTATCCAGGGTGTATTAGGTCGTCGATCCAGACGTGCCTGCCATTCCACTACCTGCACACTCCATTGCTCCATAGTGCCAATGGGTGTGTGGATGCATCTGGGTATTGCCTGCCAGTGTCTCTTTCCCCATCTTTTTGATATGCATGGGTACTGGCCAATACCGACATGGAACGGTTACAGAGACTGAACGGAATGACAGGGACTCGGGAGGTAGGCTAAGGTAGGGTAGGAACGGGAGACCAGGTCCTATGTGAACAATTCAGCCAGGTGAACGCCTTCCACCTTCTCCCGTCTTCCTCCTGCTCTTCCCTCCAAGCCAATCGATTCTTTCCATGGTCTATTTATCCAAGACGACTTTATGAGGTCCCTTATTCTTACCTAAGGTAAGGTAGGATAGAGTAACGTACCAAGTCACTTGACGTTTACTCTCGCGCCTCGCGCCTCACGCTTCACCTCCTTCTTTCCCTCTCCACCGATGGATATCAGACCTGTTCTGCCCTGTTCTCCTCTTCACCTTCCTCCTCGATATTCCCTGGCCTGACATTTCATCGTTGACAAGCCCCTCACCTTGGCCGGCATTAACCTTACATGAGATCCACTTGGACATCCCGACGGATGTGGTGAGGCCCTCTTCGAATGTTCCCGTCAAAAGTCCCCTCCGACCATCTCCGGTACCCGTGCCGTGTCTGACTTTCTCCATCATCGTCTCTTTATTCTGGCCGCATGAACGCACAGAGCAGATCAGGACCCGTCAGAAATTGCTTCTAAATCCGGCCGGGCCTCTCTTTCATCTGCGCGCTCGTCTCAGGCCTGGGCCATGTTCTTCATCTCGTCGTTTCTCATCTTCAAGTCATCGATTGCTCATCAAGAAGACGGCACAAGTACTCAGCTGGGCAGCAAAAACGCATACCCTAAGTTTGGATTACTTTCCGCCTTGCACCCACATTTGATACATCGGCATACCCAAGCTCAACAACAACAACAACAACAACAACAACAAGAACAACAACATCATCACCAAGCTCATCTTGAGTAGTGATCATCAACCGCCGTCATTGAGAACGCTCACAGTATTTGGTACACAACACAACACGCTCTGTTCCAATCGAATACCGCGACAGACCACGCAGTCGAGTCCAGCCCAGTCATCTTGGCTTCCTTGACCGCCCCCAAACCGCCGCTTGACAGGTCGCTTCTTGCCGAAGGTTGTCGACTGACCACATCCGGGACGACCAGGGACAACTCCGCCAAGAGACTCGAACCTCGCGGCACAGACCAGAGCGACACAGGGATTCTTCATCGGCCTCTCCTCCTCAGTTTCTCTGCCCCCGCCGGATGGCAACCAAGGCCTGGGCCTAGTCCATATCTCCCCAAGAGTCCCGTCCAGTATTTGGCATCCGGTTCCTCCAAACTCTAGCAACTCACAGTCAACCAAGACAATAGAACCGGACACCACCTTACCATCTGGCTCTGCCTACTGGACTACGCCCTTGCCCACCCCCTTTGAAGCTTAGAGGTCAATCCTGTTGCAGACCGATCGAACTGTTCGCTCCTAGGTTAGACCGTCCGGCATCGAGACATGGGCGTGGAGTTTCTCTTTACATCGTCATTGTCTCCAAATCGCGGTTGAAAGCCCCTCGAAAGAGAAGGAAAAGGGGATACATTGGTACGACACGGTGCATCGCATCCCACCTTGAACTGCCACCCCCCGAACCCCCCCTCTTCCCATTCATCCTCCATTTTGCTGTACCCGTACGGATAGTCCTGCCAGAGAGGAAACAGGCAAGCATTGGCCAAGTCAACCGTCTCGTCTATTGGGGCAGGGTTCGAGGCGAGGCAGGTTGGGGAGACGAGACCTGTTCTTCCTCAGCACACCCCACCCCCAAGCTTCTCTTTTGCTCAATGCTCACAGCTTGGCTGACCGTTTTCTTTTCTTAGTATTCCCAGTCCTAATCCCATACTCCCAGTTCCAGTCCCGGTCGCTGGACGCCTCCTTCCCATCTCCAAACGTCTCCATCTTGTACACGCCCCTTCATGCGACCCCTGAGGTACGGTACCCTCTTCTGCTCCACCCGTCTTTTCCTGATCCCGACAACAGCTTCCAGGGCCATTGAGACCTAGTTAGTCTGCCCGACTTTATATCAAGATCACTGCTTTACCTTCTAGTTGCATTTTCCATCAACCATCTATTTACCGCACCAGATTTGACGGCATATCATCTCGGATCTTCTTCCGAGTCCTTCTGCTCCCTTTCCCATTTCTTTCCCTCGTCGCAATAACCTCGATCTTACTCGACACTCGAAACTCAACACTCAGCAGCTTCATGACAAAAGACGTTTGGGCGGCGTTTTGATGGTCGTAGAAAACGCGGACAAGTACACGCGCAACATTTGGTGCGCCCGCTGCGCGCCACTCGTCGTGGAGGTCGAACTGTCCATTTCTGCCACGGTGCTGTTGACGTACCACTGAGCTCCTCGACCGCTAGGGACGGGTGTAGCTTGCTTTTGCAAAGGTAGGCCAGACCCTGTCTATATCACCAGCACATGCTGGGCCTGTGTGGATATGCAGAGAGAGAGGTCGTTGTCGCTGACCACTTAGAAAGTAGAAAAGTGCCGCTTTCTTAGATACACTGGCACTATTATTGCCTCGTACCCTCCAACTCTCCTCTTGTTGCCCCTCCGCACAGGAACATTCCGATCAGTCTCCCCTGTTGCTGTCCTGTGTCCCACCTCGAGGGATCTGCGCCTAGTACTGTGCTTCGGGCTACCATCGTCTTGCAGGGGTCTTACCATCAACTTCTTTGTCGCATTAAATCTCCTCTTCCCACACCAGTTGTACTTCCTTCACCACTTGTCGCTGTCACGTATCGTGTCAGATAAGCTTCGCCGACCGGTATCCAACATCAACGCCTCTTCGCAAATCATCAAACGGGCTCCTCGAATAATCACTTCTCGTCTTTCGTACTACGTCGCCTATTTCGGAGATACAAAACTCTTCTGCCACCACGGCAAGGTAACCTTACCAGTATCAAAACTACGCTGCCGCAACTTTCACTGGGCCAACATCCAACGAACTGCCCCTATCTCCGATACGTCTGAATATCTTCTGGATATAAGAGGCGAAATATTTCTTCTCTACCAAACAACAGCAACCCTTGGAACACCTCACCACGAAACATATCGTTACTCAAAGCAGACCAGCAAAAGAAATACACAAATGTCGTACCAACCCAGTTGGCACACGGGTCCGGCCCCCGACCCGCAAGAGTATGTTCAAGACATGATATCATGGTGTCTGGGAGAAGGAGCTGACAAGTCACAGCATTATGAGGGACAAGGAATCGTTGCGTCTGGCCATCGCTCAAGCGCCAACTTCCCTCTCGCCTAATTTTTCTTGGCATCTGCTGTTAGTGAATGAGTGAGCCTACCACCAAATTACTAACAGCCGAAAACTCTTCACCTCCCCTTGCCGGAGCCCGCATCCGCGATGGCCTCACAGCCGCCGTCGGGCACCGGACTGATGTCGGCCGACCAAGCCGACCCCGAACCAGGCTCCGGGACACCTCCGGAGCCGAACCCCACCTCAAGAGCTAAGCGACGCCGCGACGTCGAGGCACAGCCGACCCGGCCCAGCCTAACGGGAAGCCAGCTTGATGCCACCACCGACGCCCCTACCTCGGCCGAGGGGCCCGCAGCCTCTACCGCATCTGCTCCGAGCGGATCTGCCACAGGGTCCGTCTTGACAGCCCTTGCAGAAGAAGCTAGACAGTACGAGGCACGGAAAGACGTCTTTCTGACCATTGCACGGTCCGTCGACAGCGTTGTCGCCAGCTTTGACGGTTCTAGAAAGCAGATCGCGAAAGAAGCCACTGCCTATGTCATTCAAACCCTCAAGAGACTGATCAATCACGAGACAAGCCCAATAGCGGCCCGGAGTTGGGCGGCTGTCGTCGCACCGATGGCGGGCAACACCACTGCGGCGACCCGGAGCGGCCAGAGCTGCCAGAGCTCTGCCCGCCCGAAGGCCACACTCCCCGCCGAGGATCAGCCGCAGGCGCAGCCGAAGGAGGACCTCCGCATCTTTGCCCGCGTCCCGGAAGAAAGCTTAGCGGCCGCTCGGAAGATCGCACCGTTCGCCGTACGACAGATCGTCTGTAAGGCCGTTGGCCTGGGGCTAGCGGACCTTCCCCACGTCTACCATATCAGCACAGGTTACTCTCTGAAGCCGCGAAACAAGCAAATACAGGAAAGACTACTTGCAAGTAAGGCAAAGCTGGCGGAATGCCTCGGCGCCCACCAGGTCGAGACGCCTATCAAGTGGTACACTTACGTTGTGCCGCGATGCCCAACAAAACTACACAGCATTGGCGGGGACGTCCTGGACCCAGCCACACTCGTTGAAGATGAGGTCTTCGCACAGACAGGACAGAAGCCTGTCCTTGCTCGACCGTCCCGCCTTGGGCCCAACCCAGTCACGAACGAAATATCTTGGCTCATATCATTCACATCAGAGGTCACGCCCTTCAGGCTCTTCAACCAAAGCGGCAGATCTCTGCCCGTCAAGAAACGAAGGACGCTCATCCGACACGACCCCGGCTGCCAGGGCTACCACTCCAACCGGTTCTGCGGACGACGACCGATCTGCAGCAACTGCGGAAGACCTTCCGATTCACACGAAACGGGACCCTGCATGGCCAGGCCCCAATGTGCCAACTGCTGCGGCCCCTTCCAAGCCAGCCACACAGACTGCCCAGCGAGGCCCTCGGCCGTAAACGGCGTCGTCTCCCTTCCCGGTCGAAAGGAGCGGGCTCGGATCCGGAAGGCCGGCCAGAAAGCATCGGACACTCTGTACAAGGCTACTCGATCCGACAGTAGCCAGGAGGCGGCAGGCGTCCCTACCTCCACCAGCCAGAACCAGCAACCCGGCGCCAAGCGCGCGCGCACGAGAACGCCCTCCGCAAGCTCGATCGTTTGCCTCGGTGACGGAAGCACTGACAGCAGCAGCATGGATGAAGACGAGGCGGACGAAGGCGAAGGCGAAGACTCCCCCGACAACACCTCCATCGACCGTCCCGTGCTACCCATGCCAAGCAGGAGCCAACGGGCAGCACAGAAGCCAAACTACAACGTCGCGAATGCCTACACCCACCTCGAACTCGACTCGGAGACGTAAGCCGAGAGCGGCGACCCCACGGATGCTACGCGTTGCGCAGGGCAACGTCGGAAAGATCTCCCCGGCGCACACGGCTTTCCTGCAGCTCTGCTGGGAGGCTCAGATAGATGTGGTCCTCGTCCAGGAACCCTGGACGGGCTGGAAGGACGGAAACGTGCAACTGAACACGCACCCGGGTTTCGACTCTTTCGTCCCGGTCGACTTCTGGGACAGCGAAGGAACCAGACCAAGAGTATTGACCTACACACGCAAAGGGATAGGGATGACGGTGGAGCAGCAGAGGCCTGTCCACACGAGAGACGTACTGTGGCTGGTGGTCGACAAAACGACGACTATCGTCAACGTGTACAGACAACCCCGCGACCCCCACAGCCGCACAACAGGGATACTGCTAGAACTCAAACCCCCGGAGCGAGCTTTGATCGCGGGTGACTTCAACGCGCATCACTACTCTTGGGAGCCCGGGACGAGGAACGGGAACCGGGGAGATGACATCGCAGGCTGGGCAGACGGCCACAATCTCTCTCTTATCAGCGAAGTTGGGGTGGCAACCCAGGATTGCGGACATGTCCTGGACCTGGCTTTCTCTAATATCCCTTTTGCGCACGCGCAGGTCAGCCCACAGCTACACCCGGGAGCTGACCACGAGGCCATCGTGGCCGTCATACCACTACTCAAACGCCCAGTGTCACAGGGAGAGGGCCACCCGCAGCCACGGCCACTGTCAGTGCCCGACTCGGCGCTGCCTCGGCTGAGAGACCTGATCGAAGGGGGGCTAGCTGCGATGCCCAATCTGGGGGATCAACCTACTCCGGAAGACCTGGACGGGCAGGCAAGTCACATCGTCGAGCTCTTCTCCCGAGCCATTGAGGCGGTCGGCAAGAAGAGAGGAAAACATGGTAAAGGCGCGGCTTGGTGGACGGAGGAATGCGCAGAGGCCCACAGAGCATACCGTGCTGCCCGCAACCAACAAGCCTGGGAGACGGAGCAAGATGCGCACCTTTATCTAATGGAGAAACGAAAGGCGTTCCTGAGCACGGTGAGGAAGGCTAAGCGAGCATACTGGGCCGGAAAGATCGATGGAGTCGCTTCAGACCGGGACCTGTACCAGATCATGGGTTGGCGGAAGGCGAGCCTACTGACCAGAGCACCCCCATTGGTTGTGGACAACCAGACGATCGAGGATACTAACGAAAAGGCTCAAGCGCTTCGGGGAGCCCTTCTCGACAGGTTTAGTGCGGAAGATGACGCACCGGGTGACCCGTTTGACGTACCCGTCGTCCCGAGGCGAGCGATTACTTGGCAGGACAATGTTAGCGGAGAAGAAGTGAAGACGGCCACCTTAACAAAGACAACGACCCCTGGTGTGGACGGCATCACAACACGCCTCCTCCAGGCATGCTGGGATGTCATCTCGGAACCGGTCAGGCAGCTATTCCAGTCCTGTATGCGGGCCGGCCACTTTCCTCTGCCCTTCCGCAGAGCTGAGGTGGTCATGATCCAGAAGGCCGGCAGGGATGCCTCCAAGCCCGGGTCCTGGCGGCCGATCGCGCTCCTCTCGTGCCTGGGCAAGGGACTAGAGCGACTGATAGCCAGAAGGATGGCGTCCCTGGCGATTGTCGAGCGCATCATCAGTCCGCAACAGATCGGGGCTCTACAAGGCAGGTCAGCCGTCGATCTGACGACCTGCCTCACCCACGACATCGAGATGGCCCTCCTAAAAGGACTCACGGCGACACTTCTGACTATGGACGTAAAAGGGGCGTTCGACTCCGTCCTTCGGAACCGGCTCGTCATTAGACTGCGTCAGCAGGGATGGCCACATGGCCTGACCAGACTGATCTTTAGCTTCTGCTGCAACCGCACCGCTAGAGTCCGACTGGAAGAAAGCACAACGGAGTACTTCCCGCTGTCATGCGGGCTGCCTCAGGGGTCACCACTATCTCCCATTGCCTTTCTGCTCTACATCGCAGAGATACTTGAAGACGACCCGAACGCGCGATTCGGGTACGCGGACGACATCGCCACTCTGGCCATCAGCCCCTCCCTGGAGAGCAACGTCGCAATACTCAACCGAAGCGCAGCCGGCATTCTCAGATGGGGCTTGGAGAACAAGGTCTCCTTTGACCCGAGCAAGTGCGAGGTCATCCACTTTACTAGGAAGCACGGCCAGCCAGCGGAGCTGCCAGAGGTCCGGGCGGGGGATTTGGTGGTCAAGGCCTCGACGAAACCTGTACGCTGGCTGGGTGTCTGGTTCGACAAGAGACTGTCCTTCCGGCACCATGTCGACGCAAAAGTAGCTGCAGCAAAGAGGGCAGCTCAACATCTGAGACAGCTTACGAACACAAAGAGGGGACTCCCAGCGGCCGCCGTGCGAAAAGCCGTCGTCTCCTGCGTACTGCCGATCGCGCTCTTCGGCGCCGAAACATGGTACGCAGGTATCACGAAGCCGGCTTCGAGACGCCAAGCGGAGACAGACACGAATCCGCCTCTCCAAGGAAGACCCGTCAACACAGGCCAAAAGGGGCTCGTGCAGAAGATCGACAGCGTCATTACAGCGGCAGCAAGGGCCGTTCTGCCTGTCTGGAGGACAACGCCAACCAGTAGCCTCCTCCGAGACGCCGGCTTACCGTCAGCCAAAGTCGCCTTAGAGGGCGTCCGCTTACGGGCCGCAGTCCGACTACAGAGGATTGATCGCCGACACCCGCTAGTCGCGCGGCTCTCCCAGCAGGGACAGCAACAGACGAGACTACAACGGACGGCTGAACTTCTGCCAAGATGCGGAAGACCAGCGTTCCTTCAATCACAGTACCTGCCAAGCTCACAGGATCAGATAGTAGTTCAATGCAAAGAAGAGGCTGCGAAAGCTTTCGAGCGCTGGCTAAAGACAGTACCGGAAAGCCATATGATCGTCTTCTCGGACGGCTCCAGGGCGACGAACGGAGCCGTGGGGTACGGCTTCGTCATCTACCGAGACTCCAAACGCATAGCACAAGGGTGCGGCCGACTCGGACTAGCAGAAGTGTTCGACGCCGAGGTCGAAGGGGCGCGAACCGGCCTCAGAAGGGCTCTGCTCACCAATCGCGGTCATCCAATCCACATATGTATCGACAACACCAGCGTTATACAAGGCATCCGCGGCAAGGCGCCGGACTCGTCACAAGACGCGTTCCTCGAAATCCAAGAAGCGGCCAGGATATTTGATATACGGACGCACTGGTCCCCGGGACACCAGGGCATCGAAGGAAACGAGGCCGCGGACCGGCTGGCCAAAGAAGGAACGACACTGCCGGCGCGGATGGGTCAAATGGCAACACTAGCGGGCATCAAGCGGCTTGCAAGGGAAAAATTACAAAGCCAGCACAGGAGATGGTGGTATAAAGAGCGAAGGCCGCGGTACGCGGACTTGGGGCTTGAGGCAGCTCTGTCCAGCCCTCCTGAACTGGCCTTGCCGCGGGCTACGTTACATCACCTGCTGGCGGCACGATCGGGTCACGGGGACTTCGAGCAATATCACCGACGTTTCAACCACGACGACGCTCTAATGATGTGCTCTTGTGGAGAGGCGAAAGACGTGGACCACCTGGTCTACTGTCGACTAACGCTGGCGAGGAGGCAACGGTGGCCGACCCTCCACTCTCGCAGTATGCCCGAGCCCATAGGCCCTATGGGATCTCTCGAGGCCTACTTCAAGAGATTAATCACCGACCCACGAGGCTTCGAGGCCTTTCTCCGCGTGACGGACTTCTTCCAGAAGATCTGTCTGCGGTAGCAGCATCCACACCTACGTAGATGTGAGTGCGGACTACAAAGAACCTCCCGATTCCAAGGGACGATTTGGGAAAGAATGAAACTGGGGCACCAGCGGGAACCGGGGACAGACAGAACGCGTAGTGGCCACAAGGCATGATTTGGAGGACGATGTAAAGAGACGACGTACTGTAGAGTAGGTAGCCTTGGCTCACGGCCCTCCACGCCATATACCCTTCGGGAGGTCTGCGGTAAGGGCTCTAGCCCGGCCGCCACGGCGTTAAATACAACAACAACAACAACAACATCGCTCAAGCGCCACAGCACGCCAAAGTAGCAACTGGCAAAGAGAAAGGTTCGTCTTCGCTCGTCGATGCTACCCGATAGTCACCTAATTCAAGGTCGCAGATCGTAAGCCCATTGACCCTCCGCCGATTCTCCACATCGACCTAAGGAATCACAACCAGAATTACGCAAATTTCATTCTGTCGAGTAAGCTACGAGACCCTCTTCCTCGTTCCTGCCTGGGACTCAAGCTTGAAGGAAGCTAATCGTGCAACAGGCCCTAGCTTGTTCGTCCAAGTTTACCTCAAGCCCGGCGATAAGAAAACCAAAATGGACCCAGAGACCTGTGCAAAAGGCTTAGTGGGATCGACTGTCTCCTCTTTGCAAAAGTACAAGAGCATCGAGGGCAAGGACGAAGGCTACTTTGTTTTTCCCGACCTCTCTGTCAAGATGGAGGGTTTCTTTAAGCTGAGATTCGCCCTGTACAACATGAAGGGCGGCGAGGTATACTTCATGACGGAGATGGAGTCCCACGGCTTTCAAGTTCACACGGCGCGGTCGTACCCTGGAATGAGCTCTTCAACAGACTTGACCCGTCATCTCAGCGATCAAGGCTGCCGTCTACGGATCCGGAAAGATTCTCAAGTTGTCAAAAACCGCAAACGACAGTTCCAATATGGCATGGACTCCGACCAAATGCGCAATGTCAGGCAACGTCAGGGCATGGCTCAGCTAACACAGCAAGCCCATCACCCAAAAGATATTGCACAGCAGCAGGGATTCTCTCACGGAGGCTCGGCCACGGGAGTTCCCAGTCCTGCATCGTCTTCTCACGGAGGAGGGCAAGCGCCTGCGGTAACAATAATGCAACAGGCGAATCGACACCAAGTCCAGGCGGTCAGTTACGCGCATCCACAGCCATTGATGGCGCATTCCATGCCGGGAATAATGAGCATGCAGTTGTCGCATTCGGCAGTATATCCGCCACCAACGCCATCTTCAGGACTATCGGTTGCATCGCTTCCCTCGACTTCGCCTACGCAGAGCCCAGACTTGGTGACTCCCACGTACTATCGGCTTGACTCGGGCCTCTACGATTATACGACAACCCAACACAACTTGGGGGACGCTTTTTTCCCGCAGCCTCACCAGCCTTACAAGGCTGACCAATACTGGGAGAGAGACTCGGATAGTAGGATTAATAGCCACGGACATGGCCATGGGCAGAGCTAGGAGGCTGGAGATACTGGTCAAGAGGCAGGCTAAGGGCATGGGAGTTCAGGTGAACAGCGAGAGCTCAACCGGTCTCCAGACGAGACTGAAGTGGGAACATCAGTATGGTGGATTTTTGGTTTACTGTTTGTCTTGGTGCACATTGACGAGGTTTGTCAAAAGGGGGTATTAGTTCAAGCGACATTGCATAACACCAGGCACAGTCGCCGGCTATGGGTCGATCCGGCGTTGTTGGTTTCGAAGGCTTCAACAGAGGACAATATACCCTTGGGATTCTTTCAACGGGCATTGTTTGGTAGCACAGTGGTGGCGCAGCAGGAGCATAGAGCGGAATGAAATCTCGAGCAAGTTATCACTTCAGACTTTAGCAGTAGGAATCACGTTTTTTTCTTTCGTACCTTCCACGGTGTAGTAGCCATTTCTCGTGAATAACACAGCAAGTCCGAAACCAGAAGACTAGGTAAACCATAGTCAGAGCCATAAGGTACCGAATAACCCAGGGCCCTGGCTGCTCGACGGAGTGGCCCTCCGACAGGAATCCTTGCGCCACTAGCCCGAATATCTACGGAGCGCGCGCTATTAGACTTTCCAAGCGTGTTGGACCGGACCCCTGCCCGCCATAAATTTCCTCATAATGCACGACAAATAGACCTTGGTACCTCACAGGCAGACAGCAGAGACCGCGATCCCCGCACTGGTGCTACTTGAAACGAGACAGGCTACGGCAGACAACAGCATAATGTAGTCAGGGGGGTGGAAGGGGGCAGGGCATGTCAGGATAGGGCGCGAGGAGAGTTGATTGGAGTTCAGGCCCTCAGCCTTTCAGCCCTCCAGGGACTATAAAGGAACTAGAAAGGGAGAGAAGGGGCAAGTTTTGCCAAGCTATCAAGTGCCAAGCATTCAAGGGAGGTGTCAACATGTGTCAGGACTTTGGCGTATCCGAACTAGGTATGTGCTGTGTCCATTTTGTACTGTTGTCGGAAGATGCCGTTTCGGATATCGGCGAGGGTGCGTGGGTGCGTGTGTCTGGTGTACTGTGTAAGTGCTATGTGTGTTGGTGTGTCATGGTTTTGGTCACTGGTGTGGTGCTGTGGCCAGGTTGCGGCGTCAGGTACCTTGCGTTACGGCTGTCCGGCGGCATTTCGGAGGGCCGGGCGCCCGGCCGGGTGTTGGGATTATGGGGCTTTTGGGGGGCCCCCATCACGGTGTGCCTTACCTTACGCTTGGTGCCTACAGGTATGCTGGGGAATGTCGATTGGGATGGATCCGTTCGTATGAGCAGATTTTGACGGATTGATACTAGTGTGTGTAGGATTGGCTAAGGGAATGAAGGGTCGATGAGTGATATAATCCCGCGTTGTGGCTCGTGGGGGTATTGATTTGCTGGCTCTGTGGTTGTTGGGGCTGTCGGATTGGGGGTTTCACGTAAGGTAATGTAAGGCACATGAGGTACGGTGCTAGTAGGGTTGATATCGGATGAGTGCACGTTGAAAATTTTGTTCATGGGCCTGGAATATGCCTCAGACTTTGAGCGACATCATTTCGTAATAGGGTCATTGAGTACCTCAGGTATTGAGTAACGTAAGAGAAGCATTGACGTTCGATTGAGTAACGTAACATTGAGCAGACGAGTTAGCCCACGGAACCCGCGCAATTATTCCGTTCTCCTGAGACCATTGCCTCGGTCTCGGCTTAGCGACGTAGCTCGGGCGGGTTAAGGACTTTCATTCAAGAATGTAATTGCTCACGTGTGACCGAGGTTCTTCCCGGGAGAAGGGAAAGGTAAATGCTTGTCAGGTCATCAATAGCATTCGGTCTCAGATTCCTTCTGGTGAAAACATCGTGAGGTTCAAACAAGGTGAATACAAAGTTTGGAAGCATCTTTAACCGGTAGCCCTCACGCAATGGGTTCATCTAAATCCAGCCCTACGAGGCTAAGGTATGTCACGAAAGTCAATTATCACCATTTATGATGGATGCAACCAGACCGTCGGCTTCTACGCGTGACGAATGTCGCATATTGTATACTTTGGCTGCCTTTGAGTTCAAGCCTACTGCGGGTGCACAAGGCTCTTGGTGTTCATCGTGAGCCGTGTGGTGGTTGAACTTGGCTGTGGCGCCGGCGCGCACGTGTGTGATGTTAAGTACATCGTGTAACTTGCCTTAGTGTCTGTAAGACTAACATGAGACTGCTTAGTGAGCCATGGGAATGGAAATGCGGCAGGATCGAGAAAACTAGTCTGGAAAGTGACAAGTAACGGTCAATTGACCTATATGAATCCAAGATGAAGTGAAGTTGTAAGGTGGTGGTGAGGTTCTGCGGCGATGCGGGCAGTTTGCAGCTGCTCCCCCCCGCACAATGGAGGGGCGGCGCGGGGCTGTGTCTGACAGGCCGCGGGGTCCCTGTGTGCGGGGAGGGAATCTGTAACACATGCCCAGTTCCCGGCAGCTCGTCTCACTCTCACTCCACACCACCAACTCAACTCCAACCTCGACATGACAACCTCTGTCAATGGGAACATCTCATCAGTGTCTCACCGCAGACTACCACACAGGCTTCGGTCAGCGGTCACCTTCGTGACACGATCTGAAATGATGCCAATTTGCCGCCTCCTGTCACCTGGTCGCCATCCCATAAACCAAGATACAAACCCGGGCCGGATGGCGCAGCCGCCTCATCCCGACGGAGATCACGGCGATCAATCACCACCTTGTCAACATATCACACTCGGGACCTTCATGCGGCTCTTTCGTGATCCGACCTGCCGAGTTGTTCACCGATTTCTCACTGAGACTGTATCCGAACTCCGGACTGTGAGGCCTGCATCCATGCCGTTCACAAACTTCACCCTACCCACCACACCGTTCACCCGTGATCTGCAGCTGGGAAGATTGGTGATCACGCAGATATCCTAACACCCTGCGCCTCACGTCTGGAAATCTTATGGGATTGCGATTCCCAGGCCATGAAAGTCTGGGCACTTCGGAAAATCCGACGCATGAGAGGCCTTGGTGAGATTTGAGTACACCCCTTGACTACTTCTCATCGTTTATTCGTCTCATCTCCAGATGAACACCCCATCAACGTATGGGCTATCGATCAACCATGACGTGCGTTTCGAGGCGCTTGAATGCTGGGTGGCAAGATCCGGTCGATCACACAGCAATGAACCACTTCGTTGTCTCTTCTGCGGTAGGTATTGACGCTTTGCCGCGCGGGTCCTTGCGTAGAAGTTTGCATCGCGTTATGTATGTCTCTGCACAGTTACTCAAACCCGCAGATGAATACTCTCTCAATCAAACAAAGTTTAGCTTGAGTCTATCTACGAATTTCAAATTTGCCCGTCCGAGACCGAGGAAGGAGGCTAGGGAATTCCAAGCCTTTACTAACGATCGCGAAACTGGCGCTGTAGGTGAACCTTCTTGGAAGTCCGCTCCGCCGATGATATAGGGCGGGCTGGAGACGAGAGTAACATAATGCTCTCAAAGTCGTGAATAGTATATGGTAGCTACTTATCATCGCGATCATCAGTGCACCCGAAATTTCCGTCCGACTTTCATTCTCATATGCCGCTGGCCGCTAGCATTGCCATCCCGGATCTGGAGAGTACTCGATGCATGGATTTGAAAGGAAGCATCCGGTCGATCATACTGGAGAGGCCTCTTGATCTTTTTTTGATAGCAGGGCGGGAAATCAGATGGACTGAATCCAAACCCCGTCAAAGATAGATAGTTTCTTGGTCTAGGCGCTGGCGCGCTTCGAGGCCAGTAGAGCATTGCCACATAGCAAGGCATGGATACGTAACTCCTCTGAAACGTCAAGAAGAGAAGAATGGCGACTTGGAAACACTGTTGGGGGTACTGAACAGAATTCTTTTGTCAGTATGAAAGGGATTGTGCATTAGGCCTTGCCGCCTCCCGACAGGTACTCGTGAGGGCTGTCTAATACCTCCATGACCAATAATCTCTAGTACCTATAACCCAGGTAAAATGCTGGCGAAGCTGGATTGTAATATCTAACAATACCAATTTGGCTTCATTTGTAGTAGGTTTGATCATTTCATAAGCCTATCATAAGTGCATCCAACTACCTTGCGCAATAAAAAGACGGCAGGGCGGTGTGCTCCGTAGCCGTGGTATTATTGGGTCGGTATGAGTTTTTCCAATTTACCTCAAGTCAAACACTTCTCTCCTAAGCACCTTGCCTCAGGAAGTACACAACATTGATTCAAAGAGCTACCTGATTGCAGAACTGTATGTAACCACATCTCACTCATCAACGCCTGGTCTAGGTGCTTCGTGGACCTACCCCGATCAGTCCCCAGATCTTAGGTGACATCCAGAAGCACAGGTAATGTTCATCCAAGAAGCGCATGGACTTGCATGCTACAAGCCGGACGATCATACACGGCATGTCACGACAACACAGACCTTCCCGGGAGGCCTTTGCCGGCCGGAATTGCAAGAGAGAGTTGCCTCACAGAGTCTCGAAAATAGCTGCGGGAAGGTTACTCATCAGTGTCGGATCTCCGTCGGGAAGACTGCTCTGCCCACGCGCTGCGTAGAAAAGTGACTGCATCCAGCACTTCAAAAACTGGCAATCCACCCAGGATGCCAATACATAGAGCGTCACTAACGCCATAGAACACCCGCTTACCACATCCACTGATGTGGAGTTACTTCCGAACCCTGACGGGAAAGCGACCGAGCACCGGCTCGAGCCAAGATCCTGCCAAACAGAACAGCGCTGCGTCCAGCAGCCTGCATTAGGTAGCACGCCACACTTGTGGCACTGTCCGCCTTGCGGAAAGAGGTTTCCAACCAAGTTCCAGTACCCAACCAGCAGCTTCGGGCAGCAGAAGATTCCGCTCTGCGTAACACTCGACTTCGCCATGTCGACTCGGGTCAGCCCGACACCATATTGGAGATTCCACTCCATCAACTCAGCCACCCAATCCATGGGTAGAAACTTGGGGTTTGCCATCACCTGGCACTCAACCCTCTTGAGTATCTCCGACAGCCGTCCCAAGCCGGCATCAAACAAGCCTCCGCTTCGCTCCGCCACCCAGTGAGCCACGTCCGGGCTCAGCACAGGAGCAAGCCAGCTGACTGGTGTCCCACCGTACTTGCCATACATGGACAAAGAATCTACCCAGATTCCACCGTTGCGAATACACCCTTCCTCTCGGAGAGGTGTTGAAGGAGGGCTCACGCCGCGCAGTAGCACCATCGCTCCGTCTCTGTTCGAGTCACCCAGAACGCAGGTGCTTTAGCACCGCAGTGGAGCGCAAAGCGGAACGCAAGAGGCCACTCAGGCCGATACAGTCACGAAGGTACGGAGTACCGTAGGGATGCGGGGACCGGGGCGGAGTGAAGCGAAGCGGAGCGCAACGGAGGGGAGGCGTCAAGCCGGACCGCAGTGGAGTGCAGCGCAGTGCAACGACCAAAGAAAACTTTTTCACAGTAGCAACATTGTCAATCAACATCTCACGATAACTTCATTCTATTAACGTGTTTCCGAACACTCTGAACTGCCTACGCTGCGCTCCGGCGTCACGGGGCTCCGCCCCATACCCCAATTTTCGTATCTCTACTTCAGTCCTCCGGAGGTGAACAGTTCATTGTCAATCACTTAAGCTCAGCCTAACTACTATTTGGGCTTTACCCTTCTGAGGGTAGAATAGTCTATATCATTTCATTCCATTTCAAACTAACTACGTCTCCTTCTCGGAGAACGGTTCCACAACAACTTCGTTGTCTGACTGGGCTACACCGCCCAGCGAAGTCCACCCGTCTAGAGACGGCCCCGGAAAGAACTTGGACTCTCCCCAGCGAGTCCTACAAAGGGAGAATCCATAGGAGAAAAGCAGCTCCGCTGCCTTGTTAAAGTCGCCGTTCTGCGTCGAGGAGCTTACCCAGCCCCAATCCATGCCTTCCATGGCACATCGATCGTATCCAGTTGCCTTCCACGCCTCGGAATACATCACTTTCTCCCAAGAACTAGTCCACTTCTTCAAAGAAGGAGGATCACCGCTCACGTCTCCAAACGTAATCATAAACCTGCGGGAAGACGTCATCCTGACTGTCGGTGCGCTCACGCTCTCCGTCAACTGCAACACCTGTCTGTTTTTACAAACCAAGTGCGGGATTCCACCCTTAATATACCTCTCGGTCCGGCCTCGAACAGTCCAAACCAACCTTTCTCCACGAAAGAGTAGCCACTGGGCTAGCTGAGTAAAACAACAAACCTGTCCGCAGTTTGTGTAAACAAAAAAGAAAAAACAACCTTCTTCCTGTCGGTTGGCGAAAACTTTTGTTCTGCCTGAACAAATAAAACAAAGAGAAATCCTCTGGATTGCCGACTCCGTCTTGTGTGTCGCCCCCAGGGCTACGTGGTTCCCTTTTACCACCAACGGTAAAGTGGTTTCAACTGCCGGTTGAAAGTAGAAGAAAGAACCTGTTCGTTTCTTGTCCTCCGTGTGGGCGTCTGTCGACTTTAAGTAATTCTCCAAATTGTCTTGCTCCACTTCGATCATATTGTGGCTGCCTGCCCCACAGAAGCAAAGACCCATCTTTGTTCTGCCACAACTAACCTATTCAGGTTAGTCTTACAACCTTCCAGTCGTCCCTCCTTCTCGGTTTTACCTCGGAAAAAGATAAGACTTTTTCTTACCGATAAGCATTTCTCGGGCCCTCGAAATGGCTTCTAACAGCTAGACTAACATTTTTGCTGCGCAAATGTTACTGGGGCCCAAGGGCCATCGTCTATCAACAACAAACTATAGGGCCCGCTGCGCGTGCTTGATAGACGATGGACAGCCTTCGGCGACGAGGAGAAAAGGGCCTGCAGCCCGCACAATGAGTGAAGCGGAAGCAAAACGTAGGTGACCTGTCACCGGAGAGCAGCGCGAGTGCAGCGATGTGGGAATCGGGGGGGTGAGCAAACGCAGTGGAGCGAGGCAAGGCGGAACGCAAGTGAAGCCGTAGCTGAGAGCAACGCAGTGGGGCGACATAGCGAAGCTATCACGAAGGTGGTGCAGCCACCAAAGTGCAAAGAGGAACGCAGGTGACGGAGTCACCACAGTGGAACGCAAAGGCCAGAAAGGCCGCACAGTCACGGAGGTGCCAAAGCACCGAAGGGAGAAGAGGAGCGGAAGCAGAACGCAGGTGCTTTAGCACCGCAGTGGAGCGCAAAGCGGAACGCAAGAGGCCACTCAGGCCGATACAGTCACGAAGGTACGGAGTACCGTAGGGATGCGGGGACCGGGGCGGAGTGAAGCGAAGCGGAGCGCAACGGAGGGGAGGCGTCAAGCCGGACCGCAGTGGAGTGCAGCGCAGTGCAACGACCAAAGAAAACTTTTTCACAGTAGCAACATTGTCAATCAACATCTCACGATAACTTCATTCTATTCAAGCTGTCCGAACAGCGGAACACCTTCGCTACGCTCCGGAGTCACGGGGCTCCGCCCCATACCCCAAATTTTCACATCTCTACTTCAGTCCTCCGGAGGTGTCCCAGTTCATTGCCACTAAGCAATAACAGCCTAACTGAGATTTGGGCTCTACCCTTCTGAGGGTATATGGTCTATATCACTTCATTTCATTCACTATCGCATCACCTCTACCGTGATGCACTGTCAGCCAGAGGCAGTCCTGCCTACTTAGCAGCTTAAACGTCACCGCGTCGTACACCGACTGGGAACAAACAAGATGCCTCGTGCCACCTCGGCCGGGGCTGCCGCCCGCGTCATCTTCAATGACCAGCTGCTCGATGAACTGGTCCCCGTTCGCAGCAAGCTCGTGGGTTTTCCTAACAACCCAGCCCCAGTGCGTGGCCTCGCCACTGTTGTGCCTCCGCACAATGGTAGAACGACCCAATCGTTCCTCTCTTACTAGAATGGCCAGCGACTCTGTCGCTTGGTGGTCCTCCAACCGCCACTTACGTGTCGGCGTATAGTCAGCCTCCAGCTTGTCCCTACCGTGCTCCCCGCACTCTTTCAAATAGCAACCCATCCAGTGTGTTGCGTAACACCGGGCCCCTTCGGGATCCGTCTGTCCCTCCGGACATAGGATGGCCAATCCATGGCTTCCCACAACATCGTGATCGGATGCAACGAATCCCATCGTTGCCAGCACCTGCTCTTCTCTAGAGAAAACCAAGACAACTATCTAGTTGTCCACTCTTTTTCGGCCCGCGAAAAGAAAGGTTTGCATCCACTGCAAAACAGACTTGGTTGACCGTCCCCTGTCAACTACTCCGCTGCGTGTGCGTGAGTCCCAGCTCACTGTAGGTGGCCGTCGACTGGCCTGCGTCGATCGGAAGAAGGAAAAAAGAGGAAGCGAAAGCAAAAGATTCCTTCTGTTTGCTCCTCTCGGTGCGGGCTGTCCATCCCTTTAATACTTTCCAAGTGACTCACTCTGTTCAGTCAGTGTGGGGTCCCCCCCACAGAAGCAAAGACCCATCTTTGTCATTCCATACCTAACCAGGTTTGGTTAGTCTACTTCACTCCCACTCCTCCGTCGTTCCGTTCTTATCGATAAAAAAGATAAACCTTTTTTCTACTGATAAGCCTTTCTCGGGCCCTCAAAACGGCTTTTAACAACTAGACTAACAAATTGGCTGCGCCTTTGTTACCAGGGCCCAAGGGCCATCGTCTATCAACAACAAACTATAGGGCCCGCTGCGCGTGCTTGATAGACGATGGACAGCCTTCGGCGACGAGGAGAAAAGGGCCTGCAGCCCGCACAATGAGTGAAGCGGAAGCGAAACGCAGGTGATTCATCACCGGAGAGCAGCGCGAGTGCAGCGATGTGGGAATCGGGGGGGTGCGAAGCGCGAGTGAAACGGAGCAAGGCGGAACGCAAGTGAAGCCGTAGCGAGAGTGCAACGGAAGCGAAGCTATCACGAAGGTGGTTTACCACCGCAGGGATCAAAAGAAAGGTGTTTAGCAACACTTATTGACAATTAATCTGTCCGAACAGCGGAACACCTCCGCCTTCGGCTTCGGAGTCACGGGGTCCCCCCGTACCCCATTTTCACATCTCTATCTCGGTCCTCCGGAGGTGTCCCAGTCAATTGGTAGCCGGGAAGGCTAAGGAGAAGCACTATTTGGGCTATAACGTTCTTTAGGGGAAAGTACATCATTTGGGCTTAAGCTAACAAACAACGACAAAGGAGAATCAACAAGACAAAACATCACGTTGAACACAGTCACCCTCAACATCTTCACAGTCTCAATCATTCGAATTCACTCCGTTTATTTCTACAATAGGCTTCTAGCCTCTACACCAAGTCTCCTTGGTTGTATTTCCATCCACCACTCCGTTTCCCTGACTCTCGTCGCCGACCCTCCCGGCCTACTTACCACAGTGGCACCACCACTTGTACTTCCCATCCGCTTCGCGTAACCCGTGCCTCAAGGCGTCACTCTGTTCCCACGCATGTCAGCCCGATCCCGGCTGCACAAGCCAGCAAAAAGAAGATGATCAAATCCACTGATCACGCACCTTGTCAACGTTGCGCGGCAACAAAACAAACCAGGTTCCGGTCGCCTCCTGCTCTCAGCCTTAGCTCTCTCTCCGCTCGACACGTACAACGTCGGTCTCACCCTGACCCTCCAGCGTCCCGCCCCAACGATCCTGTTGAGTAAGGCGGCTAGGTCCGCGTTTCCCAACCGCAGAGCTCCGCACAAGCTAAAAGCTTGCCAGTCCCTCCGGTGAAGTCTGTCTGCCCGACCTGCTCCGTTCCCCACTTCGCTGCAACAACTGGCCCCCGCCAGAGCCATCGCTTCCCCAGCGCTGTTTGTGTAGTGTCCGACCGCCTCGTCGGATGTAACTCCGTCGGCTACTTGAGTACCCTCTGTTTCCAACAGTTGCTTTGGTTCCGTCATTTGGCCCGCCAAAGAGAGCAATAAGACAAGAGGAAAAACAACCCAGTGTTTTGTGGCCTCCGTGCCGATCGTTGTTCCCACAACTATCATGCGCGAATCGCTCCGTGCCGGTGCGTGTGTGTTCAAACACAACAGAGCAAGAAAGAAAACTCACCTTTTCTTACAGCTGCGTCCACCCGTGGACTATAGTGCCAGACTGCCGTCCAACCGTGCTGGTTAGTGATCTCTCCGAGTGCCCGTCCCGGTCATACATAGGGAGGGAAAAGAACAAACTCCAATTTGTTCCACTGCCCACCAGTGTGTATAGGCAAAGTCCAAACAACAGGTTTGGAAAAGGAAAACAAAAACGTCCCCCGTTTTGTCGCTCTCGCGGGGGATATCATCCCTTTAATAGATTCCATCCATCTCGTCCCCACTCAAACAGTCTCGGTCCCCGTCACTCATTGGTTGTCCCACCCATGCAAACAAAGATCCACTTTGTTCTGCCACCACTAACCAGGTTTGGTTAGATTAACAACCTCCCATTCCTCCGTCACTTCGGTTCTACTTCGGAAAAAGATAACACTTTTTCTTACTGATAACACTTTCTCGGGCCCTCGAAAGGTGCTTTAACAACAATAGACCACAAATAGCAAGCAATTTGTTACTGGGGCCCAAGGGCCATCGTCTATCAACAACAAACTATAGGGCCCGCTGCGCGTGCTTGATAGACGATGGACAGCCTTCGGCGACGAGGAGAAAAGGGCCTGCAGCCCGCACAATGAGTGAAGCGGAAGCAAAACGTAGGTGACCTGTCACCGGAGAGCAGCGCGAGTGCAGCGATGTGGGAATCGGGGGGGTGCGAAGCGCGAGTGAAACGGAGCAAGGCGGAACGCAAGTGAAGCCGTAGCGAGAGTGCAACGGAAGCGAAGCTATCACGAAGGTGGTTTACCACCGCAGGGATCAAAAAGAAAGAGTTTAGCAACACTTATTGACAATTATTACACAGTAACACATTGAACTGCCTACGCTGCGCTTCGGCGTCACGGGCTCTGCCCGTACCCGAATTTCGTATCTCTACTTCAGTCCTCCGGAGGTGAACAGTTCATTGTCACTATGTAATAACAGTAGAGGCATACATTTGAGCGATAACTACTTTTAGGAGAAGGGTAAATCATTTGGGCTTTAGCATACAAAACCAGAGAAGTCTACTCAGTATCACAAACAAACCAGATCAGGTAATCATAACTCTCAATTCAAACCGCTCTAAGCTAATCTACTTGGCTCTCGCCCTCGACCTCCCGTCGATTCAACCACATTTAACTTCCACTTTAAGCAGCATCAGCCTACCCTCTGTAGGCAGGGCACAAGCAAGCTCTCTCCGATCACGACTATAGCTCCTCTTCCTCTGAGGAATAGAGACATCGTCTCAGCCGCTTACGCTGGGGCAGCCGCTGGCTAGGATTCGGAGGGGTTCTCCCCCCTTCATCTCCACAGTCCGTCTCCGACAACTCCCAAGCCTGGGTGGCCAGAGGCCTACAACCCGACTCTTGCACTTGCGTACTTACCGTGGACCCCCGGCCACATCCGTCCTGTTCGGACATGGCAGTACCCACCCACGTGGAACTGTGCTGAACAAGGTCTTTCAGCCCCTCAATACTGTCCAAGATCGAGTCGAGCACCCCCTGTGCCTTGATCACATCGCTCACCACTTGGCTCGCCCGGGCTTCCACCGCTCCGCAGTGGCAGCAAGAGAAAGGAACTCCCGTTCCCTGTGTAGCATCCTGCACCAACCCACTCGGTTGACGAGCAAACAGCATCCGGGGTACGAACCCGGAAGAAACCACTCGGTCCTGCCTCGTGCGACTCCTGCCCGTCCCGGTCAGTGTTTCCAACTTGCGCTTCGCTTTCCGTTGTCGCTCCACTCTATCGAACACTTCATCTTCTGAAGCTGCCCGCCTCCTCGGCGTCTGGAGATGTGCGTCCACCGCAGCACCACCTTCGCTGTCCTCCGTGACATCGTCATTAATGAAGTCTGCCAGACTACCCGGGCTGTCCGAGCCCTCTTGCGACGGGAAATCGTCCACAATTTCCCCTTGCCTCCGTCAGTTTGTCACCAAACCAGCGTGCTCTTGCACTTACCGCTCTCCACGAGCTCATCGCTCTGCGTACTACTGAACGACATACTGTCTGTGTCGAGTCCCTCGACGTGTGTGAGTCCCGTTTCCGCCGCGACCACAAAATGACAAAAAAAGAACAAAACAACACCAAGAGTGTTTTGAAGAAAGAAAGAACCCAGGTTGCTTTCCGTCTCAAGACTGGGACCTCCGTCCTCTTTAAAGAACCCCTCCAGTGGTCTCGGTCCCCGTCACTCATTGGTTGTCCCACCCATGCAAACAAAGATCCACTTTGTTCTGCCACCACTAACCAGGTTTGGTTAGATTAACAACCTCCCATTCCTCCGTCACTTCGGTTCTACTTCGGAAAAAGATAACACTTTTTCTTACTGATAACACTTTCTCGGGCCCTCGAAAGGTGCTTTAACAACAATAGACCACAAATAGCAAGCAATTTGTTACTGGGGCCCAAGGGCCATCGTCTATCAACAACAAACTATAGGGCCCGCTGCGCGTGCTTGATAGACGATGGACAGCCTTCGGCGACGAGGAGAAAAGGGCCTGCAGCCCGCACAATGAGTGAAGCGGAAGCAAAACGTAGGTGACCTGTCACCGGAGAGCAGCGCGAGTGCAGCGATGTGGGAATCGGGGGGGTGCGAAGCGCGAGTGAAACGGAGCAAGGCGGAACGCAAGTGAAGCCGTAGCGAGAGTGCAACGGAAGCGAAGCTATCACGAAGGTGGTTTACCACCGCAGGGATCAAAAAGAAAGAGTTTAGCAACACTTATTGACAATTATTACACAGTAACACATTGAACTGCCTACGCTGCGCTTCGGCGTCACGGGCTCTGCCCGTACCCGAATTTCGTATCTCTACTTCAGTCCTCCGGAGGTGAACAGTTCATTGTCACTATGTAATAACAGTAGAGGCATACATTTGAGCGATAACTACTTTTAGGAGAAGGGTAAATCATTTGGGCTTTAGCATACAAAACCAGAGAAGTCTACACAGTATCACAAACAAACCAGATCAGGTAATCATAACTCTCAATTCAAACCGCTCTAAGCTAATCTACTTGGCTCTCGCCCTCGACCTCCCGTCGATTCAACCACATTTAACTTCCACTTTAAGCAGCATCAGCCTACCCTCTGTAGGCAGGGCACAAGCAAGCTCTCTCCGATCACGACTATAGCTCCTCTTCCTCTGAGGAATAGAGACATCGTCTCAGCCGCTTACGCTGGGGCAGCCGCTGGCTAGGATTCGGAGGGGTTCTCCCCCCTTCATCTCCACAGTCCGTCTCCGACAACTCCCAAGCCTGGGTGGCCAGAGGCCTACAACCCGACTCTTGCACTTGCGTACTTACCGTGGACCCCCGGCCACATCCGTCCTGTTCGGACATGGCAGTACCCACCCACGTGGAACTGTGCTGAACAAGGTCTTTCAGCCCCTCAATACTGTCCAAGATCGAGTCGAGCACCCCCTGTGCCTTGATCACATCGCTCACCACTTGGCTCGCCCGGGCTTCCACCGCTCCGCAGTGGCAGCAAGAGAAAGGAACTCCCGTTCCCTGTGTAGCATCCTGCACCAACCCACTCGGTTGACGAGCAAACAGCATCCGGGGTACGAACCCGGAAGAAACCACTCGGTCCTGCCTCGTGCGACTCCTGCCCGTCCCGGTCAGTGTTTCCAACTTGCGCTTCGCTTTCCGTTGTCGCTCCACTCTATCGAACACTTCATCTTCTGAAGCTGCCCGCCTCCTCGGCGTCTGGAGATGTGCGTCCACCGCAGCACCACCTTCGCTGTCCTCCGTGACATCGTCATTAATGAAGTCTGCCAGACTACCCGGGCTGTCCGAGCCCTCTTGCGACGGGAAATCGTCCACAATTTCCCCTTGCCTCCGTCAGTTTGTCACCAAACCAGCGTGCTCTTGCACTTACCGCTCTCCACGAGCTCATCGCTCTGCGTACTACTGAACGACATACTGTCTGTGTCGAGTCCCTCGACGTGTGTGAGTCCCGTTTCCGCCGCGACCACAAAATGACAAAAAAAGAACAAAACAACACCAAGAGTGTTTTGAAGAAAGAAAGAACCCAGGTTGCTTTCCGTCTCAAGACTGGGACCTCCGTCCTCTTTAAAGAACCCCTCCAGTGGTCTCGGTCCCCGTCACTCATTGGTTGTCCCACCCATGCAAACAAAGATCCACTTTGTTCTGCCACCACTAACCAGGTTTGGTTAGATTAACAACCTCCCATTCCTCCGTCACTTCGGTTCTACTTCGGAAAAAGATAACACTTTTTCTTACTGATAACACTTTCTCGGGCCCTCGAAAGGTGCTTTAACAACAATAGACCACAAATAGCAAGCAATTTGTTACTGGGGCCCAAGGGCCATCGTCTATCAACAACAAACTATAGGGCCCGCTGCGCGTGCTTGATAGACGATGGACAGCCTTCGGCGACGAGGAGAAAAGGGCCTGCAGCCCGCACAATGAGTGAAGCGGAAGCGAAACGCAGGTGATTCATCACCGGAGAGCAGCGCGAGTGCAGCGATGTGGGAATCGGGGGGAGGCGTAGTGCGAGTGAAGCGGGAACGCAGTCGAAGCGTGAGCTGAGACGCAGTGGGAGCGTAGCGGAAACGAAGCCATCGTGAAGGTGGTGCAGCCACCGTAGGGATCAAAAGAAAGAGTTTTCAGCAAAAACATTGTCAATCACAATCACGAACACATTGAACACCTCCACTTCGTTCCGGAGTCACGGGCTCTGCCCGTACCCGAATTTCGTATCTCTACTTCAGGCCTCCGGCGGTGAACAGTTCATTGTCACTATGTAATAACAGTAGAGGCATTATTTGGGCATTAACTATCGTAAAGAATATAATACATCATTTGGGCAATGACGTTCTCAAAGAAAGAAAATCGATCATCTGTGCTTTAGCATACAGAGTGACGAGGAGTGATACATCAACCAGGACAAAGTCAACTCAAAGATCACATTGGAACAGCGTTCAATTCGCTACTACCATCTAAAGTATTTCTAACTTTACTCCATGTCAGAGTCGGAACCGAGGCCTGCACTCCACTGCCGTCCGGCTTGACGCCCAACTCCTCAACGCCTCTAGCTAACACCGAGTCCTCCGGCTCTCCTAGGCCTGCACGGAATACACATCCTTCGTCACCACAGCCGCCTCCTGCGCTCTCAGCCACCGGCGCATATCTGCCCAGCGCGGGCAACCGGCGTCTCCGTCCACCACTCCGAACAGCTCTCCGCTGACGGCCACACCCTGGCCTTCCAGTCCGGTTCTCACCCTTCGTTCTTTCCAAAACTCCCGTTTGGCACAGCACCTATGTGCCAAAAGCAGCACCCGAGTCTGCTGCCAGCAGTCCCCCTCCATGTGGACCCAGAGCCCCTTGGCTCCGACACTCTCACGGTGTCGAGGGAAACACTGCCCGCGCTTTCCTCGGGGCTAGAGCCAGTCAGTATCCACTGCACTTCGTGACCAGAAGAGCGTTCCACGCAACAAGCAACTCACCTTACTCCGTACACGGGCCATACGCCCTGTAGCCTCTACCGAGTCCATCCTATCCGTTCCGCCCAGCTCCACGCTCTCACACGTAGCAGGCGTCCCATCCTGCATCTCCGTGTCGCTCTGCTCCCAATCCACCAGATCATCGCCATCCTCGCGATCAAACGGACTATCCATCTCGAACAGTGGCCCACAGCTCCCGCGTGGTCAAAGTAGTGCTTGAACTATCATCGGAATCAACATCATTAACCGTTCGAGTCATTGAAGCCGTGATGAAAAGGGACAGGCCAGATAGTGTTACATGAAAAGTGTCGGAATCCTAATCTAGAGAAACCGGCGATGGACCGGACTTCCTCGGGCTTGAAGCCCCACATCATCGGCGCCAGCGCCGCCCTGAATACGGAAGTCGTTTTTACTGGAGGATTGCAGCTGCTTTAAAGTCTGAACAAGCATCCCATGCAAAAGACCACCGGAAAAGGTCCCGAAATTCACCGAAAAAAGCATTCGGAATGCCCACGGCTCGTATAGACAATACCCGGCCTCCCAACGGCCAGGAATCTTGTGTGCCGTCGGACATTTTCCAAGTCGGCTATTCCGAGCGGACAGATGTCCGGATTAGTAATCCGGCATTTGAAGCATACTCAATTAGGCTCAAAGGGTTCCGAATTAGACATCTTGGAAGTCGAGGGGGAGAAATTGCCAAATTGACTGGTAGAACGCCCGCAGTTCCCTGTCTCTCAAGATGCGTGGTCGAGGCCTCTACTGTCCCTCTAAGCCTGAGTCCAAGGTGTTGCTCGATCGTCGTCCCATCTTCACGGGACTCAATACCGGATGACACTTCTTAGCCGCATCGCGGGCAGATGCGACAGTTTCAAGTTTTCCGCTGGCAGGGCTGGGGATTTTTCAGCTTTGGCGAACGGAGTGCTCGTCCGCTGCACCTCCTGGGAGCTGGTTATGCTTGTTCTGCTTCTCGCTCGTTCGGGCCGTTGGCCGCAACTCGACAACGGCGCCCTGCTTTACCCACGCCCGCAAGTTGCAACACAGACCGATTATCTCCAGATACGAGAACACTCTTTGAGAGAAGTTCCGATCCCTTGGTCTGAGCTCAATTGACTTTGTTGACACTCCCGAACCAAGCCTGAACTTCACTGGAGTCTTTTCATGGTTGGAGGATAGAATAATCTATCAGAGTCTGCGAGACAATTGGCAGGCCTCGTTCGGGCCCGCCCGCCAAGCCCCTGGCGTCGTTCATCATCGGTCTCTCCATCATACGAAGGTTTGCTTTTTTCGGTCTTGAACCCCCGACTACCCTATTACGCGACGAGATCTCACATGTTCCACCTAGATGATCGCCCTGATGCCATTGTCCGATGCGAGCCCGACATGGGTTCCTCGTCTGTCGAGCCAGCCACTTCAGTGGTCATTATCCGTAGGTACTATGCTGCAGCCACACAACAAACTCGAGGCTAGATGTATCTGGTACATGCAACTTGACCCAGACCAGAAGTCTTCATGGCAGTAGGCGGATAGTGCCACCTCCTGCAACGGCAATGAACAAGCATCACAGCCGGAATGCTTTAGCGAGATGCAGAGATAAGCATATACAAGTTGGTAAGCTGTTCATCAGCCAACCCCAGATGGTGCAGACGGGCGCCGGACTGTTAGCTCACTCCCCCAGTGATCCCGCAACGGGCGGGCTCGCCTCACCTCCAGGCCGCATCCTACGCCGGGAGTGGCTGGATGAAGAAATTTTCTTCTATGGTGGACAGCCCGCTGAAGGCGGCATCTGCACGAGAACCAGGACTGGGCAATGGTCGAATCAGGTAATAATGGAGGACCGTAAGACGGCAGGATGATCACCTACATTGGCGGAGGAGTGGCGGAGAGCCTCCAGATTGGGGTTGTCAAGCCCTCGATCCTGGCCTGCCTCGTTCCATATGAGGACAATACTCAACTGCCCTTACCCTTTGCACAGCTATACTCACCGCAACTATACCGTACTCCATCGTCATTATTCCCGTCGCCTTGCTTCTCTTTCCCGTCTCGCGTCAGCAGTCGCTCGGACACGAGACTGATGTGCCACTCACGACCCCTCTCCAGGCCCCGCTCGCCCACTTTCCATTTACCCCAACTCGCAGTTAGACTGGTGTTGGATGCCGCCGCCGGATCGTCATGGGTGTGTGCGGATGAGACGACCGGGGTACCGGGGGACATTGGTAGGGCCTTGCCGGGACAGCGATTCCGAGGCTTGAAACATTACACTAGAAGCAGGGCCGACTCCAACGGGCCTCACGGCGCGACGGCAAACTCTGCCTTGGGCTCCATGGTAGCCCTTTCCAAGAGACAGGCCTTTTCTGTGAAAAGATCATTGACGTGTATGCAGTAGATGGGCGGAGGGGCAAGGCGTTATCTTGGCATTATTTGAACATCAGCAGATGGTGACATGAAGCTTTCAGGGGAACGACCCCAGAGCCGTGGGAGAAGGCCTACTCATTTCGGTGGCATTCATGGCGCCGATCCAATTTCAAGCATGCATCGCACGGGACATCTGTCAAACCTCATCTGCCTGCCCGGCTAGTTCGACCCAGAGTCTGCGGCCATGGCCACCGAGAGGCCGGGTTCTTTTGGCATTTGCGTCTCAATTCTTTCGAACACCCCCCGGTCTCCTCCCCCGCGCGCGGGCGGTTTGCCTGCCGCAGGCCCCAACCACCTCGATGTCGACGCCCATCTCGCCAATGTCGGGGTCTGGACCCGATGCCACAAGAAGAGGCTTCCCGGAATGCGTTCCGCTGCAAAGATGGATGTCGGTAGCCTCGGCCGGGACACGAAACTTCCCGTCCCTGGTCCATCGCTTTGGTGCACCTTTGCCGCGCATAGCATATGACGCTTACCATACTCGCCGGCTAATTGCTTCCGCTGGGTGAGACGAAAGGACGTGGTCATTCTGGCCATGGGTTCACCTTGTGCAATGGCCCCAATCGATTATGGTGTTGACCTCATCTGACACACATGGCTCAACTCCGATCTTGACATCAACTGGCCACTCACAATGGATAGGCCTGGCTTCTAGACTTCCTTGTCGTGTTAGTGGCCCAAAGCCGAGGAATGGGCTTCGGCCCGCTAGTAGTCAAAGCCAACTCTTCGGTGTGCAACGCGAACTTGATGGTTGGTTGACAAGAAACCGTTGTGAGAAACGCACGTGCTGTGGAACGCCGAGGTGGTCCTTTTTGGAGGCTCGGCCTTTGAAGTAGGAATCATCTTCCCGTCGTCCGGATTGCCTATCCGTGACGTTGGTGATCAGCAGGCACTGAGGTCGCCAACCCGGACCTTTTGACTGCAAGAAAATATTTCGAGGTGATCAGCGTGCACAAGGATACGCCGGCACTGTGCCGATGACTTACAAGGGTGAACTTGACGTTTGAGATGCACGCGCTGTGAGATATGGTGGCGAAAGTATTGTCAGCGATGATCGTTGCCCGGGCAATCCTAGCATGTAAGCTTGGGAGGAGAACACCGGGAAATGTGAATAGCTTCAGATGCAGCCTGTCGCGATAATGGCACGCAAGTGCCCCAAGACTTGATGAAGAAAGTCTCACAGAGTCTTTAAAGTAAAGAGTCCTCGAGCACATATACAAAGTAGCCATACAAAGCAATAGGTGTAACGTGACTGATGTCGCTGTCCATTTGAATACATGAATGTCGTCTTCTGACTGCTATGACCCAAAGTTCAGAGAACTGAAATCATCGTCCTACCACCTAGCGAAATGAGACCGAAGCCTGTTGTGAGTTCTAGTATCTCTATTGACGAACACTCGGGCGTTTAGATCCGAACAGAAACACTCTGGGGGTTGTGGAAAACATCCTCCGGATCCCACTGTGCCTTGATGTCTTCCAGGGCAGCAAGGCTCGCCCCCCAGTAAGAGCGCTGCGCATCTCTAAGCTCCGTGTCCACAAACCCTGGGTACGTGCCGGCAGCCTGAGGAAGGGTGTTCGACAACTCTCTGTGGAAGTTTCCAAGGCTGGTGCGGGTTGCCTTCGAGGCATCGGCGGCGTAGGATTGATAGAACATGACCTTATCTCTATGAGCATAGGCAGTGGCTCCATCCGAAATGTCTGTAACAGCACCGCCAGCGGCCTGGAATTTAATGGACCAATCTTCCGCCATGAGCTCAGCTGGCAGACTTGCGAGGATTCTGGCAACCTCTACTTTAGAGAGAACGTCGCTGCTGCTCAGGCCTAAACTCTTAGAGTAAAGCTTATTCGGGATGGGAGCCGTATGAAGAGCTTCCTCGGCGGCGAGGCGGGCAAGAGAACCCTCCCACGTCTCCCGATAAGTCGTGATTGAAGGATCGGCGATCTTAATGCGGCTGAGGATACCAGCCTGCTCAAGCTCCGCCTCTGAGCCGAACCACGTCGAAGAGATGCGAGCTCCCGACGGGCTGAAGACCATCTCCGTACTGAAGCGATTGTCAAGGGCAGGATCAGTGGCAACAGACTGCCATGAATGAAGGACATCGGCAATCTCTGCCGGGTGGCTGTAGGATAATCTTTGATTAAGGTGAATAACACACGATGGCGCTGGGCGAGTTCTCATGACAAATTCGGTGACGATACCGAAGCTGGCACCAGCCCCTCTCATGGCCTGAAGGTTCATTCATCAATAAATTGAACGTGGTGAGAGTGCCGCCGTTGGAGGAAACTCACGAAAAACAAGTCCGAATTCTCCTTCGAGCTTGCCCGGACGATAGTCGCGTTCGCCGTGACAACCTCAACTTCCTCAACGTGATCCAAGGTTGTACCCCACATACGGGACATTGGGCCGATTCCACCCTGAGCTCAGCTTGTCAGTGTTCATCTCAATCGGCTTGATCTTCTGTACTTACAACAGTGGCATGGCCTCCGATACCGATGCCACCGCACATGCCATGAGGGATGGCTTGCTGGGAGGCGGTGAGATGTTCATCGATTTGGCTGAGTCTTGTACCGCCGCCGACTCTAATTTTGTTTGAGTCTCCGTCTTTTGTATACTGGAAGTGTTCCATTTCGACGGATACACCGCCATCCTCACCTCCGAGGGCTTGGAACGCAGTTAGCGATAGTTACATTTCGTCACCGCAACTCATGTTACAGAACAGCAGGAAACCTAACCATAATTGCTGCGGACAAAGTCAATAATTGTAGGTCAAATGTTCTCTGGTGTTCCTGAACTCACCCCCATCCATGACTCCCTGCAGCTGCCTGAACTTTGACTCCATGCTTGGCTGCGCATCTTACAACGCTGGCGATTTCCTGGGCATCCTTGGGTCTGACTATCGCAACTGGTGTGACTGTGCGACCAAGGTTGAACGGGACCATCCAAGTAGCTTCTCCCGCGTCTTTTTGACTGGGGAGCTGGACGCAATCTGATCTTCCGGCGCAGACTTTGACCAAACACGACTCAATCGAAGGGATTGGCTTAGGAGCTGGCCCAGAAACCAAGAAGGTCTGCGCTGCAAGACCGGCCACTACTGTGGCAGCACAGATGGACCATGAGTTCCATTGAATTCCTTTGGTTGCCTTGACCAAACTTGAAGGTTGGCTTTGTTGGTAAGTGGACATGGTGGGAAGTGCTAGGAATAGGTCTGAGTTTCGTAAATGGTTAAGGATAGTGTGAAAGGGGGGGCTGTTGGATGGAGGTGACGATGGCTGCGTCTTATAACCTCATTAGGACCAGAAGCTCGGAGAGCCTATAAATGCCTCTTGACCGCTCTTAAGTGCCCATCCGGCAGAGGGCATGTGGTTGTGATGATGCAAGACCGCTTCGAACGGTGGAAGTCTACCGGACCCGGCCCCGCATCGCCGATCGGTCTCAGCCCGGGTGCTCAGAATCCGTGGATCGGCAAACTTTGATAACGCAGCTGGCTCCCCCTTCGCCGAGTTCTACGAATGCCGCGCGTAATGCATATGTTTCGGGATGAGCTCCATCAGGGACGCTCAACTTATAACCCGTTACGGTTCGTGGTGTCTTGGATCGTGCAGCTCCGCCAAAGCTACTGAGACATAAGCCCCAATGCATTCTCCATGGGTTAGCGCATCTGTTCCCGGAACGTCGTTGAGAGCTGAACAGCCCGGATAGACATTGTCGACCGACCCGTGGTCTTGCTTGACTGATGCTAAGTTGTCGAGTGTGCATGGGTACTTGTTCCGAGTTAGGCGTGTCTCGTTGTCGAACCTACTGTCTCAGACTCTGAACTCCTCCGATTACCCGTCAGTTGGCCGCTGTTCAACATAAGGTATAGTAGGTAAATCGTGATTCTCTCATCAATAAGACAGGCTTCTCAAGTAGTTACGTCATGCGCTGAATGGATGGCACCTTTCCAGCCAGGTGAGGAATTCCACATGTCGCGATAGAGCGCCGCTGTGACATCACTATTAGCATCTGTTCACATGAAATTACAGACGAGGTGGATAGCCGCGGATAGCGGTAAAGCCCAAGGTATCATACCTACTTTAACTTCTGGAGAGTATTGACGTCTCCCTTCAGCTCGTTTAATTCGTCCACCCCTTCTTCTTTGGTGTCTTGATTGTGCTCCTTTAGGACACCCGATCTTTCACATCATTCAAAATTTCCACTGACATATTCCACTACGGCCAACAGTGAGTAATCTGTCAACACCGCAAACACCAATTGCGTTGGAAATTTTTTGAGATTGATTGCGGCATCAAGTCGGGTGTTGTGCTGTACTAGCTACTGGTGGTTTTATTACCTATTACACGTGCTTGTTCACAGTTGGTCAACGTAGAAGCATCGTGTAAAGATATTCGGACCTTACGACGCCTGACTTCAATACTCACCATCTCTGGCAATGGGGTCGCCAACAGCAACTGAGTACTACCTACGGCCTGACTTGGTGCATTATGCTCCATCGCGGACGAACTTTCCAAGCTTTTTATCTCCACTTTTCGCCAAATAGTCTTCTTTTCGCAGTTATGACTTTCTAACCCCCGTCAACCTCCACCGCTTCTCGCCGGTCTTCATGTTCCAACAGGATAGTCACCACCATAGCGTGTCCTAGCGTATTGCCTTGGCCCCAAGGAATCGCTTAAACTTCATCAAGTTGCAGCCAAGCAAGATGCCTATTTCATTTTGGTTGCTTTCAAGGGATCCAGTGAGCTGGTGAAGTCAGCGGCCTTGGTGGCCATGTCGGTGGGGAAGCTCAGATGCTCATGAATCCACTTCCATTGCCCCTCCTCATTCTTCCTTGCGATGCCTGTCCTTCTGAAAGCCGTATCAAATGGCACACCGCCAGCTGTCCCCCAGGTGTGTTGTATCATGGTGGAATAGGCATATTCCTTAGACAGAGCAGTGATCTCGATATCCTTGAACTCCATGTTGCCGTCGTTCCAGTACGGGAAGATGGAGTCAAAGTGCTCTTTGAAGCTGCCACGGACGGTGTTGCCAAACATATCGTAGCTGAGCATGTCATCAAAATCATAGAATCGCCGAGCGCCAACCATTCCGTTGTGGTAGTCTTCGCGCGACTCCTTATTCCAGTAGCGCAACCAGCCGCGATAAAGCTGGTCCATGACCTCTTGCTCTTCTTTCACCAACTCTTCTTTGTGATACTTTACGATGCAGATCAGTTTATGCTTTTGCCATAAGATTGAGATGGGTAGGTGTCACTAACTTTGCTGACTGGCATGTGTAGGAATTCAGCCTGCTTCCGAATGTCGGCATATTCGCTCTTTTTCTCAGTCAGACTTATCTTCTCGAGTGAAGTAGGATCAGGTGATACTGACAGCATCTTCAACAAAGCCCTTATCGTTCATGTTGAGTATACTTATAGAGTAATCAATATAATATGTGTCCCCTATGGATGGTCGAGGGAGTAGCCAAGGATGAGAAATGGCGTAAAAGAGCAGCGTCTCCATATTTAGATTTCATCAAAAGAGCCCGAACATCCCAGCAGTTAGCCGCGCCATCGCGGACAGATTCCCACATTGAATTAGTCCGTCCGAACCAACATTCGTAACCTCTCGTAAATTTCAAAAGCAACAAAACCATTGACGCAACGGTCATTACGGCGAATCCGTGGTGTTGAATCAAATCGACCCGACCGTCCCCCGAAACCTGCGGAAGTTGGCCCGCGGCCCCGTAAACTCGTGGATCAACGCTATCTCACATTGAACGTCATTCTTCAAAGGCATCATAAAGATGCATGCCATTCTTCGTCATATCTCTCTTGCCAGTCAATCAGATTATCGTCAGCCTTCTCAGTCAGATTAATCAACCCACCGATCCTCTTCTTACCTTTTGTTCGCATCTGCAGTGTAGCACGATGGGATCTTTGTCCTCTCCGGAATATGATGCCATCATCGTCGGTGGTGGCTTCGCCGGATGTTACACCCTTGACCAACTCCGAAAGGCTGGATTCAAGACCCTGGTGATCGACGACGCAGCCGACCTTGGCGGTGTATGGTACTGGAACTGCTATGCAGGAGCACGTGTCGACACACCTGTGCCTCTCTATGAGTTCTCTGAAGAAGAGATCTGGAGACCATGGACTTGGTCCGAGAAGTACCCTGGAAGAGAAGAGATTCGAGACTACTTCCAGCACGTAGAGTCCAAGCTACATCTCAAGAAGGACGTCATGTTCAACACTCGTGTTGTCAGTGCCGACTTTGATAAGATGGGATCCCACTGGAACATCACCACTGGCGACAAGTCCGTCTTGACCGCCCGATACTTCATTCTCTGCACTGGTTTCGCGGCAAAGCCAAATATCCCAGATTTCAAGGGCCTTGAGTCTTTTGCAGGCGTCTCGTGTCATACCTCGAAGTGGCCCCAGGAGGGAATTGATTTCAAAGGAAGGGGAGTCGGTGTCGTTGGCAACGGCTCGAGCGGCCTCCAAGTCATTCAGGAGATTGCCCCAGAAGTCGACCACCTGACTGTGTTCCAACGCAGCCCAACCTACGCTCTTCCGATGAGACAGACTCCTCTTTCTATCGAAGACCAAAAGAAGGAGACCTATAAGGAGCTTTACGAGCTTCGCAAGAACACTTTCGCGATTCTCGACTTTGAGTTCAACCCCCAGGCCTGTGCCGGCACCACCGCGGAGGAGCGCCAGGCATTCTTCGAGAAGATTTGGGCAAAGGGTGGACTCTCTTTTTGGTTGGGTACCTATCAGGATGTTATTAGGAACAGAGAAGCCAACCAACACGCCTACGAATTCTGGCGCAGCAAGGTCTTGGAACGCGTCCATAAGCCCGCGATGCAGGAGCTTCTTGCCCCGGAGAAGCCACCATACTACTTCGGAACCAAGCGAGCTACCCTCGAGCAGAGATACTACGAGGTCTACAACCGCGACAACGTAGACTTGATCGACACCAAGGCAAATGCCATTTCGGAGGTTGTCCCCGACGGCGTCTTCACAGCCGATGGTGAGCTGCACAAGTTCGACGTTCTCATTCTTGCTACCGGCTTTGACTCCGTTACTGGAGGTATCTTGGCGATCGATATCAAGGGCGAGAATGGCCAGTCACTGAAGGAGAAGTGGGCGAAGGGCACGACGACGCATCTTGGAATGATGACCGCTGGGTTCCCCAATGCACTGTTCGTCTACGGACCACAGGGTCCGACATCGTTCTGCAACGGGCCTACGTGTGCTGAGCTCCAGGGTGGTTGGATTCGTGACACGCTTATTCACCTACGCGAGAATGGTAAACGCTACATCGACCCTCGTCCGGATGTCGAGCAAGAGTGGCGAGATCTGGTCAACCGTATTGGAGACGATACACTGCTGCCTCAGACCAAGTCTGAGTACATGGGAACCAACATTCCAGGAAAGCCCAAAGGTAAGAGTTCACCCTATCTCCACTATCTAACCAAGTGTAACCGCTGACTTCAAAGCAGAGATGCTCAACTTCCTGGGTGGCGTGGTTGAGTATACTCGACGCATCAATGACTCGCTCAACACGGGCCTCAAGGATTTCGTTGTCCAGTAAGAAGGGACAGAAGGCAGTTGCCAAGGGGAAAATGTGCAGGGTTTCATTTGCTCGTAGAAATATACCATCTCTGACTTCCCGTTTCGGAAGTTCGGCGCCGACCCGGCATTGTCCCCGGCTACACGACGCGGCAGCATGCATATTGTGTTTCTCGGCGGTGTCACCTCGGACTCCCGGCCAGCAAAAAACCCCGATGCGGTGTACGGTCTCCTCCGTTCAATCAATATTGAATGGTCAGCCACTTGCAAGCTACGGACCGGTCCGCAGTATCTCCCAGTCCTGGCCCGGCAGTCGTAGAACAAGGATGGACACATCCGTTGCGGGGAAGGCGGCGGGATCAAAAAGGACGTTGTGAGAGGAAACACGCAGCCACGTCGCTATCTTACCAAGCGATATGCCAAGAGACTGAGTAATGGAGTGGGGTAACGATGTTACAGATGCATCGGGGACTTTACGGGCGTTGAGAGCGATGGCACTCATTGTGAAATCAACTTACTTTACGGACATAAAGGCTGAGAAGCCCGTCGTTGAATTTGGCACCAGCTGATAGAAACAACTGAGGTCCGCAGCTCAATCTACTTTATGACAATGGCTCTGAGCTCCCTTTTGTTAACGGGAACTCAGTCGCTTGCCCATATTGCTTTGTTAGCAATCGGTTCTTTCTCCTTCTTTTATCTTTCTCGAGGCATTTATCAAGCTTATTTCTCGCCGTTGAGCCACGTTCCGGGTCCCAAATTATGGACGATATTCCCAGTCATTCCCAAGTTCAAGATATTGTTCGGTACCATCGATCAAGATATTCGCAAGTTTCACAGAAAATATGGGAACGTCGTACGCTACTCGCCAGATGCGGTGACGTTTACTACTAGCCAGGCCTGGAAGACGATTTACGGCCATGGGCACGGGCAGTTCCCAAAGTACAGTGCCTCGAAGCAACTCGACCCTGACTCCAATATCCTTGACGCTGATGATGTCAATCACGCTCGAATTCGCCGAGGAGTCGCCCATGCTTTCTCGCCACGGTCTTTAGCCGAGCAGGAGCCGATCATTCACGACTACGTCGATAAGCTGGTTCGAAGGCTATCTGATGTGGCTGAATCCCGAATGCCGACAGAGATGGGCAGGTGGTTCCACATTGCTTCCTTCGACATTATCGGCGACTTGACGTTTGGCGAGTCTTTGGGCGGTCTCGACAACAACGAGTTCCATCACGTGGTGACCTCTGTCCTCATGTTTATCGAACGCGCCAAGAAACTCTTCGAACTAAACACTTTGCTAGGCCCATTGGCGTGGATCGTCCTGCCGATTTTGGCGCGGGATGTTGAAAAGGGCTTCATGGACCAATTTGACTACACCAGAAAAGCCGTCAATAAGAGGCTCGAGCATAACTCTGAAGTCACCCGAAAAGATTTCATGCAGGGTCTTCTGCGTGGAAGAGAAGAGAAGACTATCACTTCCATTGAAGAGATTGTCACAAACTCTAACACACTCTTCGTGGCCGGCAGTGATACGACCGCGACTTTGATGACGGCTTGCACCTTTTACCTCTTATCGACGCCTCATGCACACAAAAAAGCCGTCGAGGAAGTCAGAGCAGCGTTCGAAGCAGCCAGCGAAATCAACTTCACGGATGCTACAGCACGCTTGCCATACCTTCTCGCGGTGCTGAACGAGACCTTTAGACTCTATCCGCCCGTACCAACTGCGCTTGAGAGAGTCGTTCCAAAGACGAAGGAGCCAACTTATATCGAGGGAATGTTCTTTCCATCAGGTGTAAGTTCTCTGCATACTATCTTACTCCACTTATTTAAGCCGGGAGAGTTGCTAATGAAGGCGTCTGAAAGACTCGAGTCGGAGTTCATCACTCTTCTGCCGGCCTATCTGCTTCAAACTTTGCCCAGCCAGAGAGCTTTGTCCCTGAACGGTGGCTTCCCAGCGTTGCTCATGACCCAACGTCCCCCTTCTACGCGGATAAGCGGGACGCCATACAGCCATTTTCTTATGGCCCTCGCAACTGCATTGGCAAGCACCTGGCATATAACGAGATGCGAGTTATCATTGCGCGACTTCTATGGGAATTTGACATGAAGCTTGATTCATCCTCGACAGAATGGACACAGCCATACTCTAATCACAAAGCCTGGGCCATCTGGAAGAAACCGCCTCTGGTAGTGCACATCGAGAGACGTCATTTGGCGGTCTAGACCCTGGTCAAAAGTCAATGTGGGATCAAATGGTTTATTAATTGAAATCAATAGAATCCTCGCCATAGTTATAATGTAGTTGAGTGGCAATCAGACGAGGAATATTCAGCTTCAATGCTAGCAATTCTCTCTAAGCGCCATCTGCGATGACCAATCCACGTTTGCTTACGGACCAAGTCTTCCCATTATCTTCAGGATCTTACTTATCGGGCTCCCGAACTTATTTGCTTTCTTCCAGTACCCTGCAGATGCCAGCCCGGTGACGACCAACAGATCCATATCAAATGTTTGAGGCGGGACAAACAGCTCAAAAATCGGACTCGAATCCCCTCCGCGGCTTTCAGGCTTTCCCGACCATTTCGCTAATAACCGGTCTCCATCGGTTTTGAGGTACAGTGTGTTCGTCGACATTGTGTTCTTGGACATGACCCATCGATAGTTGCAGCCGTTGAGATTAATTTCGTGCCCATGGCTGTAGTCCGTGAGCCTCAGGCTCAGATTGGAACCGCGGAGGGTGATTTGTGTTTTTGAAGACAAAGTGTGGTATTTGATAATACCGACTGCACTGCCCGCGGGGACCTGTACTCTGGGGTCTGCGGAGACAATCGCAAGGACGCCTTCTTCGTTGTTCTCATTGACAGTCCACATTGGTATTTGTCGTCCGCTCTGATCAACGCGATAAATGGTTCGTTGTGTGCCGCCGTTGACATCTCTGACCTGGAGAGTCTCGCACACAGGGAGGGCGATTTTTGCGTCCTTGATGTAGTCGTCGGTGATTTCGTACCAGCCCATGATGAAAATGGAACACGATTTGTTGCGTCAGACCACGGCTTGTTAGTGGTCTCGGGGGATAAGAAAGTCGCTGGGCAATATAGTATGGTACCAGAAGGCAAGAAGACCTGAGGCTCACTGGAAGGCATCGCGGCTACTTAAACTCCGAGGCTTGAGCAGCCTAATCTCCTCATGATTGCGCGCAGCAAGACAGACCACATGATATGCAGGTGCACTACGCCGCAAACTCCTGCATGAGAGTATCGCCATTGGAGCTTCTTGGGCTTATTGAGACAGACTTGCCCAATGGGGAAGTAAAAAGTTCATTGTACGGGCGAAGCTGCAAGGTTGTTCCACTAGGTCTTACTGCTCTGACTAGTGCCAAGCGTGGCTCATCTCATCGCAGGCGAGCTGAACAGGGATTGATTAACCTGTTGACCTGTTGACAGGCCAGGCAACGAAAGAGGCTACGAGAGAAGCAAATACCCCACTCATACCACGTCTTCTTCGTGACCGCACAAATCGATTTGATCGACTTCAATATGACTGGAGGTAATAGAACATATCTTCGCCAGACTCCAACAACTTTCTTTCGCATTCGACTCTGGCTAGCTACTTATCTAAGTGTTGCGTTACCTCTTTGAACCCGTCGAATTCGAAGAGAAAATGCTGTCAGCAGTGTATTCCAGAACCCAGGTACCGGCTTCCCAGGTTTCCCAATCCTCCTCATTCTCCGCTTTTCCAAGCATCTTAAGAGCCTTGACACGCCACTTGTAAGTGCCAGCGGGTACGGGAGCTTTGTTATCATCGGAACCATCCCAATACCATGTTGAACCATTCCAAGGGTCCTCTGACGTACTCTGGTATGATTTGACAACTTCCTTTCCGGTCTTGGCATCAACCATGTGAATGGTCATGTTACGCGACTGCAAGAATAGGAAGACCTCAATGCCGGGAAACTCGTTGCCAGGGAAAGAAGCTGGAATATCTGCGGTCATGTTTAATGTGCAAGTATAAACGCGGCCTGATTCAGCATGCGATGCCCGGCCAGCGGTCACATTGTACGCTGAGAGATATGATTTATCGCGGTTGATGCTGTGCAAGGTAGTGAGGGGTGCGCCGAAGCCCGTATAGGGTAGCGAGAGTCTGTTAACGTCGGTTGCGCCCTTGGCTTCGATGTCTATGTAGCCGCCAAAATAGGAGACGCGAGTGGAAGCTTCCGACAAGGCGGGCTCTTTTGAGATTGAGACCGAAACTGTGGCAGTCTGTCCTGGCTCAATTGAGAGAGCTGTGGGGGAAATGTTGACCTCGGCGTACACGGGATAGACCACGGCCTCAGTGAGTTGGTAGCCATCCGCCTTGTCCAGAACATAGCCAGAGCTGGCTCCAACATGACTCAGTTGGTAGGTGTTAGTCTCCAATCCGGTGTTCTTGATGGTAAAAGTCAGCTCTTTGGGACGATTCGCTGTGTCATTGAAGGAAAGAGCAGAGGCGTCGAGTAGTGTAGCGGAGTGGACTGCTCCCCAAGCGTCGACAAGACCAGATCCTTGTTGGAAGACCGGCGCCAGGAAGTCTCCCGTGTTTCCCTTTCCATCATACCACTTGACCGGGCGGGATGTGGCTGCGATCACATTCCTAATATCTTCAGAGCTGTAGTCTGGATGCTGCTGCTTGACAAGCGCAGCGATGCCGGCGACGAACGGCGTGGCCTGGCTGGTGCCTGACGGAGAATACTTGTCAATGATAGCTCTACGGCGCTCGTGAATGGATGTTGAACTTACCACTGACTACTCCGTAGCCTCCAAGCCATCCAGGGAAAGTGCTCAAGATGTTGCCGCCGGGAGCATGAAAGGCAGGCATAGATCCTGCTCGAAGAGTCGGACCCCAGCTGGTGAACACGGAGCTCAGGAGGCCGGACTGGTTATTAGCCTTGTAAGTGAGACTAACGTCTGCAACAGAGACCTCAGTTGCCAGAAAGACTTGGACAGAGCCGTGTTTCGCCTTCGCATCTAGCAGTTGCTTTGCTGTTTCGTAATCGATCGTGACAGATCCTTTTTGATTTGCTGCAGAGACCTTCAGGAAGAGCGGTCCTTGAGAAACAGTGTAATTACTCCAACTGTAGTACATGACATACGGGATGCCGAACTCTTTGGTAAGAGAAACTGTAGAGTTATCGGCCGCCATCCAGCATTGGTCAAATTGGGAGAGGAAAATAACTTTGGACAAGTCGGCCGGCAAAGTAGACTTGTCCGGAAGTAGCTGGCAACCATTGGTGTTGGGTGTGTCTGAAGTCCAGATGGTCAGACCCTCATTTGATGGGAAGTCGAAAGGCATGCCAGGGACGAAACGAATGGGTCCGCCTTCACCTCCTGCAGTCCAATTGCCACCCCAGTTGTAGTAAGGAGTTTGCGAGTTATCAGTAGACCCGACGGCGGCGACGGCATCTGCACCCCCGGGACTGGCGCCTGTAAAGATACCAGGGCCACCATTTCCAGCTACAAGGGAAACATAAGTGCCGTTGTTGAATAGTCGCGTAGCCACGATAGACCAGGGGTCTCGAAGTTGTCAGGATGGTCCTTGAGCTTATATAGGAGTTAATAGCCAACATACCTTCAGGGAAGGTGAGATCACCTCCATATGAGCATGAGATAACGTCTACGCCTCTTTCTGCAGCCTCGAGGAACGAGCTGATAATCGCGTCATCCGTAGTTCCAGAGGTGCAGCCTGTAATACGGTAAAGCTCGTACGTGGCATCCGGCGCTACGCCAACGACACCGAATCTACCCTCATCACCCTTGGCTCCCACAATACCCAGAACGTGCGTGCCGTGGAAAGAACAGTTGTCACGGACATCATTATCGCCGTCTGTCATGTCATGGGCATAAGCAATGTTGGTTTTGCTCAGACCTGGGGTGTCAACATCGAAACCACTGTCAATAACGGCCACACGAATGCCTTTGCCCGTGATGTTGCTGGCATGAAGCTTTGACACTCCAGTATCCACGTGCGTCGGCAAGGTGATGGCTGCGATGCCGTCTCTTGCGTTGAGAGCTGAGATCTGGAACAAGTCGCGCTTGGACAATCCATGGGTATTGCTTCCCCAATTGCCGTCAGAAATTCCTGGAATCCTCGGCATATGGACGGCCGGTGTTGCTGAGGTTACTGGCCATGCCTTGTGAATGCCATCAATTGACTGTAGCGTCGACAGTACCGATTTTCGAGAAACTCCATCGTTGGTGCAGCCGACGTTGAAAGATCCTCCTTGGAATACGGCATGAGTGAAATGGAATCGCGAAGATGCTGTGCAGTCAAGGCCGGAGGCTGCTAGAGATGTTTGCGCTCGGCTGATTAGATCCTCTGCGCTCTGTCACCGTGTTAGTGGCATCTCTACTGCGAGATTACTCTTGTGTGTTTTTACCAATTGCATGGAAGCATCAAACTCAACAACAAAGGCGTCATTGTAATCAGAGACAACCAACCATGGGAGGCAAGCTGCGAAGGCAGCCTGCTTAACGAATGACTTCATGATGGCCTAGCTGACAGTTGAGTGAACCAAAACTTCCAAGCACGATCCTTCGGCCACGATCAATAATCGCCTCAAGCCTTATAAGATGACCTAAGTTCCCTGGGAAAGACCCCTGACTCGCGCAAACCATTGCGGGCCCCCCTACTGTAGAGTGTAATACGGGCTTTCGCTTTCGGTGCAAGCCGAATTCCCAGTGGTCGAACTTTAACAGATTGAATGCAATTACCGACCTCTCCGTACACAATTCTCACAATTCTCGGCGCAGTCTTTTGCGCATTGTTGGAGAAGTAGCATAAAGGGGCCGGCTCTGGATTTCCGTTCTATACGATAGCCTTTGGCGCAATAATTACTTCAACTCTTACCCTGCATCTGTGCAGTAGACACAGTGCGTACGTACGTACGTACCTACCGACCTTACAATCACATTCTCTTGGCAGCTTTGTATTTGGATTGCGCGTGGCCAGACCATGCCGCTATGCTCTTTTGCAATTTCTCCACTCGACATACGTAGCTGCGATTTTTGCCCCAGCAAACTTGCAGGACGACAGATTGGCACTCGAACGAATCCAGACTCAGTCTCGCTTTGAAGCCAGGCGACCGAACCACACAAGCATGTACCCGCTCCGGCCTGGCCGCACCGAAACATCCGGACTTGTGTACGTTTGAAGGGCCGAAGGTGGGAATCACTATTCGTAAGGTCGCTAGTCCGGCGGTCGAGAGTCAAACAGGCCAATTCTCATGGTCGAATCATAACGCCTCTGGAATTCCGGAACAACTCGGTGACTCCCTTCACAGAGACATGCTTCTCAGAGCCAATAACTCGTTGCCTAAGTACGTTGTGGGTTGCGGTCATCGGCGATGCTTTGAACATCCAGAGCCAAGTGCCACTTCACTTCCTTCAGACATTGCTGCTCTCGTTGAGGTACTGGCGTCCAGGGCCAGCAGTAAGTTGCATCGCCAAAAGCGGCCTGGAACAGATTTAGAGATGCCGAATTCTCGAGTGCTGTTGTACCAACATATGCAGGCCAAACGTGGAAAGAGATGTGAGAGTGAAGAGTAAACGATGTTACTTCGAACTAAGTATGTGTAATTACTGCACACTAGGGAGAAAAGCCTGTCTGAACTCGGCTATTAGTCCCTGCCAACAGCCCATTTGGTGGCATCCCTCAACCAAGAAAAGACCATTTCGGTTCCCTTTGACCCATTTCTGGCAATCAGACCCCTCTTTGGGTCGGGGTCTGGACCAGGCGCGTTGAAGGCTTCGACCAAGCGCGTGTTATCTTTGCCAACTTCCAGAATCGATCCTCCGACAAGTGCCTCCTCCTCAACGCATCTCAGCATTGCCTCGGCAACCTCCCGCGGAGTGACCCAACCATCCTGAGCTTCGTCCAGATTGACCAGCTTCTCTGGGTGCTCGGTCCAAAGCGGAGTTCTTACTACGCCGGGTGCAACAGCGTTGACGCGGATGCCATCGGTCTGTTCCAAGCGAGCGAGACTGCGAACGAATCCAGTGATGGCGAACTTAGAAGCTGCGTAGAGAGGTGCATTGATGTTCGCAACCTGTCCAGCCACTGATGAGATGTGAACAATGCGCTTTGGGTTCTGGGGTGAAGCTTTGATCGAAGGTGGTAGGGCGGTATTCGTGACCTCCTTAGGATGAAGCCAGTAGGAGATTGCTAGCTGCGTAGAACGAATTGGATGAGTGATATTAATGTCAAGTAGAGCATATTTTCCGCCGTCTACACTGTCCTTGCTCTCGGATGATCCAGGCGGGTGCCAGAAGTTGGACCAGTGCGGCTCATAGACGCCCGCTCCGGGACAGAAGATGTCGAAACTCCCAAATTCATCAACGGTAACTTTGAACATGTTGGATAGCGCCGGCCATGAGGTCACATTGGTCTTGACAAAAAGTGCGCGTGGCCTGCCGTTTGTTTTGTCTTGGGTGCTCGAGACGAGCTGCTCCGCCTCTGGTCGAAGAGCGAGGTCAGCAATGACGACATTGCAGCCACGCTCAAGGAGCAGTTCAGCAAAAGAAAAATTGATGCCTAGGTTTCATTCAATGGGTTACTAAAGATATTACAATGCAAATCTGCAGGGTGAGCTGGGACTGCATACCTGACCCAGCCCCTGTGATGATGGCCGTTTTCCCGGCCACGTTGTAGGGCGCGATCGATTTCGTGTCGGTCATGTCACCGAATAAGTCTGAAGTATTGGGTGACTCAGCTGGAAATTAAAGATGTTCGTTGCCGGAGTTTCTGGTTCGCGCAGGGAATTTCGGCAAGTAACGCCTCACTGTGTTGTGATAGTGTTACGAGGAATAAGCTGTTGTTTTGAGTAGTGGTTTTTCTGGGAAAACAGCCACGAGTAAGAAAAAGTACATCGACAACTTTGGCGAGGGGTGACAACATGAATAGACTTGGACCTGCTCGCGAGGCCGACGATCGGACCCTGAGCTTTGCCGAACAAGACGAACTGGCGAAAGACATGCCCACGTCGTGCTGCAACGCCATGCGTGGCCTCTCCACGGGGTATGCTCGGTTTACCCCGCAGAGGAGCTGGGCGAGACAAGTGTTGGCGTGGCTAACCTCACCCAGGCGCTTAGACTTGCCGAGATTAGACACCACAAAAGATCACATCCCACTTATGCCGGACGAAGAAGGGCCAACGAGAAGCTGACTCAGTCACAAGAATTCCGAGTGTTGGTGGAGTTAAAAAGAGGGCCGTCGGTGTTCGAGATGCACCAGGATTCTGATAATGTTCAGATGGAAGCATATATGTACACCAAACCACTACTGGCTAAGTTTCCAACACTAATATCAGTCGTAGACGATGTGAGCTTGTCAGTCAGGATTATAAGAAATGGTAGTACTATAGGTCTTAACGCAAAGTAGAAATGTAAGGTGCTAAGTCTTCTAGTCTATTGAAGTGTATTGAAACTTGTTTGTTGAAAGGTAATTTTCCTAGTATATAGTATGTATCAAAACTTTTCAAATGTTGTTCTCGAATGACTTTTGTACGGAGTCTACCACGGAGCTGAACTTCCCCAATGTCATGAGTGGCGAAGTAACAGTCATCCGAGCGAAGAACCCAAGTGTCGAAACCAGATATCTAAAGATTGTGGCCCGCTCGTTCGCTCTCGAAATGAAAGTTGCAACTAGGCAGAATGAGCTGACGGCAATGCGCACAAGATTCCTGGAAAGACATTTGGTTAGTGCTGAGACCGTGGAAGACAGCGCGAAGGAAACATACTGATCTGTGCCGGCTTTGGTGGGATCAACTTCGACAAGTGACTTCAAAATGTCAATAGCAGACTCAAGAACCTTTTGTTCTATCTTATCAGAGATTGGGTCGCTCAAAGGTCTGGCTGAGAGTCTTCCGCAGACACACAATACCAGATCAAAGTACAGCAGGCTTGTTGAGATGTCCCCTTGAGAGGGCGTGGTACTTGGGCTGTTGGGTGAGGCGACTCTCGAGTCCCATATCGTGGTGGGTGCTGGTCTTCGTGCATTGAAAACGTCAACTCTCAATCTTTGAAGTTGTTCCAACCAGTGATCTACATTTTCTAAGGTGAATACCGTCGACCGTGATTGAGCTTTCTGTATATCAAATTCGTCTGCTATTCTGGCACAGTATTGAGCCAGACGGTAACGAACTCCAATGGTCTGCATTGGCGGCTTCCTAGCTCTGATATCGGAAGATATGGGCTCGTGGTCGATGTAAGCATCATTCAAAGCCTAAACACAAGGAGACAAGTTAGTGCGTGACTTATGTGGTTGATGATGAAATCGCGAAGTAGAATGGCGAGCTTACCGAAGCTTGTCCGTTACGCAACCGAAAAGGCTTTTCAATTATGTACAGCAGCCAAAACGCGTGATTCAATAATTCGACATCCTCACTGGTCTGGCAGACTATCTTGAGGCATGCCAGGCTGTTTAGTCTCAAAGATTGAGCGCAAGAAACTGCAGCGCCGAGCAGCCAATCAGTGTCTGCCGGTTTCCAAAAGGTCGAGGCAACGAGCTTTACGAGAAGTGTCAGCTACAATTCCACGCGGTTCACCGTCTCTCAAATCGTTAGTGCCTACCATTGTGATCAGTGCCTATTTGATTGAGTCAGAATAGCTCATTATACTTGGGCAGCACTGGGGGTGTAAGTACTACCTTGAAGCTCAGAGCTGATGGAGGACACGAGTGCAGTTTCTCGACATGTACCATGGCATTGCTATACAAGCATCTCATGTTTGACTCTGTCTCTTTGGAAGGGAAGCATTGTCGCATCGAGATTGAGCAACCAATAGAAAGCGCGCCGTATACTATCGAACTCGTAACATGGTCCGACATTCCTTTCATAACCACCTCTTCAAAGAGTCGCAGAATTTCAGAGTCTTTGACGTATTTCAACCCACTAAGATACATGGTCAGATCACACTCATACTACCAGCAGGCTTCGTACGCTGGACTATGACAATACTTACAGATATGGTTCAGATGCGGTGAAAGCTGCGAGCAACAGTTAGCCTCGGTTCTCAACCCCATCAAGACTGCTCCTGGAATTAATAGCAGTGTACCATGAAGAAACTCAACTAGTGTGTCAAGGCTAGGTTGAACCCTTTGGTGGGTACTCTCCGGAAGCTTTGGGCTGTAACAGCAGGTGGTGGATTCGTCTACAAGATCCATGAGGTTCTGCCCAAACTGTTTAGAATTGCAAGAACTCCGAGCTCTTCCTATAAGGAGCTTCACCATATCAGTTGTTGAGTACGCGGATGTCACTGATCATTCTGTAAGCTGGTATACTGTCTCCCAGAATTATGGCTTGGAAGCATACCATGAATAGAATGGTCGATGATGCTCTCATCGGTGGTCGTCTGCAGAGTTTCAAGGCTCCAGCCGGTCGATGCAACACTATCAAACTCCTGGAATCCAGAGACGCTGTGACCATTAGATAAGAGTTGCGTGCTCCAACAATACTCCAATGCTGAAGAGACTGGGCTGGCGATGATCTCTGTGCTCTGTGCTCCGAGAGCATCAGGCGAGTTCAATAGACCACCTGACAACGGTCCCCAGTGTTCTTCAAGGGATTCATTCGTCACCGGGGCCGGGAATTGCCCAAGATCCAATAGCCTGTTTACATCTGAGAGTGATGACTGAGTTGACGGGGCTCCAAAGTAGTTCAGGTGATCTGTCGGTGAAGGGGGTGATGTGGATTGCTGTGACGTGAAGTTGAAATCATCGAATGATGCACTGTGTCTGGTTGTCGCGTTGAAGCCTGGTCGGATGTGCTTAGCTGCTGTATGGTAAACAACGCGGCATGGTTGAATCTTCCTACTGTTCTGACTGGATCTTCCCCTCTTCTTTGGTGTGACGTAGAAGCAGAAGGAGGCGGATGACTACAAGTAATGAGATTCCACGGCGTCCAGTCCAGCCATGGGTACACTTACAAGGCACTTGTCGCAACTCGGCCTGCCGCCATCGCCTATGAATTGTTATGCCACTGCTTCGAAGATGTTCTCAAGGTTCTCAACCCACATTTTCGTTTTCGTACTTTGCATGTTTCGCAAGCGCCGGGTCGACGTTTGTATACTCTTCCACCAATGTCCGTGGTATTTGCTGAGGTCGGCGAAGACATCGCATGAAATGTCTTGGAATGGAATATGATGGATGGGATGGCAGAGGAAACAGATACAAGAGAGCTTATATCGTCGGAGTCATGTTGTGTTGTGGGGGTCTTGGAATATGTAAACCATCCCCGCTTCATGTTCATTACAGCTGTGCGTAGTTCAAAGCACTGATAGACCCCGGGCCGTGATTTCCGAGTCGAGAAGCAGGAGATCATCCCGCGAGGGCCATCCAAGGTAAGGTAGACTGGTAACTCCATCCCTGCCCAATGAGTCCTGAGAGATCTAGCCGGCCATGGTTCTTGACCTACATGTAACAAATACCATGTCTCTGGAGGACGCTACTGAACCTTGAACAGGCAATGCTTGAGTCCTGCGATCATCCAGACGCCTCGTGGAATGAATCTCTTCTGGACTTCTAGCCGAACTTTGATGGCTTGACCCCCCTACGCTCCATGTCTCTCAGCTCAGATCCCCATCGTTTCTAGGCCCGTTTACTGTTCCCTGGATACTATTAGCTTGGGTGCATGTCTCGAGAGACATATGTATGGCGGGCAAGGCCTCCGTTCCCCTCTTAGAAGTCGGCCCCACCCGCCGCACCGTTCACTTCGATCACCTCTGGAAAAGCTCAATGCGACAGCTACGGACTTCCATTGGAGAAAGAGTTGTGATGATCTGTTTCAGAAGATTCTTTTATCCGAAGAAGGCTTCCTTGACTATTCCAGATGGTGAGCATTACCCGCAACACATGGATCAACTTCGGATTTCTCTCTCAGACTTAAGGTCATCCAGTCAGAAAATTCCCTTCGATGGATCGCTATCTGTTCATCTTATAGTAGAGTAGTTTGCTCAATTCACAATAGGAGGAAGAGCTGCTGAGCTGCAGGGCCAATCTTTCTTACTGCCCAGCTACGTTTCCCCTCTCGCACATGAGGTCCTCAATTCCTCAACTGATCGAAGTTCTGGATCTGGCATCTATTCCTCTCGCTGCATTCGACGGTCTGCTACGTGGTCCCGGATGATCTCAAGTGCAGTGTCCAAGGGACCAAGGCATTGGAGCTACCAGATATACGTCTATTGTTATCATGTCCATCGCAACTTGCATCGATGATCGCCATGGCAAATGGTATCAGCGCTGCCAGCCGGATTGCTTCACCAAAGCCATGAACTCAAACGGGGCGGAAATGGCCTGACTTTGACTTGCCGTGATGTTATCCGAATGAATGTTGGACAAGATTAGACCTCCCGCTGGGGTCGCAACTCTGACGTTAAAGAAAATATGCATGCGTTGACTCGGGTGCATGTGCGTGAACTCTATTTCATGACCCAATTCGTAATTCAGAAGCAGGCTAGGGCCTTGCTCGTGGTCTCCTGTGGTTGAAACTAGCGAAGCTTGGTAGATCTTCGGTAATGTTAAGTTATTTCGATTGCATCGTTTGCCACAACGAACTGCCATCGTGGCCTGATTCCAGACCAAACCCAGGCTGACTACCTAGGACGGGCTTGGCTTTGGTCTGCCCACTCTCGTACTTGGTCGTATTGTCCTCAGCCCTATCCGATGGCCTGGATGCTAGCCTCTTCAACCAGCCAATGTGCCAATCTCCTCATACCGGGTGTAGAAAGTCTATTTCAAATCCCCATTGGGCGAGCTGACGCAAACAAAAACTCAGTGCCTCGCGTCTTCGCTCATGTCGCGCGGGGAACTGTCAATCCCGCGGGGTACCGGTTCGCTTCCCCACTAAGGTTCTGGGCGCAGGTCTCCGGCAGGCAAAGGTCCAGCCATAGCCGCCTTATCTTGCATTGGCAACTTAAGGCTAGCTAATGCTGCTCCCAGCATACTCACGGTGTGTCAGAGCTTATCATCTGAAGTCTGGGTGATATCGAGCCTTCTGGAGTTGCCTACAGCAACAAAGGATCAATGTTTCTAGTTCGAATGGGAGTCTCCGGAAATGCTTCATAATATGTCATAAACATGGTGAACTGGACGTGGTTTACCCCATTCCGAGGAGCATATCGATTAGGACGAGGAGTCGACCGGTGAGCCTCCTTGAATCCACGTACCTTATCTGTGATCAACCTATTGATTCAGTCTCGATCTGCAATTTCGTTCGAAACACACCTTGATTTCTACCAATCTTCATCGAGAGCCTCCTCATATCGGGCCGTTTCATATCTCCGACAGTGCCTACGTTAGGCTAATCCGCAATATAAGAATCCTCAAGCACTCATTGTGAGGAGGGGCCGAGCCTGGTCCGATATTCCGAGATCACAAAACTCACCGGCTCTCCAGACGACCGGGAGCGCCCGTGGAGTTATTCTCATGCTGGGGTCTAGCGTGGCAGACGAGCAGAAGTCTTCAGTTTTACACAAAACTCCCATCTTCCTGCCGTCTGAAGCTTTGCTATTTTCTCGAGATGACTTTTAGTGTAAATTGAGTTGATAGGAAAGTCCAACCAGTCGCAACCTCTGCCTTTCCCCGCCACCTTACACCTTACTTCTTGCGGCTGTCTTGGAACACTGGCAGTTGCGGCTATTATATCATGAACTCGGGCGATATGGAGATAGAGATGCCTTTTCTATAGCCACATTTGTCCACAGTCATTAACCTCAACGTTCTCGAAGAAGACTAATGATGGCGATCATCACTTTCGGGAGGTCGGGTGTAAGTTTCCGGTACTAATTGCACGCTAGGTGAGGCTGTGCCTGTGCCGAGATCCGACCACGTCTCATGAACAGGTGAGGAAATAAGTCTAAATAAATCGCTCACTGGCTTACGTTGGAGAATTCCTGACCAGCTATGACTGGGGAGATAAAAGTTGGAATGATACTCCAGCCTCTCTTTCTGCAGATGCCGACAAGGCCGCCACAGTACCTATTGAGCGGCAAGATTGTTCTTTCCAATGCCATTCACACTGCAGAACCACAGACCACCAGACTAGCCGTACATAGGTTGACGGAAAGGCATGCAGCAACCCGCCACCGATGCGTTCTTAGCTTAAACTAGCTATGGATTTGGCCCAATCAAATGATCCATTACACGATGAAAAGCCGTGACCGCACTTTGCTTGACTCACGAACGCGTTGTCAGTTGATAGGAGCTTGAAAGGCCACCGGTTTCCAACACAGACCTATGGCAATAGGCACACTTGATATTCCCAAAGAAGTCGAGCGTTCAACTACATCTCGACGGGGTCATGCCCAGGACCACGGACCAAGATTTCCAAATCGAGTTTTATGTCATCCACCCTACTCTTCTTTTGGACAGAGATGTGTCAACTCACTGACTAGGCTAGGTTGAATAGGCGGCAACTCCCGTAAGCCAGGATTCCACGGGGCCCCAGCTGTAGCAGAGGACTGCTTCCATGTCGTCACGGTTCACTCCCCCAGTCTTCAGCAAGGGTCTAGCAGCGGTGTTGAGTCGGACATAGAGCAGACAGGCCTCAACTTTGAGTCAATTCGCCGAAGTTTACGGCTGCAATGCAACTTGCTTGTATCTGGCACATCAAATAATCACCAAGTCAGTATTAAAATGGCCCGTAAGAGAAGATAAGGCGAAATCTGCCTTGATCATAACCATGTCAGTACCAGCTTTTGCTGCGCGAAGTCAAGCTCAAAATCGGCTAAATCAAGTTCCCCCGCGTGTTATACCATAAAGCCATTGAACCTTTTCTAGTATACCATGACTCGTCAAGAACTCACGAGCGATGTTAGCAGCCACATGCGGAATTGAGAAGATGAACACAGTGAGATCCTGGTTCTGGGATTCCTCTGCTCATCGAGCTGGAGTCGACAGCCCTGACATCGGCTTTCCCGCGGCGATTCGGCTCGAATCTCCCATGATTATGTACATCAAGTAGTACTTGCACCATTGGCCGGCGTTGCGTAGAGGATCCATGGAGGCGGATCATAGCAGTGATTAAGGTTTATCGTGCCCGCAACGGAGAGGCAAGGTAAGTAGGAGACTGTACTAGGTAGTGGTAGATATCGAGGATGAGAAGTGGTCTATCGAACTAGCTTGAAAAGTGTCTGTAACGTAGCAGCAATATCTCGCAAAGCTGGGATTGCAGCCGTGGTATGGACTTCAAAATATTGCTGGTTAGTTTGACTGCCGTCTTAGAATCTTGCTGAGAATTCCCACCCCACAGCCAAAACCCTAACCGCAGCGTAGCAAATGAAAGCAAGAAAATAAGAGACGCCAGAAAACAATATCAGTCCCTTCCAGTTTTGGCCTCCTTCCTGTGCCTCGAGGATGGCACCGGCAATTGGCAAACTGCTGAGAGTGCCGAAGCTGGCCATCATCATCGCCGTGGAGAGATAACGTCCATATTCCCTTGCATCGCACAATTGACCCAGGCAGACCGGAACTAGTCCTAGATTACTCCCACTTGCGAAACCGAATATAGCAACAAAAGCTAGGAGCATCGATTGAGAATTTCCCGAAGGCAGCCATAGGCCAAGAATTGTGATGAAGCAGAGGGCGATGGTGATGAGAATGACGTTAAATCTCCCGTACTTGTCTGCAGCCAGACCTGGGAGGAACCTCCCGATCGCTGATGTCGCGTTGAGAATGGACAGAATTGTGTACGAATGAACGTTGCTGCCGGGTAGAGTCGCAGCGTAAGAGATGATGTAGGTGATGGGGACAAAGAGACCCCACTCCATGAAGAAGATTCCGATCGCTGACAGGCTAAATTTTGGATCGCGGAAGACAGTCAAATCTGGCCAGATGGACCCAGGTCCCTCTTTCTTTGGCAGCCGAGACCGAATAAAGAGAGTCGCGGGTACCGTTAGTCCAAGGAGGATGAAGCCAAGAATCCGCGCTGTCGGACCAAACCCGAGAGTCGGGAACAGGTTTTGAAGCAAGATCGGATACACGATTCCGCCTATCGAACCAGCTGTGGCGGCTATACCCGTGGCGAAGCCTCGGCGTGAGTCAAAGAAGTGAGCAATAGCGCCGTAAGAGGGCGAGTCCAGTAGGGCACCTCCCAAGCCACCGAGAATTGAGTACGCCAGCAGGATTTGATAATATTCTGCTTGCATTAAGTTGTCAGGTCCAATAACATTTGAGCCGTTGAAGAAACGAACCTTTGCATAAGCTCAATAAGAGAAGGCTTGCAGACATGCAAAGACCACCAGCGACAACAAGGCCACGGGGACCGTACTGGTCAAACAGGGGACCAACTTGAATACCGACAAAAAAGACAATGAAAAGGTACAAGCTGAAAATCCATCCGATCTCGGATGATGAATGATCAGCAAGTTGGTTTTCAGAGAAATATGACTCGAAGACGGCAGCTGAGTTAATGAGGCCGAAAACCGAAAGCATTGCACAGAACGACCCAAAGACAACCAGCCAGGCCTGCCAGCCTCCTTCGGGGAAGGTCAGTTCGTTGAGACCTGAGGCATCATGTTGCGTATAGCTGGATCTGGCTCTTGATCTCGAGCGGTCTCCATCGTCCAGAAAATTCGTGAATGGCGTAGATGATGTGTGGCCGTGAATGCTTCTCAACTGTACAGATGATGTCTTTACAGCTGTTTGTGACATTTTGCGCGCAAGTTCCGTCAACAGGAAGTGCACGGTAATACAGGTACTAATTGTCCTCTTCCTAAACTTTGAGTGGACTCGTACAGAAGAGATGCTGCAGCAGGCCGATTAGACAATTTCCCCAGCGCGGGGTGACTAAACACACTTACTTGGAGGCAATGTTAATGAAAGAAGATAGAATTGAGTCGACACCGGGCTTCGAGTCCCATGTCGGCAAGAACACAATAGGGTCCACATGCACGTGTTGCGCCTTTTTGGCCCCTTACGGTTAATGGGAGATAACCCTTCTTTGCGTGTGATTACGTCGCCAAACTAGCACTGAGACCAAGCATTGCCAGCCCTGGACAGGCAGAAAGGGGTACTTCATCAGGGTTCCGAAGAGTACAGGGTTACCCAAACACCCTTTTAAGAGCGGGCACTTTTACTTTTGTCCCGTGCTGTCGTAATTGGCACTTGGAGGACGTTCCCAAGCCTTAGGTCAATCATATAATAATGGCCGTGAAACTAACAACGCGTCTACTTGAGGTTCTACCCATTGGCTGTCTCATTGACACAGGAAGAACACATGCATATATATACATAGAAGGCTTGTATTATAGCCACCATCCTAGGGAAAGTCCTCCTAAATGGTTTATGATTTGGCGAAGATTTCTCTTGGACACAAGAATAATGCCCCTGATCAAATGTGAGCTTGATCATATTGCGACTCAAAAACCAGTCAAAAAAAAAAAGAAAAAAAAAAAAGAAAACGGGATTTAGCCGCTCAGCAGCCTTCGCTGGGATGGATGACCCCGCCAGCCGTTCCCCGTCGCTCTCCACCGTTGACCGGTGTCTCTCTTTCCGGGCAATTATTCCCCGACTCAGACTCTTGGTCCAGTACTTCAGCGAATAGGGCCCTTTCATCGGGAGCTTAGGAGGTCAAGGTTTCCGAATAAGACATGCGCGTACCTTTCAAGCGAAGCGAGGTTACCTACTGAAGTAAACATGTCCACTATGATGTCCAAGTTCCCCTTTTGTACCTGCCAGTACGTGTAAGGTAGAACTACAAGGAGACATTAGAAAGGGGCTTTCACGTTCTGGGGCAAAACTCCTTCTACAAATCCCCGATTAGCTGTGAACTATATGGTCGCGAACCAACTCTAAATTTGCCCGCAACGGTGCAGCCGTCTTAGAATGTCGCAGCAAATGTGACAGACCATGGTCTACGGGATGTTAAGGACGCACGACTTGGCTACCTAGACCAGATCAGAATAGATCGAACACCAACTATGGACTTATTCAACGTAGATGAGAAGAGTAGTATTCTGGGGTTAGGTAGTGGCTATTTAATACGATAGGATCTAAACATTGACTTGTTGTTGGTATCCCTGTTATAGGGATTGGTTCGAACTGTAGGTGACGAAGAGGTTAAAATCGATATATATTTAACTTCTATATAAAGTGTAAAAAGGAGGTTTTAACTAGAGGTTAGGTAAACCGTAGATCTCGTAAATACGGTCTATAGATAGCCCCTATATAGGCCCCTTGCCTCGAGGTCGAATTGGACTTCCAATCCGACACATATCTCTTGGAAACGCTCCGACGCCACTCGTTGCATGGCATTTTGAGTAGAGACATGCGGGTGGAATTCAATGACAGGTTTCTTTGGGTAATGCATCCTGATCGCATCTATGCGAGGGCTTTAGCCGGGCATGGGTGGGATGGGCAAAGTGCCAATTGTCATCGTCTCAAGTAACATCTAAGTACTAGTAGTAATATAAAAATAGCGAAGGGAAGCGATATGCCTTAATACCTCCAGCGATCTAGGAGATGCGCAAATGAGCCAAGAAACTGACTTGAAATTAAGCCAAATATGCGGGGGTTCCAGCAAGCTGCCATGAAGAGGCTAGTCACCTCGGAATATAAGAGGCACGATCGAAACATAGAGAAGTCAACCGTCTAGGCGAACAAACTTGGCCAAGCCAAAAGCACCCATCGGCGCCCATTCAATCAAACCTGCAGACCTGTAAGCTTTTGGAGGATCTGCTTGCTGGTCGTGTAATCCGAAGTGCCGTTCTCCGGGTCGGCATCCGTGGCGTTCTTGGCACCACAGACAGACCCATCATTGTATTTGCCTGCAGGGCCATCTACGCCGGCGAATTCACGCTTTGAATTGGCAAGCAACATATTCTCAGCGGCCTTTGGGAGCCAGCCATTGATGAAGTCACCATGGGTACAGTATGCCGGACCGCAGGCAAGTTCCAGAGGGGCGGTTCCCTCCCAACCGTCAGGCAAAGCCTTGCGAAGGTCAAACCGAATGCTGAAGCGCAGTTGAGGCATTCTCTTCATACCAAGAGGGCAGCGATTGGCTGGCTTGCTAGTAGCAGTCCAGTGCTGGGTTCCAGAGTATGTGGACTCTAGCGTCTCCTCGTTGACGCAGTCGTGGAACAGGAGGATAGTTTGGAGATGGGTGTTGCAGGTCTTGGATGGGAAGCCATTGACGTCCTTCTCTGAGCTGGGACCGCCTTCGCAGAACCATTGGATGCCCGCCAGAGGCTCGGTGTCAGCTTCGGACTTTGCGGAAGCGTTGCCGACGACGACCTTGTAGTCTTGTGGAATGGCAACTTCTGCCTTTTCGATCGCAACGTAGTAGGCGCTGAACCGACTGATGGGAACCGGGGCCGTTGTAGTCTTGTTCTTATAGAACAGTGTAGGTACCCCTGGTTTCGTGTTAACAAACAGACTTTCTAGTTGATGGAGGTATTTCCCAGGTAGAAGTTGACTTACAGTAAGAGGAGTAGTCGTTGGGGTTCACTGCCGTGGCACAGACGGTTTGTAACTCTTTGGAGGTAGTTGTGTTCAAAGTGACAGCATCAGATCCAAAGAAGGTGTGCAGGTGACTGGCATACTGGCCCGGTATAACCACCGGGTCAATGTTCTTGTACATGAATCTGTCAACAACAGTGACGGTGTAGGCACCAGCCGTACTAGCAATTCCCAAAATGCTTGCGAGCTTCATGATAATGAGAAAGCTTCAAGAAAACAACAGAAAGATTGGCGTGAGTTGGTGCTGAAATGAGCGAATAATATGCAGACAAGCTGCTGTAAAGAACGACGACACTGAAACGCGTGAGATTGAAACGAAAGCAAAAGTTCAAGACACAAAGCTAAACGTACTTTAGCCAACTGGTTGCCAGAAGACTCATTTCAGAGCCACCGCAACTCTTAAGACGTCTTCGATCGATATCCTTTCAAAGCCCCCTACGTGTGGTCGACGGAGCAGTCCGCATGTTGAGACATGGGCACGCTCTCAAAAGCAGGGGTTTGGGTCTGATTAAGGTATGGTCATCCCAACGCCAAGGGCCCAGGTGGGAATCTGATGGATGACAGCCACGCTTTCAGAAGATTAGCGTGTCAGTGAAACCCATCAGAATGCAGTGAACAAGCGTTATGCCGGTCCTTAAATTTTCGTGCCTACACGCTTACGCGCTGACAAATGGTTTGATGCTAGCCTATTGCCATGAGGATGCCCTGCTTTGATGATCGGCACTGGCCTTTCTTCCAACCTTATCCAAAAATAAAAAATAAAAAGTCTTTACGGTAGATGCATTTACATTTAATTGATTGTTGTTCCAGTTAAGGTGTGTTTCCCTCGCTTCCTATCTGCCGAGGGCACGACGCCGTTAAGGATCCTCTTATCGTGCAGCGTGCAGTGACCCGGGAACGCTGCCTTAACCTGCTCAACTTTGCGCTGTACCCACATCAAGAAGATGAACAGTGTCACTGTTGTATTTCCAATAGTGAACATGATTCACCAGAAACAGTTGTATTGTTGACCTTATTGCCTCGGAGCAGGGCAAAGCAGAAACACCCGATACCCCCTCTTAGCACTTAAATCACCAACTCAATCCACGTACCACACCTCAATTTCCATCTCATCTTCCGGTACGTGTACTAGAAGACGAGATCATCCACACGACCATCTTGGAAAACATTCTTCCAGGCAGGGAATCTCGTCATGGCCGGGATACACGAATCGAGCCTCTCATCTGGAATGTGGGAATCATTTCCGGGTGCTTGTCCTAGAATCCGACAGACTTGCCCCGTCAATCCGTCTGATTTGGATGTGTAGAGGACGATCACTACGGTTCACCTGAAAACACCCACTCTCGGTGGCCAACAAAATGGTAGGGTTGAACGGAGCGACCCGCATTAGCCCGAAGACCACATCCTCAGGGATGTATCCGAGTGTGCGTATGACACTTCGGGGCAATGATTGTGCGGATGTCACATTCAAAGCCCGGGAGACTCCATTTTCCAACAAGTGCTAATAGAGAGGGTCTACATTGACATCTCGATGGGCTTTAAGGGAGGTCGACTCGTGCCTCAGAAGCTTCCTTTGCTCCGAAAATATCATTTATGCTGGCAACTGTAGCGCGGGGCCCCGCGTTTATGTGCGAAGGTGCAGATGAGATGGCGGAAGTTCAGCTCGACTTGTCTTCTCGGCCGAATGGCTGAGTCTCAACTGGTGGATTCAGCCGTCACGCAGTCTGGGATAGTCATATGAGACTTCCATGATGATGACTTCCGATGCTCGAGAGCAGTGGGTTTTGAGAGGCTCGGAAGGCTATAAAGCGTCTAGATCCAGATTCACGAAACCTTGGAATCTCAGAATCCTTCAGGCCTGGAAGGAAAGTACACTCAGACAAGGACAGTAAGGTAGCCTCAACAAGACTGCGATAATTTCGCCATCAACCAGCTTTCTATTCTGCAATCTCAGCATCATGAGATCAACTATCTTTACATCACTGATCGCGTTGGCGGCGGCGATGACCACGGGATCGCCCGTTGCTCGAGCCAAGAAATCTCCCTATTTCTTCCTTATCGGCGACTCCACTGTCGCGATCAACGGCGGCTGGGGTGACGGTTTCTTGTCTTACCTCAAAGACCCCACGAAAGGCGAGAACAGGGGGAAGAGCGGCTCTACGAACGTCTCTTGGAAGTCGAACGGCCGCTGGGCTTCGCTTTTGCAGGGTATCAATGACACGAAGGCCGATTACGAGCCCATTGTGACTGTTCAATTCGGTCACAATGACCAAAAGAGTCTTACCTTAAACGAGTTTCGGGCCAATCTGGTTGCCATTGCTGCCAAGCTAAAGGATGCTGGGGCGACTCCGGTGAGTTTTCACTCCTTGCGCAGGACCTTGAGACTGACAACTAATCCTACCTAGATTTTCATCACGTCTCTCACTCGCCGTCGCTTCGAAAATGGTGAAGTGGACCAAGACCTTGCTGACTGGAGGGGCAAGACGATCGCAGCGGCAAAGGCCAGCAGCATTAAGTGGCTTGATCTTAACCTAGCGAGCACCGACTACGTCAATGCCATTGGAGAGGAAAATTCCCAGTATTACAACCTGGCGAGCACCGATAGAACCCACTTGGGTGAAGCTGGCAAAATCGTGTTTGGTCGCATGGTGGTCGACCTCTTATTGGAGAAACGAAGTGACTTAGACGCCTACTTCAGCGCCGACGAGGAGATTTCTGACGCTATTGCGAACGGCAAGTTCACTACTGGGGGCAAGTGAACGGTCGGCGACGATGGACAGACAAATGCCTTGCAGAGTTGTTAGAGAGTAGAATGGAATTGGTACGGTGTAATGTTCCGTGTGAATATCATTCGGAGGGCGACTAATAGCATGGTGGTTGAATGTCGAGGCCCAGATTGCATACATTACCTCAGCGCATAATTCTGGAGCGAGAAACGTCTTGTTCAAGATGCACTAGAGCTTCCATAACAATGGTACAAGGATGAGGTGAATATCTGAAGATAGTAGTAAAACACTACCAATCTCAAATGTTTCACGAAATCCGTCGTGAGCTCGGAAGCGGTGTATCATGAAGTCGAGCAAGCGATCGTGCTCCCAGGATGATGGACCTGGGATTCCAGGGCCATGGGATTGGTGAGTGGGGCGGACGAAGAAACATCGCCAAACAAAGTGGCCCGAATTGGAAGGTCGTCAATGATCTGCAAGAAGGACGTTGAGATGGTTATCAACACGAAATGAGGAGGCTGGTGTACCACAAACCAACACGAACAACACGAACCCCGCCTTACCTACATGTACTTAATACCTTAGCTACGGACGCAGTTCTCTTAAACAATCATTTTTTTTCGTCTGTATTTGAACGATCAGTCCGAACTACCGCCATGATGATGAGCCTTTTTGCATTGGTCTTGACTCTGGTCGCCATCGCCCCTTCTCTGGCAGTGAGGAGTGGTATCCACGAACGGAAATTGAACTTGACCTTGACATGGGAGATTTTACCGACCAACAGCCAACAGCAACTCCGCGGGTTGTCGCCAGTGTCGGACCAAATAGCCTGGGTATCCGGTACAGGAGGGACAGTTCTTCGCACCACCGATGGCGGTGCTTCGTGGCAATCAGTTGGCCCCAGATTGTCAATCGAAGACGCTGACCTGCAGTTCCGCGATGTGCAGGCGTTCTCGGCGGAAAAGGCTGTCATCCTGTCTATTGGCGAAGGAGCGGATTCGCGCATTTACATCACGGCCAATGGCGGGGAGTCTTGGACGCAAACCTTCGCTAATGAGGAGGCATCCGCGTTTTTCAACTGCGTCGATTTCGAGGACGATGAGAGGGGGATTGCCGTGAGCGACCCAGTCGATGGCAAGTTCCGTTTGATAGAGACGCTTGATGGGGGTAGCTCTTGGACTATCGTGGACCCCAGCGGGATGTCCCCTGCTTTGGAGGGAGAATTCGGATTCGCGGCCAGCGGAACTTGCATCTCTACCGCAGCGGGCCGATGGTATCTCGCATCGGGTGGCATCGATCCCGGCAGAGTCTTCCGGAGCTCAGATGGGTACCAGTGGGATGTCTCGGGCAGTGCGATTGCGGGTGGTGCCTCGGCCGGGGTGTTCTCGGTACGATTCAAAGATGCGCACAACGGCATTGCAACTGGAGGCGACTTCAACGTGGCTAATGGTTCCCTCCACACATCAGCGTGGTCCGAGGATGGCGGAGAGACCTGGACAGCATCGGAGGTGTTCCCGGGCGGATACCGATCGGGCTCGTCATGGGCCCCGGGGCTGTGTGGGGTGGCTGTCGCTGTTGGACCTTCCGGATCCGATATCACGCTTGATGGTGGGACGACTTGGGTTACATTTGACAGAGGCTCGTTTGACGCAGTCGAGTGCGTCTACGGCCGAGTCTGCTGGGCGTCCGGGTCAGCCGGAAGGGTGGGCAAGCTTTTGTTGAGTTGATAACCGTGCAGACATAAGAAGGCCTTCACCGCTCATGGGAAATCCATGGAGGGCTGGAAGTTCCTAACTCAAATTCCCACAACCTCACCAATAATTGCCCTCTGTCGCACGGAAGGCCGACATTCAGGTGAATAGACTCGTTGTCGTTCGATATTTACCACTTCTCAGTTTGTGTGAAGGATGACTTTATGTCTTTTCAACTCCTTTGCCCACAACCAATGCGAGTGCGACGGCGGAGACCATCCAGATACCTGGCCATTCTAAGCAAGGTTCGAGACATGAGGAAGCAATACCCTGCATATGCCCTTCCACCCCTCCATGAACCTGCGCTAACAGGCCTTGGCTGTGGATTCGGTTGAAATGTGTTAGGGCACCTCGCGGCCGAGAGCATATATGAGACGGCACGTACCTGAAACAGGTCACAGCGTGCCTCGCTTAAGCATGCAAGATCCAACAGGCGTGCTCCCAAAGTTCCAATCAAGAGCTCTTGTGGGGAGCAATGGGGCCCAGCGAGGGGCATAAGGAACTTTTTGGAGGGGGGGGGGGATGTTGTTGAGGACTATTGAAAGCAGCTGAAAACGAACGTTACTACCTGATTAGAGTAGAGCTGTTGTAACATGCCGGCAGCTCAAAGTCCCGTTCGAATGACAGGCTCTAGCCTAGCCGCCAATGCAGCCAGCGCGTCATGACCTGAAGCCCAAACCAGCATTACCAATAGTCGACTCCTGAGCGGTCTGTTACTAAGGTCCGAAGTTCCACCTACACAACTCCGTGTCACTCCCGTACTCTGTGTTGATCTCACATTTCTTTCTCTGAAGTTCAGAGACGACGATGTCCAGAAAACGATAGCTCTACTGTACACTACGTGATCATGGCGGGCAGTCTTCACGCCCAAATCACTGAGTCGCTGACGCCTGGGCGCGTCTTCGGCTCGCTTTTCCTCGTTTTTGTTGGTCTGCTTATCCTCGATCATACATGGAAGCCCACATACCCAGAGAACATTCCCGTCGTGGGCTATGGGAAGGGCACCGTGGCACGCTTCAAGAACTTCTACTACTACATGTTTCGCTATCGAGACTGGGTCATTGAGGGCTACAAGAAGGTATGTGATTATCCCCCAGCGTGTGAAGTTGGCAAGGCTAGAACAGACACTGATTTGGTATGCGACAATGTAGTACAACAAGCAGAATCGCGCATTCGTGGTCCCCGCTGCCGCAAGCCGAGCACCCGACATCATCCTTCCACAATCCCTTACGAAATGGCTCCTCGAATACCCGGACTCGGTGGTTTCCGCTCACGAAGCGCATAACGACGTCCTCTATAGCGATTATAATTTTCTTGGAAAGGTGTACGCCGACGATGTGTGGCATACTCTGGTAATCCACAAGAGCCTGGCGCGCCACCTCAGCACCCTGATCCCCGCGATTGAAGAAGAGGTATCCGTCGCCGTGGACGAGGCCTTTGGCACAGATACCCAGGATTGGAAGACCCTGAATCTCTGGGACGCCTGGTTGACAATTGTGCCGCCCGTCACGAACCGGATGCTTGTGGGAGAGGGCGTGTGCCGCACCAAAGAGTTCTGCAAGGCCATGGTTTCGTTTGTCGATCAGGTCATTCTCAACTGTTTTGCGCTGCACATGGTTCCCCAGACCATCCTTCCCATCCTTGGGCCTTTGATCGCATTACCCAACTGGTGGCTATGGCGCAAAGCCTCCAAGCACAGCTTGCCGGTGATCAGGAAACGACTCGACGACATGGCAAAGAAAGAGGCGGGCGATCCGGCGTATGAGAGCTGGATCGCGCCCGAAGACTTCATCACCTGGGACATCCGCATGGCCAAATCCGAGAGGAAGTTCTTCGAACTCGATCCCTACGTGATCTCGAAGCGACTTCTGCCGATCCAATTCGCCGCCATTCACACGACCGTCATTACGGGTCACAGCATAGTCCTGGACTTGTTGAGCTCTGACCCGGCGAAGGGCTATATCGAAGGTATCCGGGAAGAAGCAGAGCGCGTTCTTCGCGAGGAGGGCGGCCGCTGGACAAAGAATGGACTTTCACGGCTATATCGCCTCGACAGCGCAATCCGAGAGAGCCAGAGGCTCAGCAATTTCAGCTGTACTCTGATGGAGCGCAAGGTTATCGCCAAGGAGGGAATCACCAATGAGCAGGAGGGGTGGCATCTACCAAGAGGCACGTTCCTCACCGTGAATCTCGAAGGTCTTCACCACGACGATGAACTGAACGCCAACGCGAGGGAGTATGATGCGTTCCGGACGAGCAGGCAGAGGGAAGAATACGAGGCGAAGCCACAGTCAGAACGCAACTTGGATGAGGGATTGAGGTTAAAGAATCTTGGCATGGTTACAACAAGTGATGCTCATCTGCCTTTCGGACATGGAAGACACGCATGGTAAGCAACTGGCTACTATCTCTCTTAGGTTTCTGCTATTGTCATGGAATTAACGACTTGTAGTCCCGGCCGCTTCTTCGTCGCTCACGAGCTGAAGATGGTTGTCGCCAATTTGTTCCTCAATTATGACGTCAAGCCACTGGCCGAGAGACCTAAGCACCAATGGGTTGGCGTAACTGTAGTCCCGCCCGTTGACGCAAAGATCGAGCTCAAGCGCAGGAAAGGTACTGTATGATTGAAAAGGTAAACGCAGTGGTAACGAATCATGAGTGGCTCAGGAGTATCAGGATAGGAACAGACTACAGGACTCGGCATAGTCGTGTACAAGATATTAATACAGCGTATGTAAATGAAACCTATGGACTATTTGTTTTTAAACTTTGGCCCTTTCGACGTGTCGATCGCTTCTTATGTCTCGAATGCTGTGCGTCGTGCCTACGTAGGTGGCCCGAAGCAACTATTAGACCTCCTGTTGTGTCAAATTTCCGATGTGCACCATAATTTTCGTCCCTTGATTCTAAACTCCGAAATACCAGACTCGCTACGACTACTGTGTTTCCAGACGCAAAGCACCCCTCATCGATCTTGTCCGATTCACGGGTTTCTTCACAGCGCTCGACGATGCTCTCTCATACGTGCATAGACAGCTTCGCCTCTAACATCATCCCAGCTAGGCAACTCCGCCCCTAAAGACGTCCGAGAGTATTCGTCTTCTTGGTCCATGAAGATCTGAATAGGCAGCAGTAGAGAGAGCTCGGTTCCTCCCGCCGCCATTTTGATCTCGAGAGTATACGTCCGCGAGATCAAGCAGGAGTGAAAGGTTGGGGGAAATACGTGACTTGATGTCGGAAGTTCAAAGTCAACTTGCGTTGAACAGGTATGAGTGATAGGTACGCTCTTGTTCAGGCTGCTGCTGTTGCGTACTACCGTGATGTCTCTCGACCCTCTGGACCCTCCAGCTTTTTTTTCTGATACCTCGTCATCTGAAATATGCACGTGCTGAATCCAAGGGGTGGTTTTTGTAGAGTCGATTATGGCAGGTGTAGATAGTGTGATTGCGTCTCGATTACCGCCGACATTGGGAAAGCTTGGCGCAGGTCGTGGAGAAGCCCAGGTTTGTGCCAATATCCTTGTTGATTTTATCTTGAGCTGCGGTGGAAGCATATCTGGAGCGGCAGGGCGGAAAGCAATGTTGATGTAAGCCGACGAGCTCGATGCTGCGTGTCCATCCAGACTCAAACGTATTGCCTGTGGCTGGGATGACTCGATCGTGATTTGGCCTGTGGGCATGGAGAACATATTCTTTCTGACTGAGGTGGTTTCTTTCAAAACGTAGTGAAGGTCGTGCTCGTCGATGATGAGAGGCGGGTCTTCGGGGCATGGTGCGAGGATGCTGATGGGATGCTCAGACTCAAGGATCGGTTCCAGTGGCACCTCAGGAGTACCGTCTTCGATGTTGAAAACTCTGGCCCTTATGCTGTATTGGATCTTTGTAATGTTTGTAGTAAGATCATCCTTGTCGAATCCGGTCAAGGACGACGGCAGGCGGAGGTGGTGGCTACGGACTGCTTCCGTTTGGACTTCGTATTGGCAAACATTGCTTGTAAGTTGGTGGGGGACGATGAATCGGAATGGTATAGAATAGATCTGTCCACGTTTGAAAACCCTCGTTGGTGGGTAAGCTAATTCGGGTACAGGCATGTGCAACTTAAGGAGCAGATGTGTCGTTTCGGTCATGACGTGGACATCTTCCCGCCGAACGTTGGCTTTTCCCAAGAGATTGATTTCAACGAAGCTGAAAGCTATATCTCGCTGTGGACTGATCTGGACAGTCCCGTTGACTTGCGATCCTGCAGAGTAGATCTTTGACGTGTAGTGATGATCGATGTGAACTTCGACGTCCCCTCTCGTAGGCATGCCGAACAATTTTGCCATAGACGTGATACCGCTCGCCATTTCTCGCATGATACCCGGGTGATCGACTTTGCCTCTCGGAAATGCAGCAACAACAGGCTTGGCAGCGTGATGCAAAGATTTGGAGTGGTGACTGGAGGAAACCTGGCTGAATGCCATGTTGAAGTAAAAGGAACTGGACAAGCTAGTAGATGAAAACTCAATGGTGAAGTCGTACATGAGTTCATTCATGGCATCTGCCCAAGCAAGTAGAAATACTGTAATGAAAAGGCCGATAGTATGACTCTACTTACAATTGGATTCGCTAGTCTATTTCCACGTATGCACAGGTTTGCAAAGACTTCGCTTCGTGCTTGACTCTACGCCGATTACGCCGACTACTCCGCAAGGATGCCATGATCCTAGCGGCGTGTTGAAACTATCCGAAATCTCGACATCGCCTGTTTCTTCTACCTTTCTTACAAATCAACAAGAACAATTCAGACATTTCTCATGGATGGTAGTCATACTTGACTTCCAGCTCCATGGCTATTGCTCACCTCGCTCAATGCGTGGGCCGTTAAGCGCCCCAGTCGACGAAACGAGCACGCCCTTGACAAGGAATCCATATGACATTCTACGCCCTATGCTAACTCCAAAACAGCCAGACATCTCTTCCTGGTCCAACTCCCTTATGTCTACAGGTTCCGATGTCGGCAATCCCGCCGGTTCATTTCTGGCCTGCCATTAATCTAGCCAAGCCTCAAATCTTGGCCTTTTCGAAACTTCCATGTCTTCCCGCTCCCTTGGAAAATTCCGCTGCACCCCGGACACTCTCTTTGTTGATCACTTTGATCCCCTGGTCAAACTCGTTGCTCAGAGCGTCCTCGAATGACCTGGCATCATAAGTTGAGTAATAACAGCTCGCCCTATCGGTGTTCATGCAGGCTTGAGGGAATGCCAACAGTTGTCGTGCGATATTCGTTGCCTCTGCCAGAGCCTGCCCCTTGGACACTACCCGATTAGCCAGGCCCATATGCAACGCTTCTTCCGCGGATACTCCACGGCCGGTGAGGATCATGTCGAGGGCTCGACCGAGGCCCACAATGGCTTGCAAACGAACGGTGCCGCCGTCGATGAGGGGGACGCCGAATCGTCGGCAGAACACCCCAAAGACCGCGGTCTCTTCGGCAACTCGAATGTCACCGAGGAGGGAAAGTTCTAACCCTCCAGCGACAGCATACCCTGATACAGCGCTGATTACTGGCTTTTTGATTCGCATTCGTGATGGCCCGATGGGCCCAATGTTGCGGCCTGAGACTCGGTGACTGTCGTCGATGATGGGTCCTTTGTAGCTGCTGTCTCTAGACCCATGCCCATACTGTGCGACTTCGTGGAGATCGAAGCCAGCGCAGAAAGTACCATGCGCTCCATAGAAGACGCAAACCTTCTGGGTAGGGTCATTCTCAAAGGTCAGGAAAGCATCTGTGAGTTTGCGTGCAGTTGGTCCATCGATTGCATTCCTTCGATGCTCTCGGTTGATGGTTATTGTGGTGATCCCATCAGATGAGATATGCACTTGAACTGCTTCTGGTTCGTTGTCTGCCATTGCTGATTGATTGCAGTTGATCTTTGGCACCTGGCCATCTCATTGTTGAGAGACCTTGTTTCAGAAGGAAGAAGAGAATACCCAATTCATGGATGCAGTATAGACCGTTCCTACGGTCTGTCTACGTCATCTTGAGCGGTCTTTCTCCCGTTACCCCGCCATGAACATGACCATGAACTTTGACCTGTCCTGTGAATGTGCCGGTCTCCAAACAGACTCAAGGAGGATTGCCTGGGCAAGGTGAGGTAGCTTCCGAGACCCCCATGTATTCCGTCGACAGCCGACGGCAACCGACATCAGTGTGTCGTCTAATTGATCAAACGAATTGAGTCAGATTTCAAGAAGGTGGAGTCATTGAATTGAGCGGCTTGGTGAGCTGGTTACCTTACTTTACTTTACGTATGTTCTCTGGGTGGGCTGGTCGCAAACTGCCGCTTCCCTAGGCTTTTCGCTCAAAACCGACGACAACAATGTCTCTCGGCCCATGACCCGAGCTCTCACATCTTGACTGTCTCCAAAGCCACTGAACATGTGGGTTATACACCGGATATGGTCCCGAGGCATATCCATGACATTCAGAGATTTAATTTCCTTGTAGCTTCCCTCCATACACAATTGTCCTACAAAAAGTCAGGTCCCTAGCCCATAGATGACAAATCCACACCACTCGGCACTCATGCTTCGAACCAACGGCAGTTGGATTTCTTCCTGGACTCCTTACGCATATCCGCAATCACACCTCTACCCCTTCGCGCGTCAATCCCAGGACCTGTGTAAAGAGATGCATGCCAAAACCATGCAGGCTTTTATCGAAGACGATCTGGAATAATTTTCAAGCTTCCCGCAATTTTGAGTGACCGGGCCACCCATGCAGAGGTGTTTTGTCTTTCTACTCCACGATTTTGACGAATCCGGTTTGTCTTGAGGTTGTGACCCTGACAAGTCTTGAAAGTTCGACCCATTTCTCGCCGGCTTCGTAGATCCTGTCGGCCCAGCGATTTAACATGTGGTCGGTCGCTCGCGAAGTCGTTATGATTAGGCCTAATCCTGACTTCTATCTCAGTGCTCTGAATTAGCCTCCCGGCTTGAGGTGACTGAATGCTTTGGTATACACCGTCCGCTAATTAGGGATGCTTCCGTAGAGAGACCTCAGCATGAATCACAGTGAATTTTCGGCTCAGTCTAGTTCAGAGTATAGTAATCTAGGATAAACTCGACGTTCGACGGGACCCAGCCCGGCTGGATGGGGCTCAGGTCAGTGCCGACGACTTTAAACTTTGGGCACTGATCCCCAAGATCGATGGCCCAAATCCCGGTTCCGCTTAGGCCCATCGTTGCCATCTATGGGAATGAAAGACAGAGGATTTTTGAGAAGCATCAAAAGCGCCGTATAGATTAAGTCAAGACCCTCATTCTGTATTTGGTCGTTTCGGGCTCAGTATTCTCCTATTGTGCCGCTTTGGATACGTTCGGCCGTGCAGTTGGCTATATTCGAGAATGCTAGAAGAGACCGAGGTTGCGGAAGAATAGATGCTGTATGTTTTTGACTCGTGAAACTGGTCTTCGTTATCGACGACAGTTGCTGCCTCAATGCGCGATGGCATACTGTCGGTTCCTTGGTTTTGTCTTTCCCCTATTGTTCGTGCTTGTTGTCGGTAGTATCCGTTGACTGAAGGAACTTTGGAAATACCCAGATCTCAACAGCCGAGCACACACCATATCAGTTGTTGGGAACTTGGAATGTTTCCTCTATTTTCAAGTTGTTATTGGTCTGTGATGAGTCTTGATGCAGGAGTGTGAAATGTACGAGACACTACGGCGTAGTCGCTGCGGCACAGGCTACAGGGGTTCCGACCGGTATCCCCAAGAGGTTTTCTCCCGTTCATGTATTGGAGGTACAGCGATCTTAGCTCCAACTGCTCTGAGAGCAACGCTGGGTCCTTGCATCACACGAGATTCATGCAAAGGCGCGGAGTGGAATAAGCATATTGCCCTGAAGCCTGTTGGGGGACAACATCAGTAAAGTACGGTCACTTTCGGAGACGCGCATGGGAAGCCAACATGATAATAAGCGTGGATTAAACTATCATAGCGCAGAACATGTACGCGACTGGCCAGACCACGCCACCAGTAGTTATGAACATACACAGAGACCAGTGCATCCTCTGTTCAAACGATGTAAAGGGCCCCTCACATGTTTCTTATGAAGGTTGGAAGACTTTGTACACCGCAATCATGTCCTCCTCGCTCAGCCCGGCCACGTTCGCCTGTCCGTAGATCGAATGGCACAACTCTGCAAGAGGCGACTCTACATTCGCCAGCCTCGCAGCTTCTGTAATGAGTTGCATGCTATTATAGCAGTCCTTCATAGACGCTTGTGGATTCCAGTTTCTATTGACAATCTTAGCGACTTTGATTTTCGAATACGCAGAAGCCATCGGCCCGGCGTCGAGTACTTGTCCGAAAGCATCGAGATCGAGGCCCTGCGCCCGTGCAAGACTGAATGACTCTGCAAGAGCGACCGTCATGCTGTTGAGGTAGAGATTGACCGCGTACTTGGTCTTGAGTCCGGAACCGATTGGTCCGCAGTACACGGTAGCGGAGGTGAGCGGCTCCACCACCGCCCGCATTCTCTCCGTGACGGCCGGATCACCGGCCATGAGACCCACTAATGTGCCTTGCTCTGCCGGGACCCTGCTGCCGCTGACTGGCATTTCGATAAAGTTGCTTCCCGCTCTTTGGACTTGCTCCGCAACGTGTTTGCTGACTTCCACAGTGATTGAGCTCGTGTTTATCAAGGTTTTACCGCGTAGTGCCGCTGTAAAGTCGTCGTTGAGAATCGAGGTTAACGCCGGGCCATCGAAAAGCATGGTGAAAATGACATCAGATTCCTGAGCCACTGCCGCCGGGGTATTGCCAATCTTAGCACCAGCTTGTATGAGCGCCGTGTATTTGGAGGAACTTCGGTTCCAGACGGTCAATGGGAATTTGCGGGCGAGATTCAGGGCCATGGGTGTGCCCATGAACCCTAAACCTAAGAAGCCGACACGCATCGTCCGAATTTTGGCCCTCTGGGGATTGAAGATCGTTGAAGGTTAGAAATTAAACCGAGATAAAAATGACCTTCAAGAGATCTAATCTTTTACCTTGGGTTCAACGAAGGCAGTTCTCGGAACCAAGAAAGACGCCTTGTCATCGGGACAAACCAACAGGTGATGGATAACACAGTTCTTACTACAGTACTCTACATCATCAGATCACTTCGCCTAGAGGGCGCGATGGCTTTTTCTAATGTGACTAGGTTCACGCCTTAGGGCGGTGGTGCTACCGATGGGATGTATTAGCCCCTTTGCATGGGAGTATGACAGGACCCATAAAATACATGTCAATTGCTCCCTACGCCTTAATTGTAATTCAAATGCGCCCACACTGAAGGGTGTGCGGGGATCTGGCCGACATCGCTGAGCTGACAGAGAGAAGAAAATCTTTTGGTTTGAAGTATCTCGAGTCATCATGTTCATGCGTCTTGGCAACTAGAATACTTTTACGGAGTACTGCAAGCTCATTTGCGCTACTGCGCCTCGGGCGTCTTCCAAATTTGCAAAGTACAAGTCTTGCAACATACAGGAACCAGCCCCATTGGACCATTGGCTTGTTTGTTGCGGCTACGCTCCAGATGAAAATCTCGTTCATGGATGACTTGGCACTGGAATATCGTCAAGAATGCCCATCTCTCGCTTGAAGTCACGAAGCCAGTCTGGGTTGTCCGCTGGTGTCTGATTCCAAGGATCGTCACTTTGCTATCGTTAGCTGTAAGTCTTTTCCAAATGACCGTTGGGAATTCTTACTCTTCGAAGGAAATCCACCTTGCCTGATGCTGGAGCTCGGCGTCGGTGGGGATCCGCCTGTTTGGATTGCGTGGTGATGTAGTAATCGTCACGAAACGAGTGAGCTCCTTCATCAGTTTCCTGTAGCAGTTGTCGTCGTTGACGAAGAACGTGGAGGTCGAGTACACTTTGCTGATCTCGCCTGCGTTGCCACCGGCGGCGTTCGCTTGTGACGGATCAGGTGTGCTTCCCGAGGAAAGGTTTGCAGCTGAGAATTCGAGACCGGGCTCAGCTGGGATGGCGCCAAAAATGGCATTAGATGTGCTGGATGGAGGGAGAGCACTTGAAGCCTCCGATGGTGACAGTCCAATTCTGTGACGAAACGCAGCCAGCCAGTGGGAGGATCCGTTGATGAGACTGAACAAAAAGTTCATAAAGGTCTCTGACGGGTTGGGCGAAGAGACCTCAATTCTATTGACAATATTGCAGGCCTCCCTTTGCAATTCTTCGTCCGAAATTTGTGGCTCAATCAATTTCGAAATCTCCACGTAACTCTGTAGTTGTTCTTCTAATCCACAGGCCTCGAAGATACACGCTTTGCCGTTAATGCTAAGATATGTAAATCGTGATTTTGCGTTATTCTTCATCGGTCGGACGCGCGCCTGCTGCACGATGGCCTCGGACGACATAAGCAGATCTCGCAGCCAGCTTTGGGTTGATGTTGCAGGTCTCTTGGAAAATGAGATTGAATCGCATCCAAAGATGACGCAACAGCTCTCATATAAAAGTTCTGCGTTTGTGGGCATCTGCTCATTTGTATTCTGGTGTTCGGCAGAGAAGTGTTCGAGCTCCAACTTGATCAGCTCGTACGCATTTGGTGGTGTCTCTGGGACGCCTTGTTTCGTCGTGAATGGCCAAGGTGAGTTTCGTTCCATGTGAATCATGTCTAGGCGTCATGGGTTAGAGCTTAGTTCTTGCATACTTGGCTTCTCCGGTAGCACTTACAAGGCTGCATCGAGTTCTCGACCATGTTCAAGACATTATCATCAAATCCCCAGTCACCATGCCAATCTGCCATCGTCTTTCCATCTTTAAAATGCTCGGCCAAATGGTCTATCCGATCTGTCCACGAGGACATCGTGTGGCCGCAGAAGCCGCACCGGGAACGTATAATCTCGCTTTCGTACTTCCAGTCTCCCATAGGCCACCTCAAGAATTTGGCATCATGAACCAGTTTCAAGTGTTGCTGCAGGTGATCTTTTCGATAAAAGGTACGATCTTCAGGCTGGCGGTCCCTGCATGCCTGGTAATTGTGCTTCTCTAGATGCTCCTTGCTCGGGTTCGCTTCGCCGCAAAAGATACACACCGGCTGTCCCCTGGCGTCGGGTACAGTCGCGCCGGTCGGGGCGCATTCCCACCGCTCGAGGGATAGATGTAACGACTTCTCGTGACGCTGCCAGTTGTGCTTGGTTTTAAATGTTTCCGTACAAAACGTGCATTGATACGTATTGCTGGTCTGCCATAGGGTTCCCGTGCCTTTGGCTTCGGGGCGTTTTGCCAGCGCTCGACGTCTTCTCCGCTTGACTGCGCTCTTTCCAAGGGGTTCGAGAGATCTCAGAGACGTGCGAGAGTTGTGTGAGTACGCCGAGTTCGCTGAGCTTCTGCTAGAGTGCGACGTTCCTGCGCTACTCGCAGACGACTGCCCATAAAATGATCGCGTTGGAATGGTATCTGTCAAGGATCGGTCGCCCAGATCCTCTCCTTCTGACGAAAACCCAGATACAGCATTGGCAATTGCCGAAACAGACGCAGGTTCATGTTCTGGGGGCGAAACCTGCCATCTCTGCATCGGGTTCAAGTTTTGGAGAGTATCGGAAAGGCCGGAGCCTGGAGGAATGTTGATGGGCATGGTTCTCGAAGAAGTGATCGCTGGAGAGGGCGGCCGTTTGGGCGGCACTTTGAATCGTGTCCGTCTGCGTGTGTTGGCCAGCCAATTGGTAATCTGTTGTCTGCTGAGGCCAGTCTGCCGCTGCAACATCTCCATGTCCTCGGTAGTTGGGTATGGATGATGGTTGTTGTTCGCAAGCCATGTCTTCAATATACGAAGGGATTTGGATGAGAAGCGAGTTCCGATCTTCGGCGGCGTTGTGGTATCTGAAGGTTGGAGTGAAGGTATGTTGTTACCTAGGTCGTTGCCGAACAGGTGTCCCATAGGCTCTCCATCACCCAAGGCTTCCGAAAACATGAAAACGCCAGGCTCGTCGAACTGGTTAACGTTATTCACAGGTTGCCTTTGGGTAAACTCCATGCTGACATCTTGGCCACCAAGAGCGGTCGAGGCGGGGGCAAGTGCAAAGGCATCTTGTTGATGAGATGACTCAACATTGAGAACACCAAGAGATTCAATATAACCAACACCCTGTAAATCCTGCTCAAGCCCGTCTTGTCCAGTTCCAAAATTGGTAATGTCGTGTTGCTGGTTGTTGACAAAGTTGGACGTGATGAAGTCCAATTCAAGCGCGGCGGTGTAGTCGTCAATATTGAGAGCTTGCGTGTCATTGGTTGCACCCGATCCCTTGTCCATCATTGTGCGAGTTGTGTAAGTGCATGAGGATGCAGCCTGTCAACCTCGGGGCATTGGCATCTGTTAGTGCTGGCCGAGAACAGATAGGATGAAAGTTTCCCCGAACGAACTCTCTGCTTTCAGATGACGAAGAGTCAGGGCAGAGGTTGTGGCCGCACTCCCCGCACTGAGTCTTGTTCCGTTGCTCGGGTCATCGTCATCCCGGCTATCGGCACACCTCTGACCTGCACCACCAACTACCGGGAAGGCAAATCATGTCTCTCCCATCACCTGGAAGTCGAGGGCTGGCTTCTCGGGGGAAAGATTAGAAGGTTGAAGGTATTGAGACGCCCAGGACATGTCCCAAATAGATCCTTTGCCTGCGATATCTAGGATATTCTTACTAATTTGGGTCGATTCTATTGCCGACTTTGCCAAACTTGGGGATGATCATCTGCTTGACGCCCACCATTGCGCTACCAAACTCACTTCAAGGTTGCGGATACAGATGCGGCTCAATCACGCATCATTGTTCACGTCTCTCATTCCAAAATAGGCTTCCGTGTTATCGGCGCCGAGCCCGGCAGAGAACCGCAAGCCGGCCAGGTCATTGCCACCGATCTCGGATGGGGACTCGGCGACCGAGCCGTTCATTTCGGAGCCGGCCGATCTCGGAGCTTTGGATACCACGCAAAAAGTCCTCAAATGCGCAAACATTGCCGTGCTGGTACCGAACCCGGCCACATCGGCCAACCCCCACCATGTGGCCTCGATTGCTGAATTATTGGGAGATGCCCGTCGGAAGATTTCCGTCGCGCGGCTAAGCCCCGCGCCCCATGAATCTTACAATGGAGTCTGGACTCAACCAGGCCATATCCCATTCGTGGGATGAAGTGATGGCTTCTGTTTCAAGCAATTCATCTACCAATTTGGCGGGGATGACTGGGCTATTCCGGGGGATGATCCAGTCACCGAGGTCGGAAAAGTAAGCCAGGTGCAACGCTCGAGACGTTCCCGCCGCGGGTGGATTCTTCGCAATGCCGTCGGTCAATACTGTTTCTTTGCCGAGTTTTTCGACTGGCTAGCTGTGAAAAACTTGGAATCCCCATTCATCTTTGCGCCATGCTATGGAGATGTCAAGTCAGGTCTTCTCTAAGATTCATCCCCGCATAGCCGAACGGAGAAGCCAAGCCTCTCGTCCCACATCGGCAGCCCACGAACATGTCCCGCGACCAAGTCGAACAATCTGAAAAGCCGGAGCCGAGTAGCGGTGGCCGGCCCGAAACCCCTGACTTGGCACCGACAACTTCTAATGCGGAGAACAATGGCAGCATTGTGCCGGCTGTCGACGATAACGACGCGCGCCTAAGACGCCAAGACACCGAAGCCATTTACAATAGGTTCACGCCAGCTAAGAAGAGGCTCGTAACCGCGGTTGTGGCATGCGGTGGGATTGCCTCGACAGTCTCTTCCTTATTGCTTCTAGCTGCCATCCCCGAAATCGCAGCCGATCTCAACACAACGGGAACCACCATCAACATCAGCAACGCCATCTACGTTTTATTCATGGGCATTTGCACTCTCTTCTGGGGTCCCATCAGTCAAGTTTACGGTCGGAAATGGGTAGGTTGACAAGTCTCGACCCAAAATAGTAGCACCAGCTCACCAAAAACTAACCGCACAGTGCTGCATTATCTCAGCAGCTACTTTCTTTGCCTTTAATGTAGGAACTGCTTTGTCACCAAACCTTGCAGCATTCTTCGTCTTCCGTATGTTCTCGGCGTTTACGGGAACAGCGTATCTTGTGCTCGGCTCCAGCTGTATCAGTGATATCTACAAGCCCACGGAGCGAGGCACCGCACTCGCATTCTTCCTCAATGGTACCCTCATTGGCCAGAGCTTTGGACCATTCATTGGCGGTGTTATGGTCAACTTCCACAGCTGGAGGTCGCTTTTCTGGTTTCAGTCTGCCTTGGCTGGACTCACCGCAATCCTGGCAGTTTCGTTCCTCCCAGAAACCAGCCACCGGATGCGAGCCGACGAATTGAAGGGCTTAAGTACTAAGGCGAAGGTGGCGCAGGTCTGGGACTGGGCGAACCCGTTCCGTGTACTTGCTCTTCTGCTGATACCTAAACTCTTCGTGGCTGTAAGCTTCACTCAGAAATCACGTACACTCTATCTTCGCAGTGGCCCTAACCATCTAACGTAGGCAATGGCTGCTTCAGCTTTGGTGTGGAACATGCAAGCCTTGCTCACCCCCATCCGATACGTCATCAATCCCAGGTTTCACTTGACGTCGCCGCTCGAATCAGGGCTTTTTTTCCTCGCACCAGGATGTGGCTTCTTCTTTGGTACGTACGCCGGAGGGCGCTGGGCAGACCTGACCGTCAAGCGCTGGATCAAAATCAGGGGTAGGCGAGTCTCCGAAGACCGTCTGAGAAGCTCATTCGTGGCAATGGGAGCCGTGATCCCTATCTGTATTATCATTTACGGCTGGTCCATTGAGAAGGCAGTCGGTGGGATTCCTCTTCCGGTCATCTGCATGTTTATCCAGGGCTTCGCCCAGGTCATCGCGTTTCCCAGCATCAACGCGTACTGCTTGGATGTGTTCAAAGGGCGGAGCGCCGAAGTTATAGGTTTGTTCATGTTCTACCGCCGGTCTCATACATCACCTATGCTAATAAAGTATGCTAATCTAGCGGGGAACTACTTCTTCCGATACGCTGTTGCAGCGGTGGGTACTGCTGCGTGTTTGCCTGCAATCCAGAGCATTGGTGTGGGCTGGTTCAGTACAATCACTGCCTTGTTCGTGTTCTTTGCCGCGCTTGCTGTATACTGCGTTGTTATTATTGCCTCAAAAGAGGATACTAAAGATAACGAAACTGTCTAAAGTAGAATTGCGGCTAGATCTAATGAGACCACGTGGTATGGATGAGATGACGATTTTTGGCTCATCTAGTCTCAAGACGATTCCTGGATTGAGTTTTACTAAACCGGCTCATCTCTTGCCATTGTCGTGCACTGTAATTGAGCGTTCTAGGATCAATCAGTAGGCTTCCCGGGCTGTAAGTGACTCCGAGGAAGTATCATGCGTTTAATGTCCAAGTTGAGACAGCAAAGCTCAGCCAAGGCGATTAAGGATTCGACAGTGACCGCCAGGTGTACCAATCAACAAATCAAACCCCCAGACTAGCTACCTCGGTGAATGCTTGGTGAGTTTGATGTGCCTCGATGTAAAGGGAAGCGAGAATGATGTCAAGATGGTATACTTTGCTTGATAGGTAGGGCGATCCCTCCCGCTCGGTCCCTTCATCGTCGTTTGCACGGATAGCAAGACGAACTGAGACCTATTCAGAGAAGCAGAGTCCGAGAGTTCGATCCCGAGTGTGCCTATAAGTTATCTTGGCAAAACGGTAAGATGTTTCAACGACTCGATCGGGCGAACCTTGCTGTTGCGAGCAGGTCGGGTACAGCCAAATTTCCCCCATGATAGCATTCCGTGAAACACATCAAAACCATCTCGGTCCGGCCTTTATGTCGTCTTTCTCGGACTTTGTCGGCCCCGCTTGCTCCAATATCGCCATTCCATTGGGTTTATACTAAGGGTGACGGTTACTATCACAGAGTCAAAGTGACAACCTCCCGTCGACCGGTGTACGACTTCGAGCAACGAAGCCGGCCTCTCTGGCCCCCTCGGCTTGGGCTATGGCGCAGGTCAAAGGAGCGATAGGTCAGAACCTGTCCACAGAGGAGGCAATCGCGATTACCTGCTTAGCGACGGCTGGCATCTATAATGCCTTCGAGTTATACGTTCTTATCTTCACGAGATTTCGACGACGAAGCGGACGATATTTCTGGAGCATGCTCGTCGCAAATACCGGCATCCTACTACATGCGTGTGGCGGCTTGGGTCGGTTTATGCAACCTACAAGAACGGTGATACCGGGGATATTCGCCCACGTTGGCTGGTATTGCATGGTCACCGGCCAGTCCGTCGTCCTATGGTCACGACTGCATCTCGTCGTCTACAATCGTATTACGATTCGGCTGGTGTTAGCGATGATAATGACGTCTTTCTTCTGCGTTCACATCCCGCAAACGATCCTCTTCGCTGGAGTCTGGGCAGGCAATAATCCAGTTTGGGACAATCGCTTCAAGATCTTCGAAAAGGCATCTTTGATGGTGTTCACTCTACAAGAAATGATCATCACTGGAATCTTCGTCAGGGCTGGATTTCGAAACTTTAAAAGCCTCTTCGAATTCAAAGCACAAGAGGCCAAAGTTCTGCTCAGCTTCATGGTCAGCATGTTTGTCTTGGTGTTCCTTCTCGACACTGGTCTCGTTATCCTGGAGTACATGGGTTACTTCGTCTTCCAGACAACCAGCAAGCCCATCGTATACAGTATCAAGCTGAAAGTTGAATTTGCGGTTCTGGAAAAGCTTTTGGCATTCACACGGATGAAGCAGTGCGACTGCCATCAGCTGGAAGACATCCCAACGACTAAAGCCAAGTCATTCGCGAATAATACTACATTCGTCACCACCATCAACACAATCACTTGACGGCACTGCACTGAAGGATGAAACAGAATCAATGAGTCTTAGTAGGAATAGCAACTCTAACGAAGACGGCTGCCGTATAATCGTCCAGACAAAGATGTCAGCACAAAAGCTAGGGCCAAACTTGCCTTTGACTTGCGTTCAAGCAAACCATCAGAGTTACGAGGGCTCCTCCGGCTACCAAGATGACTTCATCAGCATTTGAACGTCAAGAACATAAATCCGCCACAAGAGCCAGTCATATAGACTTCAGGTCGGTATAAATACTCCACATCTGCTTTGTGTACCAACACAGTCTGTCATTTTACTAATTCCGCGTCACAGATATGTTGAAGTTTCCACCCAGAGTCAAATAGCCAACGTCAAGTGATTCGACCTGAGCTAGTCCAAACAACGGTTCCGCACATGGAAGACCAGGAAGGCATTTCGATTAAGAAATACCGCGAAGTCGAGGGGTGGGCTACGAGACGAAACAGTTTATGTGTATCATCTAAAACATCGGCGACAATCATGCCGTATACTACTTAGTCAGGATATCAATCACGTCGGGTAGAGATCACGAAAACAAGATTGAAGATGTGAAGCTGGGTCTGTCTATTGCTACAATACGGGATCACTAGTTCTCATAAAATTCTATCTTACAATTCATATCTGAACTCCTTGTTCTCAAGATCTGTCAAGTCCCAGAACTCGTGGTTCTCCTCCACCATATACGCATCTCCCAAGGCAGCCTTCTCGGCATCACGCTTCTTGTTTCTTCTTTCCAGCACCCAGCGCATCAAAAACAAGTCAACAGTGACCAAGAAGTAAATGATGCAAATCGATATCTTAGCGGGGAGGTATCTCGGTGCATCACGGGCCTGGAAGGTCTGAGGAGAAATGATGTTACCGATCGTGTATGCGATGGTGCCAATGCATGCGACGGTGACTTTCTTGGTGGAACCTGCAACATTGGTACTCTGGAGCCCCAGAATAGTTGTCCATCCGATCGGAATACCTCCTGAAGTGTAGTATCCGATCAAGGCGGGAACTTTCGAAGTCGTCGCCATGAGAATGGCACCGATAATGGCAGGGATGTGGCCGGCAATGCACCAGTAAAGCCGCTGTCTCGTCTTCATTGCCAGCCAAGTCAGGCCGATCAACGCTACGATCTCGTAGGCACCGAGAGGGGTGACAAGAAGGAGAGACTCCTCGCTCGTGTATCCCATACCTCGCACCAGAATATTCCCAAAGCTGGTCGCAATGGAGTTGGGAATGTTGGCCGCGAAGATCCAGAAGGCGTACAGCCAGGTCATGACGTCAAGCAATGCCTCTTTCACGTGTTTCCATTTGAACTCCTGTGAACCAATGCCTTGCTCGTTATCTCGAATTCGCTCAAGATGTGTTGCCTTCTCTTCTTGAGACAGAAATTTTGCAGTTGCCGGTGAGTCAGGCATGATGAAGAAGAACGCGATGCCAACAAGTGCGGTCAGCAGGCCGAGAAACAAGAAGATCACTTGCCAGCCCCTCAAGGCCGCACTTGGATCCTTTCCGACATGCGTTGCAACGCCGTATGCAAAAAAGCCGCCAAACATCTGAGCTGCACCACAGACAGAGAACCAGATTCCAACGCGGAATGCCTGCTCCTGCTTTGTGTACCACTGCGAGGTGAAGAGAACCCAAGCAGGCACTACAGCCGCTTCAAACGCTCCTAAGAGGAATCGGCAGATAAGGAGACCAGCGTAATTCTTGCATGCCGCGAGACAGGCTAGGACGACACCCCATAGGATGATGTTGATGGAGGTGTACTTGGCTAGGGGAAACATCTGGATGAGTCGGATAGTTGGGAACTCAAAAGCGAGCTGACCGAAGAAAAAGATGGAGGCAACCCAGTTGAACTGGTTTCCGCGAAGACCGGTTGATTGCTGGATGCCTGTGACGCTGGCGTAAGAGATGGCCGTCTTGTCGATGTATTGCAAGAAATACACGATACAGATCAACGGCATGATGTGGGTATCGATACGGCGCTTGAGTCTTTGATTGAGCTCTGGATCGACAGTGCGGCCTAATGGCCCTGTCTCGTTGAGAAGGTCGAGGGCGGCATCGGCGCCGGTCTTCGGTAGGCTCTTCGTAGCTTCTTCCGGGTGGGCCACCCCTGTCGGGGCCGAGATGGATGCATTCGATGCGGAGCGTTCGTCCGAGTCGGAGACAGTACCCGTGACTGGCGGCTTTGTGACTACTTTAACGTCAGGGTCAGCCATGGTCTCACTTGTTGGGCTATAAGATGGCAAGGCGAAATATGTCGACTCGCAATTAGCGGCGAGGCAGGATCGAAGCGACGGAGGATACCTGTTTCGACAACAGCAAAGCAAAACTGCATGGAAAACTCCTCGCTCTTATCACTTGCATACTTATGCAGTATCACGAGCGTTCTTGAGCACATCATCGGCTACGTCTAGCTACTCATAGCTGGGCAGACCCATACGCGTGGTGTGAATACTAAAACTTTTCACCGACAACATCCACCTAATTCCGATAAGAGACGAAGCATCCACCAGAAACCAACGTATCAAGTCAATTGTCGGACGACTTCTGATCCTTTGTGTTACTCTAATAAGCACGTCATCGTCAAGCCGATGGTGCAAGACTTCAATCGTTGCCTGTTGTAGGTTCCATGCCCCACTTGCTCGGCTCACCACCACAATGGTTCGTTCAGGGCTCACGTTGCGGCCAACCTGAGCTGTAAACTGTCGGCTTAAGTCGGTTCTAGAAGGTAAAAGAGCGACGGAAACACCGTGAATGGTTTTTAGAGAGTTTTGATCTTCGTCAACCCTTAGCTGCGTAAGTACCTAGGTTCTCTGGTTTCCGCCGCAGTGACTTGGCTAAGCCTTCAAGGCCCATTAGTGCACGTGCAGGCAAGATGGGCTTGCATGAAGGCCCATGCCACATGGTAAGATCGGCGAGGCAACGTCAAGATACATAACGGGATTGCGCATAGAAGTAAAGTCATTTCAAGAGGAATTCCTTAACTCGGATCTCATGAGGACGATAAATTTTGGTCTGTAATCTCCATAATCTCACCTCCGTAGTTCCTCCCCTCGTTCTTAGAATAAAATACCTGAGTTGGAAGAAAAAAAGTCGTTTCCATGTCTTTAGAACTTCCTTCGTTCGGATCATCATAACATCACGGTTCGTACATTATAAGTGGTGGGAGACGATGAGCCAAGAAAATATCCATGCCCTGTTAGGCTGAGCCGGACTTGGGTCACATATATTAGCTCTCATTCTAGGAAAGCTCTAATCGAGATTAGTAGTGTTCCCCTCCATAGGCTTCTCGCACCTCCAATATGTTACGGGCATGGGCCTTACCACGCACTGTCGACATTTTTAAGGGGCCACGGCGAGCATGCCCCGTGGGTGACATGAAATATTCCTCGTACAGCTCAATCCTGACTAGTTAAGTTTTCACGACGGTGTCAAAGTTAGTCAGCCTTTAGACGGCGTTATCGGGCTCAAGTTCGAAGTTTCCGGACTGTCGCCGTTCATCGAAAATGTCATGAGCACCCAGAGAAGATAGTCTTGTCACCGCCAAGCGATATTCCGCGCCTTTCGCATCAGACCCGCCTGGATTTAAATGTTTGATCCAGGATAGCGCAGGGTTTACTAGAAAGTCTTCCCGATATTCCGCAACTTGATCGCGTCCGGCCCCGAACGCGCCTTAGACACGCCCTAGATCGACGCAGGGCTCCGGCGTTTGCGGGGTCGAGTAGTCGATATTCGCCGAAACTTCGGGATATTCTCCGCTATCGGGGGGGGGTGTGGCTCGGTATCCGGTTGGCCGGGCCGTTATCTGATGCCCCAAGCGGATGCGGGGAAGCGTCATCCGGAATCTGTTGACAGCCTGTGGTACTAAGGTACTCACTGGAGCGACTCGATCGTGGTGCGAAGAACTCGAGTATTTCTATGAACATCACCTCCTACCCTGATGCCTAAAAACAACAAGTCAAGCCGCCATGTCGCCATACACATTCAATATCTCTTGCCTCTGCGGCGCTGTCTCGCAGCGATTACAACCTACGGTTACTCATGGAGAGGCTGTGGACCTGTCCATCAACCACGGCGACGTTGATCGACATACCACGGGTATTCTCTGCGCCTCATACTTCCCCATTCGAGAACCTCATCAGCTACTGGGAACGGCAGAGTACCATGGCCCTGACGGGTGGGCAAGATACTTTTGCAACACCTGCGGATGCCATGTCTTTAGACGCAGAGATATAGATGGGATATCTGTATGGGAAGCGGCGACTGGCGTTCTACTGAATTGCACTGAGGAAGAAACTGACGCGGACGCGCGTTACGCAAGACATACCGGCGTTTCCGACACCAAAGACGGGGGTATTTCGGTGTGGCTGCCCGAGATTGATGGACGGCGGTTGGAATCACCCACAAACCCAGTCATTGTGGAACCAAGAACTACGACGAAGCTTCCTCCTATGCCACCTATCTATCCGAAAGATTCCCTGCCTGCCTCATGCGCCTGCGGTACGGTGAGCTTCCACATCACACGGCCAACCGAGGAAAGCTATCTACCGCACTCCGGCTTCCCTGATCTGCAGTATGCTGCCGTCGAGCACTCACACGAGTTCATGAAGAACTCTGACAGCCTCAAATGGTGGATTCGAAGTGACGGCACCAAATACTTGGCTGGCACCTGTGCCTGTCGGTCTTGCCGTCTCATCTCCGGATTTGAGATTCAAACCTGGACATTCGTCCCCCGCTGCAATATCTTCTTCCACGTTCCCGGACCAGACGACGGGCAGTCCGTCATCTTGCCCCTCAGCTTTTCGGACTTACCGGCTGGAATCGCGAAAACGTATGAATCTTCACCTGGCGTCTTTCGCGAGTTTTGTGCCAAATGCGGCGCGACGGTCTTCTGGCGCGACAGTTGGCGACCAGACGTCATCGACGTCAGCGTAGGGCTGCTTCGGGCAGACGAGGGCGCGCGGGCCGAGACGTGGCTGGACTGGTGGACTAAGCGATGTAGTTTCGAAGAAGAGACGGAAAGGGGTCGATCAGGAGAGCCCGCCCGCATTGCTAGGAGGCTCATTGATGGCCTAGAACGAGGCTTGCGCTCAGGGGCCCAGTCAAAGTGATGCAGCTTGGGATCACGGCAGATAGCTATAAGATATTCAATCAGAAACAAATCGTTCACCGTGACGCTCGTTGCAGGTCGCTAGCAGGCCTATAATAGGCAATTTGCAGATTCACGTTCTTCTTGGCGAGCAAGATAACAAATCATTCTTGGTACGGAGTATACAAACTGGATCGATCCGGTAATCTGGAATCTGAATCCCGTTTTTTACCCCTGAGATTAGCCAAGGATACCTGAGTCATCCCATGTCCGTTCCAAGTTTCGCAATGATTGAACTGCTATTCAATTCGGATGAAACAGGCTGGTTTCTATAACGATCTAGAGAACGTGGAAACAGTGCCTGTTAACTCATTAAGCATGGTTTAAGGGGCTATTTCGGCCCGCTTCCCAGTGGGATAGACTTGGCGAATGACTCGGGGGTCCTATGTCGGACCTGCCAAGCGCGCCGGGCCGGGCGGGGCCCCCTTGACGGACGGACACGGACTCTGTAAAGGTCGGGCCCGCGGCGCCGGGTCGTGTGGAGGGACACGTGGGGTGTTGCCGGTATTCTGGAATCATGGGGACGGATTTGGTGGGATACCGCACAGGCTCACACTTGCCGAGTTTTCCAGGTCGTAAAGCTGAGCTCACCGTTGTCTGACCGACCTGTTAGTCTACTTGGCATGCTTATGTGCTTCTGGTGACAGCAACTCGGATCATTGCCAACCCCCGCAATCCTTTAGGTGCTGACAGCTTACTGCTGCGCCTCGAGGGAAAGGTAGTATGGGGAATTCTCTCACTTGGAGGTCCTCCTGCGACCGTTGCGCAGAGAATGTCTGCCCGTATCTTCACAAGTGGTCTAGTCTGTTGATGCACAGCGTTGTTCGAGATGAGTCCACAGCGAGCATCGCGCCACTTCTCACTGGCACACGACGGGACACTGACCAGACCAAGGAGCGCTGACGAACCGAGCCTCCTTTATTGGCAGCTGAAAATAGAAGAGTCCATCACCCGCTTATGCAGTGTGATGGAGTTGGGTCCTCAAGCTTGGCATGCACAGCTCAACCTAGTCCACGTCGCGTCGTTGGCTTGAATGGCGACATAAGGTCGACGACATGTCTGGCTGCTTGGAATGTCTTGATGCTGTAAGTTAAGTGTATTGACGTGTGGTCACAGAGGAATATAAGCATCTACTTTACGAGCGTTGTAACGCGATATTTAGAGAAAGCCGCAATCTTCTTGGCTGCTGACACTGAGATGCAACCACAGCAAATGCTACTAATGTGATGTTTCTCGGCATAAAACGCAAGTGTTCACGACATAAGCATCGCCATCCAGCGTTGTGCTGTCGGATGTAAAGATGTCCGTGACGGAGTTTGGGTCAACAAATGAACACCATTTGACACAAGCCGACTGCATTGTAAAACGCCGAGACGGGCATAGGTTCCTGAAAGAAAATTGGTCAACTGAGTTAAGCTTACAAACATTATTGAGGTATCACTCGTGACTATGAGATCATGTTGCATGAACTCGGCATTGAGTTAGTTGGATGTCAAAAAGTAATCGCTTGAATGCTCTCCAAATGATTCATGCTGACCCCTCAAAGTTGGCTCGTCGCCGAACACGAATACTCAGTAGTATGTTGTAAGTCCGATGAAATTTGACTTGGTAGTCCAGGTCTGCGAGCTGGGAAACTTTTGACTTTGCATGCAACTCCAAGGGAAACGGGCAGAATTGATCACATGGATCACGGGTTCCATACACCTGGCCTTCCCAAACGGATATGTCGTCCGCCTCGGCATCCTAGAACAAAGTCAATTGAAGATGATGGTAAGTTGGACGGAGAGACAAGCGTATCTAGTGTCAGTGTGATCCTTGCCGGTGTTGACCGGCGCCCTATAGAAAGGAGGCAGTTTATAATCAAAAAGGGTGCAGCCGAGTTGATCAAGGTTTCCGGGTATACTTTTGGTATAGTGGGAGGGGGTAAAGCGATATGAATCATCATTGGTAAGTTTGCGCGCGTGAAAGGGTGTGAGATGAACTCCGAAAAACAAATCTCCCTCCCCCTATGTCGTGTAGTGTTCCCGAGATGATATCGCAAAGGTAAACTTTTCGTGCCCCCTCAATACTGCATCCTTCGTATAGGCAACTGTTACTTGTCGCGCACGTGTTGGTGTGGACTAGACTGTGGATGAAAAGATTATAGCAGGCCACGGACACCGCGGACGCATACGGCAGACGAAAAAGGGTAATGTTTCCGGCAACTAAGTGCGCAGTGCCCAGCCAATGTGGTTCGACACATTCCTAGTCCAGGCTCATGACCCATCGGCAAGTGGGTGTCGGCCGAGTACCATCAAACTCCCATGACCGCAAGCAACAACAGCCTACAGGGATAAACGTGATTCAGAGAGTTGGACGCTACGGTAGTTGACAGGGCGGCAATCTCATACCCATCTCAGCCACTCCCAGCATCAGATTTACCTCCGCTGTCACCGTGCTTCCAAATGCCCCAGCAACCTCCTAAGGCCTCCCGGGTTCATAGTTCCCAGCCCAGCGTCCAAGGGAACAGTGTTGCGCGTCCAAGGCTCAAGGGGATTCTGCATGTGATGAGAAGCCACCTCGCCAAGCATCTTGGCAGCACAGGTGGACGGGGTGACTGATGTGGCTCTACTCAGGGTCAATCCTTTGGCTCGGGCACAGCCGGGGTCGCAGGATTTCGGCCGACAGCTCGCCTACTGTGAGGTGCATGCACGAACACTCGTACCTACTTCAAATCTAGCCTTCCTGTTCAGGATGGTGGTGCTGGCTGGGTTGGCCCGGCCTGTGGTTTCTTTCGTGCTTGCAGCTGGCGTGCTGATCTGCCACGCTGCCTGGCTGCATCCCATCCCGCCCGCATTTCCGTGTGGGTGGTGTCACCTTGGTGTGCGTCTGTGGACTTCGGTTCCGAGTGTTTGTGTGCCGTGCGTTCCAGTCGAGGCCGTTGAAGGCCGCCACGAACGGCCGGCCGGCGCGCGGGGTTGGATCGTCGAGGAGGGTCGTCTAGGAGGGGGGAGGCGTTCATTTGGGTGCCAGATCTCCCATCCAGAGACTTGCTTTTGCTTCTTCCACACCCAAGCAGTTGCCCGCCGCCAACGAGAGGTAGGGCTGAGTCAATGCACGATTGATGAAAAGCTTCCTTCATCCCATGTTAGGTGGTCGCGATTTGGGCCAAAACCTTGTGCGACTCTTTAGATTCTAGGCTTGTAATGGTAGGTTGCTTGTAGCCAGGTTGTCTAGTCTCCCACCCGGCATAGCTTTGGCAGGGTTCTCGAGGCTCTCTGGGAGTTTCGCTGGGGGGAAAAAGTTCTTAGTCCACAGAAGCAAGAAAGATGACGGAGGCATCAATTAGCCCGTTGCGCGCGGGCAGCTCCGTAATGCTAAGTGTAGGCGCAGTGCTAACTTCTTAACGGCGTTTACAGACAGGGTACAGCAGGATATAGCAGGGAGAGGGCGGGTTGATATGATCCGATTTGTTACTCTTCGGAGTTTAGGGGGCGAAGTCTATTAGATTCAAAAGTGGCTCCCGCAGCTTGGAAACTGTCATCGCACAATTGGTCGCGGTTGGTGTGAATAATTGCAGGCTTTACAGAAATACTACCTTACTCTTCCAGTCACCCAGTAACTTGGCACCGGCCCGCATCCACTGTTGACTTTTGACCATCAGAGCAGGGAGCACAGCTCGTCAGCTCCCCGGATTCCCTAGCTTATGCCTGGTTAGGGATCAACATCTGAGCTCATGATCCTGGCTACACCAGCCCGATCCTGGTGTTTCCCCCCCCTGGGGCCCATGTATTCTCCATACAAGTTACCGTAGGTTTCACCCATATGGACATCGCTTAGGATACAATCCCCGCCCAAAAGTGTGAAAAGCGGACCAAATCACACCAAAGAGCCATCTGCCAATCTGTGTATGTTCACGCCCATCCTAATCAAACAAGATTGTTATTCCAGGCGCTTATTCTGGATCGCAAACCTTGCCATGGGGCATCTTAGTGCACAATACCGACTCGACTGCCGTTGTAGGAAGCTTATTACCAAGGCCCCAGTCAGCGATGCCTTGCGCAGCATTGGGGACGCCGGGCTTGGAAGCGGCCTTCGCAGGTCTTGGTATTGTTACTAATCATGGAGTTCTGGAATCAAAATATTCCCACATGGAGATGCTCCATCGTGGCTCGTGGTACCTGCTCAGTAGCCGTGTCATTGCTCGTGAGTCGTAGGTCGCCACAGTTTATTACTTATGTCCTGGGGTTCGTCCCATCTTCGAACAGAGATCCGTTTCCTCTTCTCCAGGAACATACTCACCTTTCACCCGTTGAGTCTGCTACCCCCGGTCTCACCTAGTCATTCCTTCTTTGAACTTCCTCTGGATCAACTTGTCTGTCAACATGCACGCCAAACTGTCAAGCTGCCTTTTGGCAGCTTCTGCTCTCCTGCCCGCCGTCGCGGCTGAGGGCTGCCCTTTCGCCAAACGGGATGGTTCCGTCACCAGCGAGCTCCCCAAGAGAGACACGGCCGAGGGTTTCGGCCGGTGCTCGAGAATCAGCAACCAGGCCGGCGGTGGCACCCGCAGCCACGACTGGTGGCCTTGCCAGCTTAGACTCGATACTCTTCGCCAATTCCAGCCCGCGACCAACCCGTACGGCGGCGACTTCGACTACACTGCGGCTTTCAACTCCTTGGATTGTGAGTACACCCGATGGTCTCCGATGGGGGAGGGGGCAGAGGACTGAGGAAACAATTCGTGTGAAGGACCCTCACTAACACCCCACGTCAGATGAGGCTCTCAAGAAGGACCTCCACGCCCTGATGACCGAATCCCAGGATTGGTGGCCGGCCGACTTTGGCCACTACGGCGGTCTCTTCATCCGCATGGCCTGGCATAGCGCCGGCACTTATCGCGCCATCGACGGCCGAGGTGGCGGTGGAATGGTGAGCCGTTTTTTTTCTTCACTACATTCCTTGGCTTATGTTTTACTCTCTTCTCTTTGGCTGTGGTATCCCAAAAAGTCCTTCCCTCTTCTCCCCCCGCTCTCCCGGTCTTCCTGGCGCTTTTCCACTTGGCACTGGAAACTACGCGTTGCAACCCCCCCCCTAATCCCTTTTAGCATATTTCTTATTCCTTGCCCACCGTTGCACTTGATCATCTCTTCGCGAACCTATTCGTCTCGCGTGGGAAGATCAATTGGCTAGACGGAGGTTTTTGTCCTATCCCGGAAGAAAGCCAAGAGGTGCTAAAGCATCTCCGTCAACTCTTTCTCCACCCGCACTGCGTCACGAAATATGGACCTGGGCTGTTTGCATCTTATCACATCTCTGCATCACTTTGATTCTTCTTGAGGACTGGCGTTTACTAATATTGGACTCCTGCAGGGCCAACAACGTTTCGCTCCGCTTAACAGCTGGCCTGATAACCAGAACCTCGACAAGGCTCGCCGCCTGTTGTGTAAGATTTCCCGTCTTTATGCGCTCTTTTGCGATGTGGCCCCCCCATGTTCGACTTGCATCATCGACTCGGTAGCGATATCCACTCTGCCGTGGCTCGATGGCGCGAGTAGAGCGATGTTGTGGGCCCCTCCTGAGAGATACGTAGTAGAGAGAAGAAACGTTTACTGATCCTCTTCCACGTTCACAGGGCCTATCAAGCAAAAGTACGGCAACAAGATCTCATGGGCTGACTTGTACCTCCTCACTGGCAACGTCGCCCTCGAGTCCATGGGCTTCGCTCCCATTGGCTTCGCTGCTGGCCGTCCTGACACCTGGCAATCCGATGAGTCCGTCTACTGGGGTGGAGAGACGACCTTCGTTCCCAAGGGTAACGATGTCCGCTACAACGGCAGCACCGACATCAACGAGCGCGCCGACAAGCTCGAGAAGCCCCTGGGTGCCACCCATATGGGCCTGATCTACGTCAACCCGGAGGGCCCCGATGCCAGCTCCGATCCCGCCGCCTCGGCCAAGGACATCCGCGTCGCTTTCGATCGCATGGGAATGAACGATGAGGAGACTGTCGCCCTGATCGCTGGTGGACACGCCTTCGGCAAGACGCACGGTGCCGTGCCTGCAAGTGAGTTTGTGCAACATACGTCCCCCATCTTCGCCTTTCCGGTTGAAGTCGGACGAACGGGCGAGAAATGAGCGTTCCAGAGAGTTCTCCGATTCACCCCCGGAAACACTATTTTCACCGCCACTTTTGGAACATGCAGATGCTAACCCGCGACTCTCATAGGCAACATTGGAGGCGAGCCCGAGGCCGCTGACATTGGCGAGATGGGTCTCGGATGGCACAACAGCGTTGGCGATGGCAACGGCGTCAACCAGATGACCAGTGGTCTCGAGGTTGTTTGGACCAAGACCCCTACCAAGTAAGTGATTATTGTGATGAGTCTATTTCCGTATGCATTCGCCCCCCGGTTCTTGGCGCTCCAGTCATTCTTCTTCCCCTCCTCTCACCCTTGAGGCCTTCTTTCTCTCATGTGCCAAGCACTCGACTTTGAGAGAAGGTCATAAGAGAAATGTTGAGGCGACAAACGACGACACCAAGAAAAGCTATTTATACATCAACCACACCGGGTGATTATGCAGTGATACACCGACGCTAATCCTTGTACCTGCAGATGGAGCAACGGCTACTTGGAGTCTCTCATTCACAACAAATGGACCCTCGTCACCAGCCCTGCCGGCGCTCACCAATGGGAGGCTGTCAACGGCACCCTCGACTACCCCGACCCTTTGACACCACCAAGTTCCGCAAGGCCACCATGCTTACCAGTGACTTGGCTCTCATCAACGACCCGTCCTACCTCAACATCACCACCCGCTGGCTCGACCACCCCCAGGAGCTCGCTGACGCCTTCGCCAAGGCTTGGTTCAAGCTTCTCCACCGTGACCTGGGTCCCGTCGCTCGCTACCTCGGTCCTGAGATCCCCAAGGAGACTTTCGGCTGGCAGGATCCCCTTCCCGCCAGGGAGGGTGAGCTGATTGACGATGCCGATGTGACCAAGCTCAAGTCTGACATTCTCGGCACCGCCGGTCTCGATGTCTCCAAGCTCGCCTCTGTCGCCTGGGCCTCTGCCTCGACCTTCCGTCACTCCGACAAGCGCGGTGGTGCCAACGGTGCCCGCATCGCCCTCGAGCCCCAGAACCAGTGGGTTTCCAACAACCCTACCGTCCTCACCGAGGTCATCGATGCCCTCAAGAAGATTCAGACCAGCTTCAACACCGGCGCCAAGAAGGTCTCCCTCGCCGACTTGATCGTTCTCGGTGGTGTCGCCGCCGTCGAGAAGGCCGCTACTGATGCCGGAGTCACCATCGCTGTCCCCTTCACCGCCGGCCGTGTCGACGCCACCCAGGAGCAGACTGACGTACGCGCTTTCGGCTACCTCGAGCCGCAGGCTGACGGCTTCCGCAACTACGGCAAGGGCACCGCCCGTGCCCGCACCGAGGAAATCCTTGTCGACAAGGCCTCCCAGCTCACCCTCTCCGCCCCCGAGCTGACCGTTCTTGTCGGTGGTCTTCGTTCCCTCGGCGCCACCTTCGACCAGTCCAACACTGGTGTTCTTACCGCTAAGAAGGGCCAGTTGACCAACGACTGGTTCATCAACCTTCTCGACATCTCCACCGTCTGGTCAAAGACCGACACCGAGGGCGAGACCTGGACCGGTGTCGACCGCAAGACCAAGGCCGAGAAGTGGACCGCCACCCGCGCCGATCTCGTGTTCGGATCCCACGCCGAGCTCCGTGCCATCTCTGAGGTCTACGCCAGCTCTGACGCCAACGAGAAGTTCGTCAAGGACTTTGTCGCTGCGTGGGACAAGGTCATGAACCTCGACCGCTTCGACCTGAAGAAGTACTGAAGTGCTATCCGCACTAACCCCATTGTTTCTATGTTAAGGATTTAAGGTGTTGGCGGCTATTCTTGTATCTACTTTATATACCTCATATATTTTTTCGATTACACCTTTTCGCCTTTGCCCTGATCATTATTACGCGTAACATTCTATATTGACGTCTTTGTAGTCACGCATCTGTCCTAGACTGTCTCGTATGTGTCAGTCGTGAAATTGACGACCGCTTCAACCTATGCGGTTCCGAGTATCGTAAAGAAGGTTTATCTGCTTGTGTCCTGTAGAGCCGACTTTTTTGGCTTCGGCTTGATGAAAATCGCAGCCAGAAGCATACATCCGGAAACACCAGTAAAGAATGCCCACATCACACGCAGCGCAGACATGTAGCTCGACTGACTTGTCCCAGGCGTCCTATCACTCCCTTCTTCAGAGCCAAGCTTTTCCGCCGTCAGCTCTCCACCACCGAGATTATGCTGCAACAGCACGGTTCCAATAACAATCGACATCGATGAGAAGAGAGACCTCAAGAAAGTAAAAGCTGACATGGCTGCCGCCGTATCAGCCTGCTTCATGTGGGTCTGAATCGAGATCATCGGACTTTGGAAAAGCACGCCGGCTCCAAAACCGGTGATCATCTGGAAAACAACAATCTTAGCCCACTGCGTGCTGAGGCCAAAGCTGATGAAAAGTCCGTTTCCGAGAGTCGTGAGTGCTGAGCCGAAGAAGATGGGAATGATGTAGTTGCCAGTCTTCCGGGTGTATAGCCCTCCGAGCATTGTCATGACCGTAAGCGGGATAAGCAGAGGAAACAGTGTGATTCCGGCAATGATCGGTTGGAAGCCGAGTACAACTTGGAAGTAGAGCGGCAGGAAGTAGTCGTACGATATGAAGACGAAACTGTGGATGCAAGCAAGGGTGAAAGAGGCAATATTGGTGACCTGTTGGAAGATTCGGAATGGAATTACGGGGCTCTTGGCGAAGCGAGCCTCCCATACAACGAAGAGCGCGAGGATAACGATCCCGAAGAGGATGAGGCAGATCACCAGAGCAGACCTCCAGGGTACGATGCCACCGGCACCTGTTTCGAGGCCGTAGAGGAAGCAGATTGTGCCACCTATGATGAGAAGAAACCCGATCCAGTCGAGATCTCGAAGGCCGGCGACCAAGGGCTCTTTTGGGGTTTCAACCTTGAGGGTGAAGAACAAAACCACCAAGGCAATGCCATCGAATGGTAAGTTGATAAAGACTGGCAAATGTCAGTTGCATGCAATTTCTTATGAGATCAAGGAATTCGCCCTCACAGCACCATCTCCATCCAATTGTCTGGGTAAAGACACCACCAAGGACCGGACCAACCGCACTTGCGATCCCATACACAATGCCAGTCATGCCATAATACTTGGCCCGATCCTCTAATTTGAAGATATCGCCAATCACAATCGTGACCAGAACCAGCGAACCACCTCCCCCAAGCCCCTGCACAGTCCTCCCAGCAATGAGAACTTCAATGTTCCCAGCCAGGGCTGCGATCAGACTTCCAGCCATGAACGTCGCCGCCGCGGTCATGATAGTAGGTTTCCGACCAAAGATATCCGACATCTTTGCCCACACCGGTGTAGAGGCTGTGCTCGACAACGTGTACGCGCTACCCACCCAGGCGTACTCTGAGGCCGTGGCTTGCAGAGTTGATGCGATTGTTGGAAGGGCAGTTGCGATGATTGTTATGTCTAGCGCGCTGAGCAAGAGAGTCAGGCAGAGTGCACACATAACAGCGCGGCGACGAATCGGGCTCATTTCAGGTGGCTCATGGGAAGCGGCAGTGATGACTGGCTCTAGGGTGCTGAGAGTATCGCCATGTTGCTCTGACTTTGTTCCCTCTGCCTTCTCGTTCGTCTTGGTTGCAAAGGCATCGCCCATAGCGACTGTAGACGGGGTTGGATAGAGCCAAGGTGGTTGAGCGTGCCCTATTGTTTCTGATGCTTCAATGGTGTGAAATTAAAGAACAATGTAACAAAGATCAGTACTGGAATCTATGACACTGCAATTGAGGAGATGGGTCCTGACCAATACTTCCACGCATGTCTTTTGTCCCATGGCATGCTCAGGTGGCTCGGTTCGGTTCGGTTCGGGGACCTGGGGTATTGCACGAAAATGGGACCGCATGTCCAGTACCTGCATCCAACTGGCCAATCTTCCCGTCTAATGTCTCTCAAATACGGAAGCTTGGCTTTCAGGTCTATTCGATGTTCATCCAAGGTACTGGAAGAAACGAGTACTGGCCTTGCCCCCATCTCTAACAGCCGACCTTGGGGTATTCTCGGCCGGGGTCGATACCGGATCGGACTGGCACTTTTGTATCTCGCAGCCAATGAATATAAAGTGTTGGACCATTCACAAAAGAAAGAGCCTGAAAGAAAGTTGAGGTTTGTGGCTGAAGAAATCAATTCCGCACTCTCTGGAGGTTTGCGTGCCTTTGGGTGAACCAATTATTAAAACATCAACTCTGTGAATAACATCCAAACAAGCAGCCCGCACCTACAATCAGTCAAGCAATGGTTTCCGCATGTCCCTTGAGCTCCTTCTGAATCCACCCAAAAACATCCTCTTGAAGCCTGCGATCCTGGCTGAGCTTCGATCCAGACTCGGCTTTGGCAATAGGTCCGTAGTATTGTCCGCTCTTGGCGTCGGGGCTCGCAGCTGCCCAGATCTGTGATAAGGCGCCCTTTTCCACCGGCGTTGCGAAGAAGATGGCTGCGTATAAGAAAGGCTTGAGGAAAGTGCCTGTGGATGCATGGTGAAGATTGGTGGCGACCATGCCTGGGTGAACTGGTATGATCTTGACCTGTTTCTCTCGTTCTGCCAAAGCCTTGGCATAATGAAGGTCGGCAAGCTTTGATAACGTATATCGCTGGGTAGTGGCTCGGTGGGGCATCGTTGTTCGGATTTCGTCAAAGTTGTAGATATCGCTCGGTGCTCGGGCATGCGCAGCTGAGGAAAGCATGACAACGCGTGTCTCTCGATTGACCTTGGCAGTTTTCCTTAAAATAGGGAGCAAAAGCTGAGTAAACAGCGCCGGGCCCATGACATTGGTTCCAAACTGAATCTCGTATCCTTCCGTTGACAGACCCTCGGGAGTCATCATAATGCCGGCATTGTTGACGAGTATGTCCAACCTGGATTCTTTGCTCAGGAAGTCGGCCGCTGCAGCCTTGACGCTGTCGAAAGATGCCAGGTCGAGCTTGAGGAAGGTAATGTTCGTCGTCTTGGGGTTTTCTTCCTTGAGCGTTTGGATGGCCTTTTCGGCTTTGTCTTTGGATCGGGCCGCAAGGTAGATTCGGGCTGGGTTATGTTTGCTGAGCTGTCGTATTGTCTCGAAGCCTAGGCCAACATTTCCTCCAGTCACGATAATGACCTGATCACGAAGATCAGGGATGTCTTTGGCAGTGAACGCGGCCATCTTGGAGCGAAGTGAGAGGAAGGTTCGAGCGTGGGTGTTGATTCGTGGAAGGTAGAGAGACTGTTGATATTAGCTGAACTCAAAGATGGACGGGAAGGAAAGAGGAGGTTTAATACACTGATCAGAGGAGAAGCCGAATATGAAGAAGGGAGTCCTAGTGCGCGGTAAAAGGTGCCATGCGGAAGCTTTGAAGAGTCCGAAGGTGCAATGCTTGATAAGCTAGCCAAACGGGTTGATCTGGGGCGTAAGCAAGCCATTGGAGAAGGACAGAAATATCTTGGGCCAAAGATAATGAGGCGGCGTGGATGTGTCTTTTGCAAAGTCCAGTCTCGACCTTGGATTCATGACCATAAATGGTTTGAGGCTCTGGTAACCAGCTCGCGACTTCCTTGTTGCTTACACCCCTGTCGGGCAGTTCTGTTCTGGACTTGGAACTGCCCAACGTACCTTACCTTCCTTTCAATGGAAGTAAGAGGTACTGTACGTAGGTCTGTACCTATAAAGTCGGGAGCCCGGTTGGGTAGGTACATAGCCGGGAGTTCGGCGTTTGTTTAGGCCGGACCAATGTCCATCTCGGTGAGGTCCCGTCGGATCCCCGGACCTTTTTGACTTATCATGATCATGCCATCGTTCCATAAGGCAGCTTACCTCGCTCAGAATAATGGTGTCCTGTGGCTTAAAGCATTTCCGTTCTCCATGTCCTAGACATCACAGATGCTGTCGGCTCTGAGATTTCCGTGGCCGCCCTCGGAATCTCAATCTTCAGGCTGCGACGAGTCTCTATGACTTAGGTAGTCTCCGAGGCAAATCGACTCCTATCAGCATGTAGTCAGGGGGAAAACCATTCCGCTGCGGAGCGTGCTGTAGTTATCTCCGAAAGTCCTTAATCAAAACCCAGACATTAACCAGTGGCAGACTCGCTACTTCGAGAGTCAGGTTAGATGCGTGGAGTTACCATGGCTTGCGGACTTTTAACGGTTGACGGGGGGGTTTCTATCGAGAACTTCACCATAGGTCGCTGTGCGGAGATCGTCATTTCCTAGCGCACAGCAGCTAATCTTCTGAAGTTTGACGGCGAACTCCCGCGTCGTGACGTACAGCCCATGGTGGATGACTCGTGAGTTCTTCGGCCTTGGACAGAATGTAAAGGCAAAAAAGAGCCTTTCCAGCAGGTCGTCGACCGAAGTGACCAAACTACAACCAGCCTAGCACGGATTTGATGGTTCCTCTTTTGCCACCAACACTGAAGATGAACGAATGACAGGCTTTCCATTCAAGCCCCATCGACAGGGGAGTAAGCAATCTATTTCTGTGACACTGCACGTCCCACTGGGCCTCTGGGTTCAGTAGGTTCGTCCCAGCTGACAAGGGAGTAAGCAAACTATTAATCCCCCATGAGACCACAACTCTGAAAGAACATCCATCGTCTACGAAAAAAAAATCAGCACGCGAGTTAAGGGAACATCAAATTTAGATGGATTTCCGACAAGTAGAAGCACCGGATGATGCTGACGATTGGACGGGCGTGGCGAGCGCCGCCGAAAGAAGGAGACGACAGAACCGGGTCCATCAAAGGGCCTACCGTAGGTCCATTCGACAACCGGGCTGTCAAACGTGCCCCCTCGTTAGCGAAGATTGCTGACAAGACAATTCGATTAGGCCAAAAGAGACATATGAAGCGCATCGCACTCAGCAGCACTGCACCTCAATCTGCTGCAGAACCCCGAGCCGAGACATCTCTTGTTCCAGCTGCAGCGCCTAACAAGCGGAGACCCACGACTCCGTCGCAGATGCAGGAGATGCTTGGGATATACTACTTGCTCAGGTGTTCAGGCATACGCGAGAACGTCGCCGAATTCCTTCAAAGAGCCTCTTCGAATTGGACCTTGGGGGCCCCCACACCCCGAGACCTCCCTGCTCTTACGAGGCTCAATGCATTCGACGCGCTGGCGAGAAATGCACTGGTACTAGGCATTCCCGTAGACTTGATCGAGAGTGACGATGGCGACTCTCTCTTCATATATCAAGGCCCGGCGCGGCCTGGGTCATCTCACGAGGTCCTTCCGCCCCATCTCTCGCCGACAGCGCTGCAGAGGACTGTGAAGCATCACCCATGGCTGGACCTATTCCCAATACCGAAGATGAGAGATAACATACTTCGTGCCATCGAAGCGGGCGATGTAGATGAAGATGAGTTGTGCAACGCTTTGGTATGCGATCTCTTGGACTTGGATTCGCCCTCCAAGTCATCGCTTGTCATATGGGGGGACGCTTGGGACTTGAGTGGCTGGGAGTTGGGTCCGGAGTTCTTTAGAAAATGGGGCGGGCTACTTCAGGGCTGTCCTGAAGTGCTCGTTGCTACCAACTACTGGCGACAAAAGAGAGGCGTAGGGAAGATAAGGGAAATCTGCTCGGGTGACTCTCCGGTGTCAAATATAACACAATTATGAGACGGTCGTTCCCATCATCATTCTCGGTAGGAGCCTGCGGATCCAGCACAGACGGTGGGAGCAGCTTCGAGGGCCATATTTCTAACAGCTCGTACCCAATCGATGTGTTCGTCGTGGCTAGCGTCAACGTTGCCGGTGTAAGTGAGTTCACGTCTTCTCCAGAGCGATGATCTGCTGGCTGTAGGTCTTCGTCGTAGACGGCAGCCAGACATGAAGCTTTCGACATTGGGAAGATCAGCCCACAGCTGACCCGAGCCAGTGCAGCCAGTAACGGAATCGGCTTGAACCAGATTGCAAGATACGGAGGCGTCAGCCACAGGTGGCGATCATGTCTACTCCACTTAGCTCGCGTGCAAAGCTGGCCGAGCGCCGTGGCTGCGTGTCCAGAGTCGTGGACGGAAGCGGGAACTTTGTGGTACTTGGCCCGCCACTTTCCCATACTGATGAGCACAACTCCGAAATCGAGCAGCTCAGCTTCCGGGGTTAGTGCTCGGCAGGGTGTTGTCAGGCCGTTCTCGAAACGATCACACCGCTGGTCCCGGGTGAGGTTGTCCGACCCGGCCACATCCGCATGCTTCAGTCTGCGCTGACACAGAGCTCAGACTAACAATGTCAACAGAGTGCTCCTCGGCAATGACCAACCTAAAAGTGTCTAATTCATCTTGACTAGTGACATAGACGATAAGCATGTAGCCAGCCCTGCTGTAAGAAGAACTGATGAGTAGCCCAGTGTGTCACTTCTGCCGCGTCGGGGATGTTCAGAGAGCTACTCAAGATATGCGTAAAAATATTGACCTTGATAATTAGCGGCTGAAAAGAACTTTGAAGTTTGAGGTTGATTTTCCTCCTGTTCACGCATGGCAAAGCTCGAACAATGACTCCTCGCTAGGTGGTATTCTTTATCCCATGTAAAACTAGATGGTCTGCGAGAGAGTTACCATCTCTCACAAGTTTACAAGTCCTAAAATCCATGAATAACAAACGCAAACATCAACTCCGCTGTTGTAGTTGTTGACTTCCTCGGCAACCTTCTCACCCGACTCGATCAAGTCCGTCGTCCAGGAAACGTGGTTATTGGCCTAATTCTTGGCTTCATGGAGGGCACTCAGATATCTGTCGAGGTTGGCTCCAGCGTGTTGCCTTCGGCCCGTCCGTTGAAAGCGTTGATGAAAATCATGTTCTCCTGACCTAAGGGGTTGGAATCAGACTTGATACGACGCATGAGGTCTCTGATACCACCTGTGTATGCGAAAACGTCGTTAGCTCTTTACATGTCAACTTGATTTGGAGGAGCAGCTGGCCACTTACTCTTTCATAGGTCTGGATAAGTCAAGACAGTGGCAGATGTACCACCGTCTGTTGCATGACGAGGTGAGTTCTCTTAGGTCACAAGAGCACCACGGCGGTCAACTTCCCTCTCGCCTAATTTTTCTTGGCATCTGCTGTTAGTGAATGAGTGAGCCTACCACCAAATTACTAACAGCCGAAAACTCTTCACCTCCCCTTGCCGGAGCCCGCATCCGCGATGGCCTCACAGCCGCCGTCGGGCACCGGACTGATGTCGGCCGACCAAGCCGACCCCGAACCAGGCTCCGGGACACCTCCGGAGCCGAACCCCACCTCAAGAGCTAAGCGACGCCGCGACGTCGAGGCACAGCCGACCCGGCCCAGCCTAACGGGAAGCCAGCTTGATGCCACCACCGACGCCCCTACCTCGGCCGAGGGGCCCGCAGCCTCTACCGCATCTGCTCCGAGCGGATCTGCCACAGGGTCCGTCTTGACAGCCCTTGCAGAAGAAGCTAGACAGTACGAGGCACGGAAAGACGTCTTTCTGACCATTGCACGGTCCGTCGACAGCGTTGTCGCCAGCTTTGACGGTTCTAGAAAGCAGATCGCGAAAGAAGCCACTGCCTATGTCATTCAAACCCTCAAGAGACTGATCAATCACGAGACAAGCCCAATAGCGGCCCGGAGTTGGGCGGCTGTCGTCGCACCGATGGCGGGCAACACCACTGCGGCGACCCGGAGCGGCCAGAGCTGCCAGAGCTCTGCCCGCCCGAAGGCCACACTCCCCGCCGAGGATCAGCCGCAGGCGCAGCCGAAGGAGGACCTCCGCATCTTTGCCCGCGTCCCGGAAGAAAGCTTAGCGGCCGCTCGGAAGATCGCACCGTTCGCCGTACGACAGATCGTCTGTAAGGCCGTTGGCCTGGGGCTAGCGGACCTTCCCCACGTCTACCATATCAGCACAGGTTACTCTCTGAAGCCGCGAAACAAGCAAATACAGGAAAGACTACTTGCAAGTAAGGCAAAGCTGGCGGAATGCCTCGGCGCCCACCAGGTCGAGACGCCTATCAAGTGGTACACTTACGTTGTGCCGCGATGCCCAACAAAACTACACAGCATTGGCGGGGACGTCCTGGACCCAGCCACACTCGTTGAAGATGAGGTCTTCGCACAGACAGGACAGAAGCCTGTCCTTGCTCGACCGTCCCGCCTTGGGCCCAACCCAGTCACGAACGAAATATCTTGGCTCATATCATTCACATCAGA